GGATTAATTTTGTTAGCATAGTGTTTTGGACCACATCTTTTCTTGTGTTTTTAGATGGATATGATTCTTTGGATCCCAATGGAAACATTACCATCACATAAGACAGCCTTGCATGGGATTCTAGAACATATGATGTAAGATCAACTATCAACTTTTTGCAGCTTTTACTTTTCTTTTTCCAATTCTTTATCAATTAATTGATTTTTGATTATAAGGATATGGTCATCAGAGCTACTGCAGTAACAAATATTATTAAAGAGAAAATGAAGTTTCAATTGATGTCTCTTAATGACATTTCAGTACAGAAAGAGCAGATCGTCTACCCCAACCTGCTGCCTCTCCATTTCTGCTTTTTATAATGAGGCAATCGTTCCCTGCCCCTTACGCAACTGGAGCTGCCAAGCACAAGCAAATTGTGTAAAGTAATTAATTCTTTCAATCCTGATCGATGATGTTTGCATCAAATTTTTCATGCAAGTTTAATCTGATTGCTTGCTTTCTATCTTGCCGTAAAAGCACAGGTCTGGGGCTAAACCATCCCTCTTGCAGCAGCTACGAGATGAGCAGCAAAGACTGCCACCAGTCTTAAGGTTCTCGGGCCACATGTGTCCCATTCAGGTGCAATGGCATGCAAATCATATCCAGAACTACTCTAACAGGAACTCACCCCACCTTGAAGAGCATAACTTGCATTTTCAGCTTCAACTACAATCCTCTCAATTACTATGGAGATATATCAGTAAGCCAAATCGCTTTCTGATTACTTTTACATTTAGTCTATGCACCCCTATGTAGGAATGTTCTTAATTTCGTATCCTGATCCACTCCAATCAAGAAAAAAGAAGATTCATTTGCATTATTGTGGCATAGTTACAAGAATTGATGAATTGATTGATGTGATTGAATGAGTAGAAATAGCCAGAGATAACTAGGTCAGGCATTTTAACCGGGTTTTTTCTTTCTTTTTCTTTTTTCAAATTTTTTCTCAGATGATACTGGGATATTTTGGGGGATTCAGAATTATAATGACAAGCTGCTGCAATCAGGTAAGAAATGAAGGATGGACTTTCCCAAGAAGGATTTGTTTTAATGGAGATGAATGTGTCATGCCCCAACCAGAACAGTTCCCAATATTTCTGCCCAACAATGGTCAGTCTCATGCCCCATCCTGGCTTTCCATATTTTTCCTCTCATTAATACTACTTGCAATAATGTTCTGGAAGTATATATATTGCTGAATGGTGAGCAAAAACTGCAGTCTGCAAAATGGTTCAGAATGAATTTATCTGATTTGAAATTTATCATTGAAATTAAAATCCAAGAAAAAAAAAGTTGAGACATCCTGGAAGTTCACAGTTGGAGTAAGGTATCTGTCATCATTAATTAGGCCATGATACATGTCAAAAATTTGATGGAACCTTACCTGTGGTTTGAATTGAGTCTTTACAAGCCGCCTTCTGGTCCTTGTTCTTATTCTCATTGTTTTTTATTGTTCACTAAGTGGTGAACTCAACATCTGACAAGGACAATTCCATGAGAAAAGTAAGCGATAGAAGGAAATGGAAAATATGCTGATGATGAAGTGAAAGAAATCCAGTAGCATTATCAATTTGTGACCTGCAACTGCATATTGCAGATTGTCTGGCAATTAGACAAATCGAGTCAGATCATTTTAGGTTGAAGGATATTGGAATTATTTTGGAATTAGATTGTTTTGAGTTCGAGTCATTTCAAGATTGAGTCATCTTGAGTTCGATCATTCCATATTCCTGTTATTTGGATTTATCACTCAAGTTATTCAGGATCGAGATTATTTGAGTTTGAGTCATTTCTAGTGAAATCAATTTAAGTCAAGTTCGGGTTCTAATAGATCTAATGAGATTTCCGGATTCGGATTCAGATTACCAGCTATAAGATTGTCTTAAGACAAAGAAGACTCAAACTATAAATCTGGAGATGAATTCTGTAAATGTCAATTGAATTCTGTTTAAAGTACTTAATCAGCATCAGATCTGCTGAGGCTGAGGCTGGGGCTGATGATTCCTGTTCCTTGGAGACAATGGGATGATGATGGAGTATCATTCATGACCATAAATTGAATCTTCTTCCTTTAAACTTATACAAATATAGCAGAAACCGAAAAAAAAAAAAGAAGAAAAAATCATAGATGGACATGCTAAACATGAAATTTTCAAGGTTGCATTGATATGACAGAATTCTAATCAGTTGCAGAAAGTCTTCAGGAATGAATCACATCATCAACAACGCTCAATTCATGATGCCCTTTACACAGCCTAGGCAAAATCAGAAGAGGCAAATATAAGTCCGAGATACTAGAATTCTATTACAAGATGGAACAAGTTGGTTGGCATGGATCATAAGCCATTTCAGATGTTAAATACGTTGGATAGTGATCATAATAACTTCGAATTTTTTCATCTTTTTTCTCATCTTTCTTCTCCTCTTTCTTTTCCTCTTTCTTCTCTTCAACGCTTAGTATGGTAGAAGTCCGAAGCTTCTTTCTAAGACAGCAAACCAACTTAACTGAATCAACTTCATCTCCAATCACCACCAGTTCATCTTTTTCTTTCCCTTGTATTGCTACCTCATTGACACCTGCTTATGGTAAGCTCACAGTTAACGAACTAGTTGTGTTAAACAAATCAAAGCTACGAGCATAGTTTTCGATATAAAAAGAAAAGTTGGAAGAATTCGATGCCCAACCATGCATCGTAGCAGCTATCTTCAAAGCCATGGTTTGACATTTCTCACTGTGATTAAGCACCTTGATCACTATCTTTTGCTGCATCATTAATCACATAGAAAGCATATCAATTCTAGCAATCTTATATGTTATCTTCTGCTAGAATAAACAGTGAGAAAAAAAAAAAAGGAATGTGTTAAAGATCTAGGGGAAAGATGCTCACCTTCATATCTGATTATCAGTATCTGAGAAACTAAAGCAGCTTAGAATGAAATAAAAAAGGAGGGCAATGTATCTACTTATATATGGGAAAGTAGGGAGGAAAACTCTTATGCTTGACTTGGTTTGGACCAAGTCTTCTCGTGTCTACATTCAACTATGTGCTGAACTTGTGTGGCAATTCAAATCACTCAGTCATCTCCAATCCTGTAATTTATTTTTTTGAAAAGTGAGGTTTATTCTTCCATCACCGCTGATGCCATGACAAGTCACTAATCCTGTAATTGAAACTCTAAATTCCAACACTTGCTTGTTTATCAGTAGTTTTGTCAATGAAGAAGTCTTAGACTCAGACATTTCAATTACAAAGATTGAATTATTTTGACAAGTTGATGCCATACCTTCGTCTGTTTTCCCCTATTAATCAGTTTCAATGGAAAATTACACCAGATCATTTTCACAATAGTTGATATTTTCATGCGTATTAGAAGGGACGACGTCTTACTCCAGCAGGAAGTCACTTTCACTTTGAAATGATTTTGTCCCCCCTATCCTATATATGAAGTTCAAGGTAAATGAGATATCATATAATTACTTGGTAGACGAATGATCTGGTTTCAGATATAAATCATAAGGCCTACAAGAATTTGAAGCTGCAAGGAGCACATCAAATTCTATAGCACCCTAACTGCTTACAGCACCAGACAAAGTCCAGAGTCTAGATGATACTATGTGTTCATTTGAACAAATGTGACAGACATACCTTGTTAGAATAACAAAAACCAGAAGTTCTTTTCAACCCATTTTTTCTATTAAAAAAGAGATGCTAAATATATACATTGGAAAACTCAAACTTTATTTGCAAGATGTAATTAGCACTCAATCTGTTTGCTTAACAGTGGTACTTATCAACAATTATGTTCACAGGAATGGTTACAGTTGTTAATGTTAGAACAATTTTCTGTACAGAAAAGAAAAGAATAATCAGATGGAAATTTGTCTGAACAATTATAGTCAAAAGTACTGACTGATTGTTGAAGGCTATTTTCATGGTAACGTCCCATGGTATGAATTTGACCATTCCTGTTTCTAGCACTTCTTCCTGCTGTCAGGGGCAAGTCCATTTGTTTCTTTCCTGCTTTCTTTAAAGTGGATTAGAATTTTCTGTTCAGAGAATTTCTTAAAATATTTCAAATTCCATTCAAATACAAAGTATATCCACAAAATTTATCACTTACATTAACAGGATATTTCTTGAAACATTTTAATTTCTACACGTTTTTACCGTATGTTAAGGGAGAAGATACTTTATTAATATAAACTGGAAAATTGGTTGTTAAACCCTTCAAAATTTCCAAGTTTGTGAGGCTAATACTGTCATTAGCAATATTTTAAGTTAATCAAAGAGTTGGAACTTGGAAAGAGCCACAACATTTCTTTTTATCTGCTGTATGGCAGTAATTAAAGGGTTACATGGAAAATTGAACCTTGGGTTCACGCAGAGGAAGCTGTGAATCAATATACAAGGCTTGTTGACCACATAGACATATAGTAAGCAGGATTGAGAAGGTAAGGCAAACCTGTTCACTCTGTGCTGATTCACATTCCAGGAAACTGATCTGCAAGAACAGAAGGCTTCCGAAACTTGAAAGTAGTGTATTGTCCAACAGGAAAGCTGTCATCACATCTATCTCCATCTCCCCTCTTGTTTCCATATCCTGGATAATCCCATAGCCAAAATGGTTCTTCCCTGAACAATCCTAACCCAACTTCTTTTGCTAGCTTCTCAATTTTCCACTCACTGAATGGATGAGTAATTTTGCGAGTAATGTGAACTTCTCCTCTATCTGTCAGCGTGTCACTTGCATTCCTCAGGAAGCCCTGGACCAGATTTTGGTGCAGCCTAAAAATGCTTTCTGTTAGTCATCAGAATTTGGTAATTTTGGACCAGGATTGATAGGCTAATTAAGCTTCAGGGCTTAATTTGATTCTACAATTGTCAGATACAATCAGATAATTAACAAGAAACTTAATAAATGTTCTAATAAATAAAGCAATATCTGTGATAACAAGATGTACACCTTTTGAATCTACAGAAGTAGCCACCATGTTGGCAGCAGAGCCAAATGATCTGGCTAAGCATGCAGCAAAGGAGAAATCACCCTCACCCACCAGCAGAATCTCATGCCTGCTACTGTAATGCTTTATCCATTTTTCTCCTTTATCATCTAAATTAGCCATTTCCATTTCATCCTTTTCTACCTGCAAATTTTCTATAATTTCCAACTCATCTGTTTCTGCATATATATATATATAAGAACCATAGCCCTCTTCATTATCCTCTCATTGGATAAATGCATGCAAATCAACCTCTTTGTTTTGCGAGATTCTTGTTTCCAATTAAACTTTTCATTATCCAACATATTGGTTAAGTTATTTGTATTTTGACCATATGTCCATTCAGCTGCATATGAACATGTCAGATTCAAGGTTAATTTCTTTATCCATAGTTAATTAATATAGAATAAATTGCAAAAAAAAAAAAGAAAAAAAAGGGAAAAGAAATCATAGATGTACATGCAAAACATGAAGTTTTCAAGGTTGCATTGATATATATATATAACTAAATTCTAATCAGCTGCAGAAGTCTTTGAAAATTATATCAGTAACAACACTGAATTCACGATGCCCTTTGCACGCCCTGGGCAATATCATAAGATGCAATAGAAGTCTGAGATACTAAAATTTGATAATGTCTATCACATGATGGAACAAGATGGTTGGTATGGATCGTGAGCCACTTCAGATATTAAGTAGTGTGGATAGTGAGCGTAATAATATTCATCTTTTTTCTCATCTTTCTTCTCCTCTTTCTTCTCTTCGACGCTCACTATGGTAGCATTCCGAAGCTTTTTTCTAAGGCTACAAGCCAACTTAACTGAATCAACTTCCTCTCCAATCACCATCAGTTCATCTCTTTCTTTCCCTTTTATTGCCACCTCATTGACACCTGCTCATGGTAGACTCACAGTTAACGAAACAGGGTTTTTGATATAAAAAGAAAAGTTGGAGAAGATTTCGATGCCCAACCGTGTGTCGTAGCAGCTATCTTCAAAGCCTTGGTTCGACTTCTCACAGTGAATATTCACCTTGATCACTATCTTTTGCTGCATCATTAATCACATATAAAGCATATCAATAATTCTAACAATCTTATATGTTATCTTCAGCTAGAATAAACTCTTGAGAAATGTGTTAAGGATAGAGGAGAAAGAAGCTCACCTTCATATCTGATTATCAGTATCTAAAATACTAAAAGCAGCTTAGAATGGAAAAAAAAGATTCTTAATCCCGCCAATTTAAAGGAAACTTGAGAGGAAAATTCTTATGCTTGACTTGGTTTAAACCACGTCTTCTTCTCTTGTCTACATGCAATTACTGAATGTGTTTGACAATTCAAATCACTCAGTCATCTCTAACCCGGTGATTGAAACTCTAGCTTATTTGTCAGTTGTTTTGTGCATGAAGAAGACCTTGACTCAAACAATTTAATTACAGAGATTGGATTGTAATTACAAATTGATGCCACAAATTCCATCTGTCTCCCTCAGTATTTGGTTTCGATGGAAAATTATACCAGATCCCTTTCACAATTGTTTTACTTTTCATGCCATTAGAAGGGACATCGTACTTCAGCAGGAAGTCACTTTCACTTTGAAATGATTTTTGCCCCCTATCCTATGTATGAAATTCAAGGTAAATCGATGAGACTTACTCCGTAGATGAAGGATCTGTAGTTTCAGATATGAACCATGAGGCCTGCAAGATTTTGAACCTTCATGGAGCAAGACAGCATGTTAATATTTTGAGAAACTTAAGAGATTGTTGAGTGCTAAAAAACAAAGAGGAGGAAGATTATTACACGCCGTTTCATTAATAAGAATAACGGATTTTATAGCCTTACAAAAGATAATGTTAAAAATAAACTGATAAAATTAAAAGAAAATAAATAGCACTACTTGGGATTGCCACACCACTAAGTTTGTGTGTTGTTCCTTACATTTGCTTTAACTGCAAAAACCTGGCTAATACGAAAAACCAAATAACCACCAAACAAAAGTAACTAAATAACCACAAAGCACACAGCACTACTTCTCCAAATTGAAAGCTAAGTTTTCACACAAAAGAGTATTGCAAGCAGAGCCTAACTCAAACACAGCACCAGACAAATTCTAGTGTCTAGATGAAGCTATGTGTTCATTTACCATTTCATGTGAACAAATGTGACAGATACCTTGCTAGAATCAAGGAAAACCAGAAGCTCCTTTCAACCCACTTTTTCATTTTTTTTAAAAGAAATGCCAAATACATTGCAAGTACCTGTGCTGATAAGTACTTAATTATCAACAATTAAGTTCACAGGAATGTTACAGTTGTTAATGTTAGAGCTATTTTACCATATCTTTTGACCTTAGATTTACAGTCGGATGGTAATTTGCCTGAACTATTACTGGTACTGGTAAAGTAGAAGGCATGTCAAGAATTTGTACGAAGTTCTGACTCATTGGGAAAGGCTATTTTCATGGTAAGTTGCCATGTTATGAATTTGACCATTCCATTTCTAGGACTTCTTCGTACCGTCAGGGGCAAAGACCCTTTTAAAGTACACATTGGGTTTTTCCTCAATTTAATTTGTTAAATAAAATTTACAGCAGAGGCGAATTTATCACTTGCCTTAACCAAATATTTCATTAAACAGTTAATTCTTTTACTTTTTAACATGTACTAAGGGAGTAGATTATTTATTAATTAATACCCTTCAATATTTCCAAGTTTATCAAAGAGTTGATACCTGGAAAGAGCCACAAATCTGCTGTGTGACAGTAACTAAAGGGTTACAAGGAAAATTGAACCTTTGTTCGCGCAGAGGAACCTGTAAATCAATATGACTTGTCGATCACGGTGTTCAAATTGCTTCTTTGAATTCTTTTATTATTATTATTATTATTACTACTTTTTCACTCAAATGAACACATTACTGTAGTAATGTAGATCCAAATATCACTAGTCAACAATTTTTTGAGTTGGAAAGTAAGTAGGATTGAGAAGTAAAATGTACCTCATCCAATTTCATAATTCAAACAAAACAGTAAAAAATTGGATCGCACCATCGTAAGATATCGCCACATTATCATCAACAAGAAACGTAATTAATCTTTTGAACTGCAAAATCAGTAACATCATAATATGTTCTAATAGACAAGGCAATATCTGTGATAACATGTACACCTTTTGAATCCAGAGAAGTAGCTACCATGTTGGCAGCAGAGCCAAATGATCTGGCTAAGCATGCAGCAAAGGAGAAATCACCCTCACCCACCAGCAGAATTTTATGCCTGCTACTGTAATGCTTTATCCAATTTCCTGCTCCATCATCTGAATTAGCCATTTCCATTATCCTCTCATTGAATAACCGGAATCAAATCAGCCTCTTTGTTCCGCGAGATTCATGTTTCCAATTAAACAGGTTAATTTCTTTATCCATAGTTAATTAATTGACACGTGAATATGAAATTAATTGCGCCAAAATTTTTCTACTTTCACCTGTTCAATTTCCACACCTTGGAACATAAACACACCCTCTCTCTACATCTTCTTCCAATAAATTTCCAAGGCCATAAAGCGACAATCGAGGGAAATCCTGGCTGTGGAAAGTTTAATCCATGCATTTGTCCACCAATATTGACTGCTTCACGTCAACCAAACCCTTTTGCTCACGAACAAGTCATCTCTCTCTCTCCTATTAAACGTTGGTATAACAATTGTATAGATTATAGGTGAACAATAATACACATAAAGCCTGACATTGTACTTTATTACATCGGTTAAATCCCATGAAACCTATTTTCGAGTCTACCGTATATATATATATATATATATTTAACTCTTTATGTAACTTGCTCGGAGATTTTTTAATTAGTTTAAAGAAAGAATACTGAGAAATTAGCAATTAAAGTACATATAATTAGTTCCTGTGTAAGCTAATTAGCTTGAAGTCAATTGTTGTGTTCTCCACTAGGAAGTCAGCCTTCACCGTTGGAAAAGTCTTCTCTCAAGGTCTTATCTTACAATATATTCAATTGATTCTCTCCAGGAAAGTGACTATCTCGTGCATTTAACCTAGTAGGCCTCCTTGGCTTGTCGCAGGGGTCTGTCTGGATTTCACATTCACAAGCGCCAACTAGGTAAAGAATGTTGCAAGAAAAGGATACATCGTTTCGTCTCTTTGCCCTTTGAACAAAGCAGCAGGTATAATCAGAAAGAAGAAATGTCATAGAGTCGGGTCAATTGAAGCTTTCAACTATTCATGCTTGAAACTTCATCCACACACACACACACACACAAAATCACTCAATTTTGATGAAAATTAATTACACAAGAACTATAACACATTTATAAATTTTCGACTAATTTTCCACATCCGACATCTTATTTCGCTATCAAGAAAAATTTATGTTAGTGCAACGAGAAAAATATAACATGTAGTATTCAAGTGATTAATTCATTTGACATATTTTTCATTTTTTACGTTTTAATTTTAGGGTTTAGGGGCCATTACATGAACTAGTCTTTTTCGTGGTGTCAGGGCCAAGACCAAGGGTGCTGTTTTACACCTTTAAATCAAAACTATCTGGAAGTGAGATTTATGAATAATTTTCAAACTAAATGAAAGTTATGTAAATTTGTCAGGTCTTCCTTCGGTCCCACTAGATTGGAAAATCTTCCAAATTGTGGTGGGGAATTGCTAATTTAATTAGACAATGGAGTTGTTTAAGGACAAAGTCACACTTTTTTACTTTTCCTTTTCTATATTTACTTTTCTGATGTATAGGGAAAAGGGGATTGAACCTTGGTGTCCAACAATCTTTCCACTCTCCCTAAATTTTTTATTGATAATTTGATTTATAAAGGGAAAAATAGTTGAACTTTGAAATACCTTTTTGAATGAGATGTAACGACGACCAAAACTTGAGACTAGAAATTAGAAAAAAAATAAGCTTGGATATATGAATTTATCATTGAATTAAAAGCTCAAATATTAAAAAATATATAAAGCTTATAAAAATTTTAATTTCTTGAAAGTTTTGTGATTTTATTTGTATATCACAATCTCAATTCGTCAATTTTTCTTTTATACAATAAGTTTTATCTATGAGAGGTATTAATTTCTTTTTTATCTTAGCATTCTTTTGAGCATAGTAGTTGGAGTTCATTATACCATGACAACTGATTAACTACCAAAACTCGAGATGAGAAATTAAAGAAAGGATAAATCCGGATACATGCATCTATCGTTGAGTTAAATGTTCAAGTATTAAAAGAAAACAATACGAGATTATCTTGTATTTTGCTATAAATAAATCAGAAAAAAAATTTGAGAATCAGGGATTTAAAACCTGTAAACAGTTTAATTTCCTGGAAGCTTTGTGATTTTATTCATGGATCTAAACATTAAAGCCAAGATATCACAATCCCAGGAAACTGCTCAATGCAAACATACATATGAACAGAAATGGAAAGCATATAATTGCATTAAACAGACTTGCAGCAATGGTGATCACAACGCTCTACCACACGAACAGGGGACAAATGCTGGGGTGTCCTTCGTAAATTATCAGTTCATATGGAGGATAAGGATGCCAGGATTGTATCGGAGTTGGTACCTCTTCCTTCTCATCCTTCCCTTTCCCTGTCTCTTCCTTCTGAGCCTTTTCCTTCTCTTCTTCCACGCTCAAAAGGGTAGCAGCCCGAACCTTTTTTCTCAACGAGCGAATTAACTCCACTGAGTCAACCCCATCCCCTTTCACCACGAGCTTATCCTTGTCTGCACCCTCTACTGCAACTGAAACCACACCTGTTGAAGAAAATTTAGTAGAAATTCGATATTTGTCAAAATAAAATGAAGTAGTTTAGGACTTAGGAGATATGATTCCAACCATTTGTTGTTGCAGCAACCTGTAGAGCCTTGACCCTGCATTTGTCACACCCCATGTTTGCACTGATAACTATCTTCTGCTGCACCATTATTATTACAGTAAATGTTAAATTTGAACCAATGATGCTGATAAAGAAATGGTGATATTTATATATAGGAAGAAATTAAGGTACATACCTTCATGATTAACGTATACGCCAATCGAGTCTAACCAAGGCAATCCCTTGGAGAAATTGTTGACAGAAACAAGAGAGATGCTGGTCTAATTTATAGACATTGGAGTGTCCTCATGGGCTGTGGTGGATGCCCTCTCAACCTTGACTTGTGATACACGAGGTGTCAGGTCTATTGCTATTCGGATTGCTATGCATAAACTGAACTATACCATCATTGCTAAGACTGTTTAAACCAGCCATATGTCTTGGTCAATTCCAAATTATACTATAAACAATACTAACTTTTTTCTCATCTCTTGGAAGAATAATATGGAAAAAGAAAATTGCATGTATCTGCATCAAGCACATCCTGTACAACTTACAAGTTCTTCCGAAAAAAATTGAATTAAATCATATGAATAATTAAGGGTTATATAGTATATCAAATATATAGAGCAGATCACCCCAATGAATTAAGAAGAAATCAGGTCACAAGAACCTCGATACATGCATTATGAGTGTACTTGTTCTTGGTCAATCCCACAACTTGTAGCTTAAATAATCAAGCATTAAGCATCATCTTCCAATGGCTTACTCTACCTTTATATTTCTTTTTAGGAAGTAAAATCCATGGCTAAGTCACACTATATCCCAAGAACATTGATGCACCTATATATGATTGTAATAGGGTTTGATTTCAAAGGCTTGGAGTCCAACAATTTCTCCACTCTCCTTAAATTTTTTATTGATAATTTGATTTATAGGGGGGGAAAAGTAATTGAACTTTGAAAGTTCTTTTTGAATGAGAGGTAATTTCCTCAAATGTTCATTCCTTAGGCTCATGTTCCCCACCAGTTTCTCTCTTACCAAAACTCGAGATTGAAAATTGAAATACTAAAAAAATTCAAGTACATGAATTTATCATTGAATCAAAAGCTCAAATATTAAAAAAAAATATGGAACCTATAAACATTTTAATTTCTTCGAAACTTTGTGATTTTATTCATATATCACAATCCCAATTAATTCATCAATTTCTCTTTCATATAATAAGTTTTATTTAAGAAAATTATCAATTTTTTTTTATTTTAACATTCTTTTGAGCATAGTAGTTGGAATTCATTGTACTGCAACAACTGATTGACTATCAAAATTAATTGAGATAAAAAAGTACAAAAAAGGAAATCTAGATACATACATTTATTAGAAAAGAAAATGGTACAAGATTTTTTTTTGTATTTGCTATAGAAAAAGATAAAAAGATGGAAAAAAAATTCGAGAATAAAAGGTTCGAAGCTTGTAAACATTTTAATCTCACAGAAGCTTCGTGAGTTTATTCATGGACCTATATATTAAAACCAAGATGTGAGAATCCGAGGAAAATGCTCAATGCAAACATATTATACTGCTGTAGCTACAGTAGATGTTTTCCAATGACAGCATTTTCCAGGCTGAGATAGCTGCTAAATTTGCTTCAGCACTCAGACCATGACATGTGCCTTGTGGTTAGGACCATCGACAAACCTCTATTTCTGGGCATTTTGATACAAGTAAGAGGAATGGTTGTGCGTGTCATATGACCGAATATAGAGTTTTTCTAATTTCCCATTCTTCTGGTGTTCTGAAGGCAAACAAATATGCAGGAATCAGGATAATCCATCAAGAGAATTCTTGTTGGGAAAAGTTGAATACCATCAGGCTATCTTTGACTTTCTTTGCATATGTCAACTAATTTTTTTGTTCTTCCAATGAAGAAACTAAACTCCCTAATATTCTCTTATTCCCATGGTGAACACATATACACAATTTCATTATCTACATATCCTGCACTGCTCAAGGTCATCAGTCCTATTTATTTCAATTCTAATTTGAGATTTTGGCTGAAAGAAAGTTGTCTAATTTGAGAAATTAATCTGTAGCTTGATCAAATTTTGTGAATGTTTAAACCACTGCAGCAATCTTCGGGGCCTCTGTCCTGCATTTGTCACAGTGCATTGACACCTTGATCACTATCATGCAAGAAAATAGATTTTGTTCCAAGAGCATAGATGTTGATCATCAACCATAAGAATGGAAATCCAAAGATGGAAAAACCCCCACTATTTATATTGCTTGTTGTCTGCCTTGGAATATACGCAACATTATACTTGCATGTTCATAAATAATTGACTTTTGGGATACTTTATCAACTAGTTGACTAATTGTAAAACCTGCCATTTTCTGATTTAAATATTCCTTGCTCCTCACATTTTGCTTAGAATTATTAATTTCCATTGACCAATGGCTTCCATGGCTCCCAATGGTCTGCTCTCCGAGAGGACAATTCCAAGTTCTGATATGGCTGGAAATGGCTTAGCCTTCTTGCTGAAATATGATTAATTAACTCTTTATCACGAAACACTTTTATTTTTAGTAATCTGTTGATTAAAGAAATTGTCTCTCTCAATGTGATTCATCGTATTTTCCATGACGGATGGAGGAAGAAAATTGTCGAAATTATTGGCAAATCTTGAAGTATGTAGCATCTACCCTATTGCTTCTGCAAGCTAAGCCCCATGAATTCTTCCATGATGAACCAGAGCCAACCGAACATAGCAAAGGGGCAGAGACTCACTCAGGGAACAAGCTGTTGGGCCATGCCAAATTGTCAACTATGAACTCTTGGTATATTATAATTTATTTGTCAAGTTCTTCCCGTAACTAATTCTTGTATTATTTTTTTGTACTTACTATTATATCTCATGCTTTCATTTTGGTGGTCAGATTCCTCGAATTCCTCATTTGTTATAGGAACTTAAACGGTATTAATTAATTCATATGAGATAGCTACCTCAATAGAAGTTGAAGCAAAGTGTTTTAAATAAAATTTCTCAATTTTTTTTATTTTCAAAATTAATTCATGATCGATTATTGAAAGAACGTCTCTTATTGTTATTGACATCGAAGGAGACCTACAACACCATCATCAACATAAGAAAAAATAATCTTAAATTTATCTTAATCGCAACTTATTGAAAATATAAAATTTCAAAAGTAAAATTATGTGTATATATATTAATTTTTCCAAACTAATATAATCATTGTGTAAAATGTAAATCCATGTACGCAATGGGAATGTAAGCACCAATCGAACTGCTGTGTATACAAGGAATGAATTAACAATATAAATTCTTGAATAAGTATATTTTATTCTAAACATCACAAGCATGACTTTTATAAAGTCATGGATGTAGGTGAGATTGGAAAAATGTCTATGAAAATTAACTTAAATTAAGACCCAACTTGTGTAAATTAAGCATTCATTTGTGCCCAAGAACTTGAGGTCTTTTAACTACTGAATTGACTAAGCTGCCAGCCATCCAATTTGTTAGGTAAAGCTTGATTATAAGCAAATATACTTGTCCCATGATTCATGTAAGCCAATCACAAAGCAAACTGAGTAATAAAATATGAACATGAATCATGTGGCTAGCAGGAGCTAGAGCAACGACTAATGTCATATAATATACATATTTGATTATGAGTTTACTTGTTCTTGGTCAATCCCACAACTTGTAGTTTAAATAATCAAGCATTAAGCATCATCTTCCGATGGCTTACTCTACCTTTATATTTCTTTTTTGCAAGTAAGTATAATTCCACGAATATTGATACGCATATATATGATTGTATCCGAAGGAGAGTCTACGAAACAGAAACAGCTACTACATCTAAAGAAGGCAGCAGACGCATGAATTATCTAATCCTGATACAAGAAGATAGTGACAGTAAAATTCTGTTTACTAAAATTAATTATAATGGCTAGTTTGTTACATATTTGGTGGAACAGTACTAAAATTTCTGGTAAAATATTAATAACATCCTTATCAAACATGGGGAAGCAGTAAAAGAGAGAAAAAAAAAAAAGATGAAAGTGCTAGCTTGAGCCTACCACTTGTTCTTAGGATTCCTAGGGATAATTTCAGTTTGAACTATTCTTTCACATGACATCAGTATAAATTTAGAGTAACTAGGCAGCGAATATAAATTAAGTCTTGATTACTGCACTTTTAAATTTTAATCCATAAATAAGATATAAAGTAAGTATTTACATACATCATTCCTTAATTAATTTTGAGTAAGAGTACTTAGCCAATCTTATGTAAGTTTGTATGTGATATGTTTTAATATAGAGATTAATTACAACTTAATTGTCACATTATCGCGTATAAGTAACTTGATCATTGATAATTCAATATGATTAACATTGATGGATGGAATTAATTTTGTTGTTATTGAATGAAGAAATATGAGTGGATAACTATACACTAACTACCAGACTTGGTCTAATTGATCATCATCTCATCACCAGACAGGGACTTAGAGTTCGAGAAGAAGAAGGAAAAGTAGCAGAAAGAACAACAATGAGGTAAATACAAGGTGCCATGGTACTTCACCCTTTAAGATTTGCAGATATATAACAAAGACCAAACTCAGCTCAAATCGTGTTCGAAGATGGAGAAAGCTGGAACTAGTTTTCAACAAAAGAGAATGAAATTTTTATCAGATGAATGACTGTCACATGATGGAACAGATGGTTGGGTTTGGGTCATAAACCACTCCATAGTGTAAGGTACAATAATTTGGACATTGACAACAACTAAATGAACTGCATTGGTAGATTTCTGGTTTTTTATGCTTATCTCCATCTTTTCCTTTGTCCTCTCCCACACTGGTTATGGCTGCATACCCAAGCTTTTTCCCGAGTAAACAGGTCAGTTTTGCTGAATCAATTCCTTCTCCAGTCACCACAACCTGATCTTTGTCTTTCCCTCCTATGGCCACCGAGCTCACACCTGTCAGAGAAAGCAAGAATCAGATGAACATTCAAGGAATTGTTTGTGTTTTTTTTTTTTTTTAAAGTTTGTTCAAACGATGCAATACATACCATTTGCAACTGCAGCAATCTTCATGGCCTTGGTTCTGCATTTGTCACAGTGCATTTGCACCTTGATAACTATCTTTTGCTGCAAACACAATCAAGGTGCGTTAGTTTCAACGACAAATCCCTAAGAAGAACCCCAGATCATGATGTAAAAGAAACAAGGCTTACCTTCATGGTTTAGTCTATGTAGCTAGTACACAAAAGACTGCCTTCTGTCAAACAATGAATGTAGGTTTATGGAGTGAAAAGTAGTACCAGTATCGACTTATATAGGGAAGGGCCTTCCTGTCTGTTTGAGGAGATACATAGTTGCCACGCTTAAAATAACTAATGATTGGCTGAACTTAAGCTTACCTTAAACTACCTAGTTGATATAAATTTTAGTCAAAGCCAAAACCGCGGCTTCTGCAGACCTGGTCAGCTCCAATCTAGTTTCTCAAAACCGCTGCCATTAGCTAATATTTTATTGTTAGGCTGTAGTTTTTTTTTTTTTTTGAAATATGTTGTTGATTTCAAAGCAGAGTGTACCGAAGGTTCACCTCTGTGAAAAGTACAAACATGATTAAGGTTCACCTGTATGAGGATAACAGACCTTAAACATGATTAGCTAATATTTTATTGTTAAGCTGTAGTTGATTGACCCTTTACAGTAACAGCCTCATTCTACTTCCAATTTCCGCTGTGTTTATTACTTTATTACATGTAGTACTGCATGTTGATGAATGATAGTTGAGTTTGATCATTGAATTATTGTTGAGTTGAGATAGCGGCTCAATGAGATTGGTGTTTGCTTAAACTCCAAATCGAGGTTCTAAGTCGAAGTTTCTAATCAGTTTCTCTCAACTATAAAAGAGAAAAAAAGAAGTTCATGTTGGTATATGCATGACAGTGTTTAAGTTTTTAAGTATGACATTTTATCAGTAAAAACTTCCACTTCAGACTATGGTTCTCAATGAACAAATGGTGTACATGGGGCTGGAATATAAAATGGAGTCGTGCAAAAAATAGTAGCTTGGTCAAAGACAGACAGATAGTTGAAGACATTCTCCATATTTGAAAGGAGGCTCCTCCTCCTTGAAGCTGTAAAGAGGGGTTGTAGGTAGAAATTAACCGCATAAAATGCAATCAAGGCTGTTGATGTGAAGGGTTTTCCTCGGTTTGGGTTTGGGGTATATGCAAGGCACAAAAATTCTTTGCATGTCAAAATACATCAGATAAGAAGAAGGTAATCCTGTTAGGCTTATTAATCATTATGAGTAGGACTGCAGGGCATTTAATTCAACTGCATGGGAACACTCGGTCATCCATTCATCATCATATAACTTGGAATTACAGCAAGCTGCTTATAGTTTTGGTTTGACAACGTATTGAATTTTGATGAGTCTTGGTAAAAATCACATGAAAGACGAAGGACAGTGCAGCAGAATACTGAAAAGTTTAAGAACTTGGCAAAACAGTAGAATACAGAACGAGGATGCAGAACTTTTCTCGCGTCTTCACTTTCCCATGCAGCATGATGAACCCCCACGCGGAGACATGCTAACAGCCGTGCGGGCAAAACGCAGAACGAAGAGCCCCCAACAAGGCTTGACAAGGTGAGAACTAAGCCCAGGTTGTCAGGGGGCTTCTGAATATGAGCCCAGAACTGAACCTAGAAATGGACCAAATGAATTTGAGCCTGATAAGTTGAGAAGCCAACTAGATCCGCCACACCCCCACCCCCCGGGGCCAGTTGTCAATGAGCCTGCAGTAAGGCTATTTGCTTGGAGCCAGTGAACTCAACAAGCCATAGGCTTAGCCAAAATGAGTCCACTTCTCCGTATCCGCGGTAGCCTACTATCGGCAGGCCTTTAATACCAAATCCACAGCCAACTGATGCAACCAACCCCATTGGCCAGCCCGATACTTAAGTATGTTGGCCGGATTGGTCTATTTGAAGGCTGCTTAATCCCCTTTTTGGGTACACATGGCTGCTTAACAACTGTGTTGAACTGTCTTACCAGAATCATATATATTTTTTTTGAAGATTGATCATTGAGAACTTTCATTCCATTTGGGAATACCCAGAATATACACTAATCAAGAGCCATAGAAAGGTTAGCTCTGTTCCCCTAATCAGCCTCCTGGTTACAAAAAATCCAGTGGCCATAAGCAACCCACAAAAATCCACAATGGCGTGTGGATTGGGTGGATGATGATTAATCAGAGACATGAGATTTGTGGAATATCTTCAGCAACATTGACGCTCTCATGCATGGTGCATGGTAGACATCATTTGATATTAGTGTACTGTGGAGTCCATATTTTCAGCATGGTAGTGGCCCTCATTCGATATTCGCGTACTGCCTATGTTTTGTCTATCTGCTTCTGTTGAGTTTTGGTATGAAAATGAACCAGAAGAGCAGAAAAGTTTAGACGATATTGAATTGCAGAAAGAAAAGAACAGATAGATGAGCTTAACTGGACTTCAGTGAGGAAGAAAGAAGCTTGATACAATGAAATTCAACTTGAAAATACAAGAAAAACTAAAGCTTAATTCTTACAGAAACATCACTTAAACTCTGCCTTACACTACCTACCTACAAGCAGAAGGCAGAAATTAAGTCTTTGCATGCTTTGACACTATCAATACAACTTGCACATTGATAAAACAACACATGACACAAAAAGACATGACAATGTGGATGAAGTCATAATCTTCTCTGCTTATCTCAGCGTCAACAGCTTCCTCACCAACTTTATTTTGAAATGCTTTTATTCTTGATTCATTCACCTACCAAGAGAAAAAGCAATTACAGGTTAAGGTAAGAGAGTCATGCAATGTATTGGCTGCATAGTTCTACAAGTAGAAACCTGGAAGCAGTCACTGCCTGTGAAGTGTGAAAATTGCCAAGCATATATATGTTTAAAATTAGAGAAAAGGGCACTAACAAGAACACAGTTAAAAGCTAGGAATGCTTACCATGGAGAAAAATGATCCCTAATACAGGCAGAATCAGGAAAGATTCTGGAAGGACCATAGTCCGTTTCTCTCAAGCCTGTAAGAGTGGATAATCTTAATGTGATCAACCATCAAACGGTCTTCGCAATCCTTCTTAAGCCTGTTAAGGAAGCTCTCGTTCATATCAAACAGAAGCAGCTCTTCAAGGTGAGTAAGCTCGGAGATACCTAATGGAAGTATCTCTAACTTCTCACACTTGCATAGTGTTAGCTTTTCGAGTTTAGGCATTGCGTTTGTCTGTACTACCACCATGTTTAGGCTAGCAAATTGTTCAAGATGCAAAATTTTTAGCTTCTGGAACGAATTAGCCATGAACTCCAAGGATTCCCCCATGTAGGAATCAACCATCTGAAGCTCCAGAAGGTTTGGCAAAGCTTGAAGCGCCCAGAGTGGGTTGTTGTCGGTGTTCAGTTTTGACCACTTCAGATAAATCCTGACTAGGCTGTCAAGAGAGGATGAGGAAATCCACCCTGGTAACTTCTCCAGGCGTCCTTTTAAGTATAGACGTTGAAGAAAGCGAGGGTGATTACCCATATGATCCAGATATAGGTACTCTTCGGGACCAGTTGAGCTTACATCAAGAGTCAAAAGATTTCCCATCTTCTTGATGGAATCACACAGTTTCGGTCCATCTTTTTCCTTGAGATCAAGAAGCCCCAGCTTCCTCAGACATGTTAAAGCTTCCAACTCTTCTATTACTTTACTGTTTGCCCTTAAAAGCGACAATTTCTGAAGCTTACACAAAGTCCCAATTCCTGCAGGAACCTTCATTCCTTGTACAGACTCAAAGGTTACATAATTCTTTACATTGTAACGATAAACTAGCAGATGGCGCAAAAACTGGAGAGAAAATATCTCCGATGGCAACTCAGTCACATAAGTCTGTTTGAGGTTTAAGGTTTCAAGGTATGCTAGCTTCTTTATAGACTTAGGAATTGTCTCTATTTTTGTTTCCCTCAAAGACAGGTAGCTTAGAAGGGTGAGCTTAACAATTTCTTTAGGAAAAGTTTCCAATGGTGCACCCTCTAAATCTAAGATCTTCAACAATTTAAACCGATGAAGTAATTTCCCAATCTTGGAGCTTAAGGAATCATGCCATTGAAACATGAACAAAGCTCGAACGCAACCCAAAACCAAATCTTTGTTCTGAGGCCAACCATACTGAATAGAGAGGCGTCGAACTTGAACTTCCTCATGTTGAACTTCCTCATCACTTGACCCTGTGCTTGATTTAGCAAGGATTTTGACAAAATTTTCCTCCGTGGATTTCTCAATGAGGAATTCTCGAACCAGATTGAGCACTCGACAAGTGCTCACACGTCCAGCAAAATCCCTTGAGCTTACATGAATCAAATTCCTTCCTATAAGCTCATTGAGGTAATCTTCTGCAACCATCTCCTTAGTTTTGCCTCTTTTTGCCTTGATAAATCCTTCAGCTATCCACAAGCGAATCAGCCTTCCACGCTTTATTGAATAATCCTCCGGAAAGATACTAAAATACATAAAACAACTCTTTAGATTGCTTTTGCCTGACAGATCTTTGTAACTTGGCAGCAATACTTTTCCAAAATTTGAAAGATCTGAACCAGGTCCAATTTCTGACCCAAGGCTATTGAGAAATTTCTGGAATTCATCACTTTTTTTTTCCCTGGTTGATAGAAGGCTACCGACTGCCACAATTGCAAATGGTAAACCTTCACATTTTTTCAGAATACTTAGAGAATACTCCAGCAGCTCCTCCGGACACTTTCCATCTCTGCCGAAAGCCTTCTTACAGAATAGGTTCCAAGCGTCTGGCCGTGATAGAGCTTCTAATTTGAGAACATGACGCTCTGACGACTGTACACAAGAAGAGGCCACATTAGAGATTCTTGTGGTGACGATTATTCTACTGCGTTTGTCACCAAAGGGCAGTTCATTCACAATGCTTACCCAATCCTCTTTACTCCACAAATCATCTAAAACGAGGAGATACCTTCTCTGCTCTAAATGGCGCTTCAGTTTTTCTTGAACAGTCATCCCATGAGGAAAGAGCTTCTCCTCCCACCCCCCACAAAACTGCCCCAATATTCCCCTTAAAACTTCATCAGTTTTGAAGGAAGGAGACAAATCAATCCAAGCATGACAGTCATATCGACTAAGAACACTTTTATCATCATAGACACTCCTCACGAGAGTGGATTTTCCTGAGCCAGCAGTCCCAGCCACTGAAAGTGTCATGCGCCTTGCTTCTCCTTCTTGTAACATCTGGATAAGTGTTGCTTTCTGCTCCTCAAAGCCTACAATTTCATCTTCTTCTGGAATCTGATAGGTTGCACGATCCTCCAACCTTGAACTGGAGCTGGAGCCTTCATCTGGATAAAGGCGAGGATCAAAGCCCTTAAGGTTGTCCTTCTTTCTCCTGATATCATGAATTTTCCGGGACAACTCATGGAGAGCAAGGCGGCAAGTAGGATAATGAGCAGCATCATGAACCACCTGTGAGAGTTTATTCCTACTGAATCGATGTCGCACATGAAGCCGGAACTCATCAAGAACATCCTCGATATCATAGGCTATGTCTCGTAATTGCTTTGCTCGATCTATCTGTAGTGCACTGCCGCCTTTACCATCCATATCTTTCAAGTAGGCCTGTATAGTCCTCAGCCAGTTTCGGACGTCACGAATATCATCCTGGACGCTCTTCTTAAGGTTCACTTCTTTATCAAGGAAGCTTGATACATTCTCGATCAGAGAGATTGCTGCTGCAATGGCTGCATCTACCATATTTTGGTTCGTTCTTTATTTTCCCTGCTTGAGGAAGAACTTTCAGACTTTAATAATACAGTTCTCTGTGACTGGGTGGCTGATGTTCTGCTCTTGAATTGATAATCTTTGTGCTACTTGATTATTTGTTAAAGCTTTTGTGGGTCTCTAAGGCTAGGAAGGGTCGGGTTCTATTTTGTTCTGCTGTCATGATTTGATGTGTTTTGTATAGGTAGGATTGTGCATGTATCAGTCATGGGAGGTGTATAGTTGTCTGATTTTTGGATAGCAGGTTTTTGTGGGTAGCTATAAGTATGATTTGGTGAATATACCTGCTTTTTGTGCCCAGGTATAGCTCACAAATCACTGGTTCTTTACTGATATTTTTTTTTAAGGGGATTTTTTCATCCTCCTTTGCAATGAAACTCCAATATTTCAAAAAATAATAATAATACAGTTCTCTCCTCCTTTGCAGTAATCCCATCATTTTTTTGAGCTTCTCTTCTTCTATTGACTTGGAATTGTTCAAAGTCTTTCAATACAGTTCAAGCAATGATCGTTACTTGAGGTGCATTGATGACTAAAACGATGGAAGAGAGCCAAATGCAAGGGGTGGCCAACTGCTTCTTCCACGTTTTCCGTGTCAAACGGTGTGACTCCTGAATTAGACCATTAATATCTCCAATATTCACAATAAAGAAAAATGAAAGGAACAAGTTTGAATGAAATGGTTGTACGGCCAGGGAGGACTGCCAATATAATCTAAGTAAAAAATTAGAATATTCATTTTGTTTGTTTCAAGGTCATACGCATAGCTCTCGATGTGTTACTTTTGGATATGATACAAGAAGATACGAGATTAAACAAGTGTTTAACACTCTGTCTGATTGTATCTGACACGTTTAAGATAAAAAAACATGAATCGCTAATTTACATAACTCTGTAAAAGATAAAAGAAGACCATGTCCAATATCAGTTAAATGCAAAATTTCCAGGCTGCTTCATGGAAAATATATAAACACTTGCGTATTAGGAAGATATCTCCTGAATAAATTCCAAGGCAAGTACCTATATAGTCAATTGGTTTGTTTCCAGGTCATATTCAAAACTCTGTCAAAGAGAAAACAAAGGCCATAACAGTGCAAAATTCTTCCAAGCTGCTTAAGCAAGTTGCAATAGAATACACCATGCTAAGACAATGATCTATCTCCAATAGAAGGCAAAGCCAGGTCAGGAACGAAGAAAATGTCCATGCCAGAAATTATGTAAAGTCATCCATTAACTGCAGTCTGCAGGTTAGCAAGTAAGATTCCTGGTATAACAATATGCTGGTAATAGCTGTCCACAGGTGACACAATTGGACAAAACAAAAAAACTCATAGTAATCGAAGTTCTACATTTGCCGTCTCTCAGAAGTTATAAGGAAGTAATTAGTTTGTAGAAAGATCATTGCTCATAATCTGATAAACTTCCATTACATTCTATCAGTTCCATAAACACAAGATAACTACTTTTTCAGAAAGTTTAAGCATTTCCAACTCTACACAGGCCAGAGCATCAGTAAGTTGTATAATCAGAACATCAATAAAATGGCAGAGCAATCCACAAAATATGTTATCTCATTAAACATAAAACCTGAAAAGTATAGTCTCAACCAAGTTTAGCAAGAAAATTATGTAAAAGAGGGTACATATGTCAAAACTAGAAGTGAAATGAATATATGATTACTAACGGAATGTTGATTTTTAAGTGAATCAATTTAATTGCTCTTTTTGTTCATATTAATTTGGCCATAGGGTGGCCATGGAAAGGAAACAAAGAAGAAAAAATTAATCTAATTACTCATGGCTTTTGAGTCAAATTAGGCAAACTCTTGTATAAACCAATCCTCATACCAAATTTATAGAAGAAATTCCAACTTTTTACATGTTACTTTTACCACAATTCTAACATTAAATCCTTTACAGGCAGCAAATGTAGGCGTCTTCAATGTAAAACAACAAAGCATGAACTCCGCCCAATATCCTTTAAATCCTATCTTCAGAAATATTTCAAGGTCCAGATGTAAGTCTTGGCCTTGGAAGTGAAGGCAGCCAGGGTCCCAAAGAAGCCTATCAGTATCAACTTTGTGTAATTGTAGCTTATATCCAATTCATCAAAAACCAAAAAAGAAGATGACCCAATCTCTTCTTTTCCTCTATAAATATATATATGCCACGGCTTTCATGGTGATGCAGCTGGTAATAGGCCAAATATGTAAGTTTTGCTAGGATGGCTGTTGAAATTCCTGTCACCACCAAAGCCATATTTGGTGCGATAGCCTGGATAGTCAGTGAAATTGAATGGCACCTCTTGTATAGGCCTGAGACCAGCAGCGGAGGCTAGACCTCGTAAATTCCAACCAAGAAAGAAACCATTGGATTTGTGTGTCACATGGATTTGGCCATGTTCATCTATCATCTCCTTTGCATTCTCAAAGAACAACCTTATCAGTAACTGATGGCGGCTGCAAAGAAAAGGAGCAATTACTGCATGGAATGAGAAAGTTCTTCAAGCTTTGTGAGAAAATTCGAGTGCACATTACCGTTTCTGAGATTCACCAGGTTCGTCAGTGCAAAATCCAGCATGTGGAAAGTTGTAAATGACCCTATCAAATTTAATACACCTAAGGGCATAATGGTTTGCCATTTCAGTTGCATCCACACCATGCAGAACTGTGCATCCTCTGATTCTCAATTCATGGATATTGGACATTGCCTTCTTATAGTTTCTGAACAAAAATCCTGCAAGATGTAATTATCCTGTAAAACAATTCCCAGTTTGTTTGCTGTCTGAAATTAGAGCAGACAAAGAGTGCATGCAGTTTCTTAGTTCATACCTCTAGAGTCAAGAGAAGTAGCCACCATGTTTCTTGCGGAACCAAACGCTATAGCCAGACAAGCAGAGAATGAGAAATCCCCTTCACCCACCAACAACATCATGTGAGAACTGCAATAATGCCTAACCCATCTTTCTGGGACTCCATTTTCTGTTTCTTCCCAACTGTCCGCACCCAAGACATATGCAGAAGCAGAACCCTGCCTGTTCGGATCTTCCACAATATCAATGCATGTACTAGTCACATTTTTATGACATTTAAAGGTAGAGTTTAGTGTGTCATTTAAAGGATCAAACAACTCTGGTGTAGAAATGAAAAGGCTGCAGTGCTCATCTGAGTCGTCTCTTTCCTCTTCTGGACGAAACCAACATTTTTTGATGGAGAGAATTGGGCCCAATAAACGGTTCCGAATGAAGGAGAGAATTTGACCCATTGAACCTCTTCTGCTCCTTCTTCACAGGGCATTCCAGATTGCAGAGAGCCAAGGGGAACTCTTCCTGGTCAAGAGCAATGTAGCTTTCCTAGTGAGTTAATACACGTCTAATCGAATTTCAAAGCGTTTGACAGGACTGTTGGGTTCTTTTCTCTGGAAAACTGGAGATATGATGTTACTGCCATTTCTCGAGAACCTATCTAAAAAGCTGATTACTTCCGCTGTATGTTGGATTACATGCATTTATGTATGCATGATGCATGCATGCATACATACATTTATGTATATCATCAGCTTAGCTCACTATAATCAATTAATGAAGTCTGTGGCTAAATGCTAATAGTCACCTTCCTTATGATTTTAATGAATCTGCCTCTCTAACCCAACATTTTTCCAGGCATGTGGACTTGTGAGAGGTGATAAGTTCCTGATCATAGCAGTTTCACATCACAATTTAACTAAGACACCTAGGCTATTGTGTGACCATATATCCAGCAATCAGAGAAGTTTATACAAGATTGAAATTGATCAACCAAGAACAGAAAAGGCATAATCCTGATAACAGGAAACTAAATTTAAGATGATAGAGAAAGAGTAATGATGGATGCTAACAACCCAACATAGCCATGCATCAGACTAGCAGAGATGAGTAAAAGGAAAAGCAAATTAATTACCTTTTATTACTAGGGAGATGTAATGCTTTTGGAATTGGAGTAGCAGACTACACGGAGAGAGAGATGAGAATGTTAGATGATTACTGGGAAAGCAGGAGAGGTGAATGCATTCATTAGTTGAAGAAGCAAAGCAAGAGAGCATAGAAAAGTGGGGAATAAGTCTTTATGGTCAATAAACCGAAGCAGAGAGGAAAGAATTTTTTTCAACTAGGCCAAGTTATTCCAATTGTTGGGTAGGTTGGTAAAATATCAATATTCTTTTCATTTTGTTTGAGCATGATATACTGTTTAAACCATAGGACAGAATTATGTAATTATATTTCCTGTGATGCTGCCCAAGAATATTCTTAAACATTGGCCCAATAATTTTGAGGGTCATGACGTAGAAGTTTACAATCGTAAAGTACGTTTTGATATCATTTATTATGATTTAAGTTTAAATATCGATTTAATAATTTTTTAAATCTAAATCACATGATTCTTAAAAGTTTAAATTCAAATTATTAATAGTAATAGACTTAAATTGTTATATAAATCTTAATAATTTCACTCACATAAGATGTGAGAGGTGAAGTATCACATTTTTTGCCTTTTAAAGTATTAGTAAGGATGTCGAAAATGGTTTCCATAATAAATCCTCATTCTTTTATCTTTAATCCCTCATCTTATTTGCAAAGAACATATAGAATTTATTGAGGAAATTGTGAGAAATAACTTTCCCAATAAACTAACTTTAAAAATGACATTCATTATAATTTTAACTATTTTTAGATAATTTTTGATATGATTTAACAAGAACACCCTTTAAACCATTTAATCCAAATTAAATGATTCTCGTTTTTTTCTCCTCTTTCGCCATTTAAATAAAAATTTCAAAATTAAATCTCGGTTTAGCTTTCTTGTTGTCTAGAGCTCCAATACCATCGGAGTCTATATCTCATCACCTAGCTCTCCAACGCCATCGAAGTCTATATGGCCATCCAATTTTCTCAGCATCCCAAATTGCAGAGATGAAATCAAAGTATTTTTTATGGGTTTTTTTATTTTTTTTATATTCATAAAACACAAAAGTTGATGAGTAAATTATATGATTTTGGAAACTTAAATTTTGCTGGGAGTAGATGATGCATGAATATTTATTAAGTATTATATCACTGAATATTAAAGTGTATGACTGGATATTAGGCATTGTATGATTGATTATTAGGAATCGTAACCTGTTTATTTAGCATTATATGACTGAATATTAGACAATGTGAGACTATATAAGAGGTATTGCGAGACTATATTTTAGGAATTGTGTAAGTTGTGCATTGCGTAACAAGATTTTAGGCATTACGTGACTAGTTTTTAGTAATTGTGTTACTTTATCTACCTACTGTCGAAGCTGATTATCTACTAATTCAACCCCCTTAATAACAAATTCTATAAAATTAGAAGAGAATTAGGAACGCTTAATAACCAATTCAACTCTCTTAATTCCACTTATATCAGTGCAAAAAACCATTTAGATTTAGCTAACACAAAACTCTAAAATTCTCTTTAAAGCACTTAATGCATCGATTTACAAACTAACTATATTTATCAGAACACAAACTTAAAACCATCAAACATCTTTCCAATAGTCAACATTCATGCCTATAAATAGAGGAAACCATTATCTATTTTAATCAAAATCATATGAAAAAAATTCTCAAAATTCTCATGGCTTCCAAACGATCCAAAGGTAAAACTGGGAAGGGAGTTACTGCTAAAAAAGAAGATATCCTCAAATATTGCAGCATATTCGGTTAAGTAGATGAATGAAATTGAGAACATGGAGAAGGACATGCGTGGGTTGATGGATAAGTTGCTGGTTTGGACAGAAATTCTGTAGATAGAAATTTTGGACAATAACAAGATTTTAACTGAAATTTATGAAATAGTAGATGAAATTAGGAAGAAATGAACCGTTGGCCATGCTATAGAAGTTTACAAAGCCGTAGAAGTTCACATTGGACTGACGTAAGCTTTGATATCATGATCTAAATTCAAGTATCAAGCTAGTAACTTTTTGAATCAAAACCACATGATTCTGAAAAACTCAAACTCAAATTGCTAATAGTGATGGACTTAAACAATCATATAAATTTTAATAATCTCATTCACATTGTGAGGTGTGAAGTATCACATTTTTTGTATTTGAAAGTATTAGCAAGGATGTTGAAAATGGTCTCCAAAGGTAAATCCTTATTCTTCTATCTTTGTCATCCGAATTAACTGCTACATTTACTCCCTCGTCTCATCTGCAAAGAACATATTCTGCAGAGAACATATAAAGTTTGTTTGTGCCATTAAGCTCTGCAAATTTATAACTTGAACTGTGATATCAGATGGATTTTTCCTTTTTGGGATATTAGAGATTGTGTATCGTTACAACTTGACAGCTTAATTGAACCTGTAATAACATAGATTATAACCATTTTTGACAGAAGAGCCTGGAAAATTTCTGGGTTGAATGTAACCTTTTTCCTCTAGATACGTCACTCTAGAAAGGTATTGACCTGTTTGTCAGATGGATTTCACCATCTTCGTCCACCACTTTGTTTCCATTTTCAAAGAACAAGTAAGCCAACTGCTGGTTCCTCCTCTATTTTAATGCAAAAGAAAGGCAATGGAGATATTAAAGTTTCCCATAAACAAATCCCATGGTAAAAGGTTTTTCTCCTTTCGTAAGGACTTGGACAAACAACAGAAGTGTTTGATGAGTAAGAGCCTCAGAATCAGTTTCCTTTCCTTTCTTAAGATTTTCGGGACAGGTTCTTTATCAATATATGCATTGGAAGCTCTTTTTCCATGTTTTTCCAAAGAGAAATCATATAAAGAGTTTCTTTTACTTTGCTGAAATTGACTGGAAGGTCTCTGCCTCAATCCTGAATGTTAAAGGTTCATGACTCCCATCTTGCTCACAAACTAAACAAATTGAATCCATTTATTGGCCAAAAAAGATAGAAAAAAAAAAGTCAGACCTGGGAAATCTTTTGGTCCACAACAAGGAAAGAAAAAGAAAATGGCCGCGGAAGCTTTTTTGATCTTCCTGTGCCTGAAAATTCTAGACAGTCATATTTTTATAACAGATTAGGTGCTGTCACCTCTAGAAGCTTATTCTTTTGCACTGACTTCATTCCCTGTGACAATGTTTATTTTTGCTTAGTAAACAGATTGAATGTGTAAATCCTAGATTCATGTGGAGGCCAAAAGGTGTGTCCAAAGTAGAATCCTAGCCCTTGCATTAGCAGGCAATCATACACCTGAGTTAGGCCCCAGAAGTAGCAAACTTAAGCATTAAGCAGAACCATGTTTTTACTTTTTATTTGCTTTTCAGCATTGCAATTTCAAAAGCAAAAGCAATTCAAAACACAAACGTCTGCTGCTGGTTTTTTATCTTTAAATCTGCTGCTTTTCCCAATCTCAAAACACTAAGAGTAGCACAATGGTCCCACTAGCAATCAAAAGCTTTCTTTTCCTCTTTGCTTTCTTTAATCAACCTTCTCAAATTTATTTAAGGAAACATCAGACATTAAACCTCTTATCTGCTCCATTTTTCTTCATTAAGAAGTGTTTTGTTTTCATCCATCAGCATTTCTCAAGGCATGCTTTCCCTCCCACCTCCACCCCCACCACCGCCAGGAGCATCTCCTCCACCACCACCACAAAAACAAACCACTCCAGTCTCTCTGGACCAAATTGTAATATCAAAGCCAGTTATAAACCAACAAGCTTCAGCTTCACAAAAACCAGATCCTGACAGTACTGAGAACTCAAGGAAACCAGTCCTACGACAGCCTCATACTCGACGGACCAATCCATTGATATGGTGTTCTGCAATCCTTTGTCTGATATTTTGCCTTATTCTCATCTTGTTCGGAGTAGCAACTTTAATCATCTTCCTCTCCATAAAACCAAGGACTCCTGCGTTTGACACTCCTAATGCAAGCCTCAACGGCATCTACTTCGATTCACCAGAATATTTCAATGGTGATTTCACCTTCCTGGCAAACTTTTCCAACCCCAATCGGAGAATTGATGTAAGATTCGAGTATCTGGTTATAGAGCTCTACTTCCACGACAGGCTCATTGGAACTCAGGCTGTTCAACCTTTCTCTCAGAGAAGAGGAGAAGCTAGACTAGAATCAGTTCATTTCATATCGAGCTTGGTCTATTTGCCACAGAATCTTGGGGTGGAACTACAGAAGCAGGTTTTAAGCAACAGGGTTAACTACAACATAAGAGGGACTTTCAAAGTGAGAGCCAATCTGGGTTTGATCCATTTCTCTTATTGGTTGCATAGCAGATGTGAGTTGCTGATGTCAAGTCCCCCAACAGGTGTCTTAGTTTCACATCGTTGCAAAACAAAGAGATGAAAATGCACGTCCTTTTTCCCTTAATATCAAGATTTTCATTTCCTTCTGTCTGAATTGAGACTAGTTGATTCTCTGATGGAAAGAAAATTCTTGAAAATTTTAAGCTTCACACAAATAGTATATTCTTCTTTTTCTTATTGCAACTACTTGATACTTCCTTTGGAACCTCAAAATTATACCATGAGATTATAGTTTTAGCAATTGGTTAAAGAATATATATTAATTTGGTGGTATAATCAGTCATTGAGCTTATCTACCATAAGCAAACAGATGATAGGAAGAAGAACAGTACAAGTCTTTGTAATTATAATCTATAACCTCGACCCTGCTCAATATACATAGACGCTTAATCAGTACATGTAGCCCTTAACGAATAAACTCTCAGAAGCCAATCCCCGAGCACTTCCTCCAGTGTACTTCCCAAGTGTGGCGTCAGAATTAGCTTTGCATCTCAACAAAAATGCTTGTTGTGCCTTGGCAACATTCTCCTTCTTCCCTCCCCATGTCTTGAGTGTGCTTTGTTGCAGAGCTCGCCCGAATGAGAAGGACAGTGTCCATGGCTTCAAAACATCTAGCTTGTTCATGGCATCAAGATTCAGTGTTGCCTCTTCCTCACTTTGACCACCTGACAAGAACACAATCCCTGGCACTGCTGGGGGAACAGTTCGACGAAGTGCAGCAACTGTATATTCTGCAATCACCTGAGGTGACACCTGTGAAATAATACCAATTTTGGAGCCATCAGAACATGCGAAATTTGTTAAATAGACCCGTTATCTAGAGCTACTTATAAGTTTCATATTTGAGTATCATTTAGGATCAACTGTAATAAATTCAGGACAAAAGCAAGTAAAGTCTAGATTACCTTGGGGCTGTCAGAACCTGGAGTGACCATGTTAGGCTTCAAAAGGGTGCCCTCAAGCAGAACATGGTGATCATTCAGCGCCTTGTAAACTGCTGCAAGCACAGTTTCAGTGACAGCAGCACATTGTTTAATATCATGAGGCCCATCGGTTAGCACCTCAGGTTCAACAATGGGAACGAGCCCATTTTCCTGACAAATAATTGCATAACGAGCCAAGCCCTGTGCATTCTGCTGGATTGACAATTCAGATGGTTCATTGGGACCAATCTTGAGCACGGCACGCCACTTGGCGAAACGTGCACCAGCTTTGTAGTACTGCTGGCATCGTGACTCCAGGGAGTCGAACCCTTGAGTCGTGGTCTCACCGTTGGTTCCGGCTATCTCAACAGTACCCTTATCCACCTTGATACCCGGAATTACATTGTTTTCTTGAAGCACTTCGACAAAGGGTTTTCCATCAGACGTTTTCTGATAAAGTGTTTCCTCGAAAAGGATGACACCAGAGAGAAAGGACAGTGCATTCGGAGAGGTGAAAAGGAGCTCACGGAGGGCTTGGCGGTTGGACTCAATGTTCTCAACGTTAATGCTAGCTAGACGCTTCCCGATGGTGCCGGTACTCTCGTCTGCTGCCAGAATACCTTTGCCTGGTGTGGCAATGTACTTGGCGTTCTTGATCAGCTCCTCTGGAGAACAAAACAGGCATTACAATTAGTATAGCTAGAAACATTCCATGCAGAAAATCATATGCTTCTTGGTAAGATTTGAGCCTGTTTACTCGACATTAGTAAACCAGTTCATTAATTAGTACAAGGTGACAGGGTCACCATGCACCAGTTTTTGTTCTGGCGCTAACTAGGATTGGATTTGTTCGAGAAAAGCTTGAGAGAACATGTCGAACGTGTTCCACATTTAAATTCTAAAACAACTGAGAGAGAGAGAGAGAGTACCTGCATACTTTCCAACAAAAGCTGACATGCTTAGGCTAGAGGAAAGATAAACTGAGATATGGGAAAATTGCAGGACGAAAATACAAAAGCAAATCCACACGAGCACCACTCCTATATAGATTCAGCTCGCATGGGAATATACTATGAGAATCCCATCACATGCCATGCATCAACACGTGTCAAAAGAACAGCCCATCGAAAATTATCATCCTCGGATAAAGCAATGAGTGATCACTGTCCCTTCCAAGTGGCAGTTCAAAATATTTGCTTTATTCCCACCCTCCTTAAATGTATATATTGTGTGGAATTGCTCATCCCTCATCCTGTGTGTTTTAGGCAGGGAATACTAGGGGTTTCTGGCCGCCAGTTCTCTCTCTATTTCAGCCACAACCTCAGCTATTGGTTCAGCTCTTTGGGGTGAACCAAACATATAACGAGACAAAGAACATAACAAGTATTGCCTTAAATAGTTGATTTCAGAATGTGGTCTGTCTTTCATGAGAAAGGAAGATGGAAACTGATCCGTAACAAGAAAGAAATCTGATATCCAGGATAACAAGAATGATGTAGAATGGGATTTTTTCATTATATTTTTATGAGAAATATTGGGGTTCATAAATACACATATCATTGGGGAGGGGCTACTAAACACTATGAAGTTGTGCAAGCAACTACTCCCCTCTGGTACCATGAAAGAAAAAGCAAAGTTGTTTTCTATGTGGGGTTGACTAGGCCAGGTTATTTCCACCTTCCTGGCAAGTTTGACCCTTTTTCGAGTATTATCATCAGATGATAGAGATACATAAATGTCAACCCCAGTGTGACTCAAAAAAGTTTTAGAGAAAAAAAAATCAATTCAACAATGGGAACTCTAGGTCTAATTAAGTCAAAATTGTTTCAAAACTGATTATGTGAAGGTCAACATGACTAAAGCAGGCTCAGCTAGATTCCTCCAGCTCAGGCAGTAAATCATCTGGTAGAAGATTTGTGGGTTGAAAAATCGAGCAGCATCGGATTGAAACTATTGCTTAGGGGCCACCACTTGCTGGTCATCATCATCTGTTCCAAAATATCGATCTCCAAACTCACCCATACCAGGGACAACACGGAAATCTTCATTTAAACCAATTTCAATCTCAGATGTCACAATCTTTAATCTTGGGAAGCTTTTGCACACCACATGTACGCCTTGAGGTGCCTGGCAAAGCAAGCAACATGATTATTAGAGCAAGATGATAAGTTAATCTAAAACAGAAATTATTCAAGAGCAAAGCCATGAGCTAATAATTCATAACGGCTTAAAGCATCAATTACTTACGGATATGAGATTGAGAAATATGATGTTGGACTCGGGTACACCTTTTTTAATAAGTAAGGAAATAGCTTGAACGGCTGAATTGCCTGTATGATAGTTTCAATATATTAAAACCATGAGATTAAGCATGCATGACATTAAATTAAATAAAAATGTCCAAAACAAGCTACTAGTTCTTCGAGTACGTGAACAAGTAAGATAAAGTAAACAGTGTTCTTGATGGGGTGACTCAGGACTACAAAATTGGTTGTCATGTGAACCAAATGACACTCAAGATGGAATGCTATTTAAAATAGTTAATTTGAAAACTTGTATAGCAGAACATCATTATCAACCATGAAAAGAAACAAACCTGTGCCTAGAATCGGATCCAGTAGCAGCACATGCCTTTCTGAGATGTCTTGTGGTAATTTTTCATAAATAAGCTGGTCAATCATCAAAGCATGAATGAAAGAGTGAGAAACTAGGAAAATTAACAAACACGATATATTTTATGTGGAAGTTAGTTGAGTTTACAAACCTGCTGACCGTTGTCACCTTCCCTATGAATAAGAATCTTGCCAATCTTGATACCTTTGCAACATGCTCGCAAAGCATTCTCCATACTCTCACCACTAGCATTAGTTTCAAAAGGTCAGTGGCTGAGGGTTTAAAATCATGTGCATGGAGAGAGAGAAGGCGAGAGAGAGAAAATCATAGCAATAAGTTAACCATGTAGATTCAACTTGTATTCCAAAAGCAATTCCACTCATTCAATCACCTTTCCTATTAGTCTAGAGCTACCCAAAATATCTCCTCCAACAACCCACACCCACTTAACCACAGTAAACTACAACTGTACTATTTTAAGTTCACATGTCTAAGGCATAAAATGAGCAGTTATAACATCACCCCAATGTCGTGCAATTTCCATCACCAAAGTCATCACTGACACATAAATTTCTGACCATCACTTCCTGTTTCCCCTACACTGCCCTTACCAGCACCACCAGGCCACCAAGCCATCATCAAAGATTCCAGGTCTAACGGTTGTAAAAAGAAACATAACAGTGCCTATTATTTTGCTCTTCAGAAACATCCCCACCTCCTTCCAATATTACCAAGAAAGTTCCAAATCATGCAAACCATAAAAATTTTGATCCAGTGCTTTAAGATTTGAGACCAGAGTGGTACCTCCTAATAACAGAGACACCACATAACCTCTTACAGAAATCCACACCTGTATATACAGACCCTGCATCCATAATAACACCAATATTAATAATCTATGACTAAGAAGAACCATGACAGAAGATAACATTACATAACGAACTTTGACTATAAATTCTATCAGAAAGTAGAAAACTCAATTCCAGAGAATATAACGTCAGAGAACAAATCTACACAACTAGATCTGACATTCACAACATTAATGAAGTGCAAGAGAAAAACAATAATCAAAGTCCTGATAACCCAAATAATACTCTGGGAGATGCCCAGGACTAGACAAAGTAACATCAGCTTACCAGTTGGAGTGATCACCTGCTTTTCTGTAAATGGCAGATGTCCCAGCCCATGTTCAACAACCTGAAAAGATTATCTTAAATGAGTGAGAAACCTATGGGAATTTTTCTTGTTGCGTTACATTACCATGTAAGAAACCAGAAGATAAAATAATTGCATTAAAATCAAAATATACACACCAAGCGAATCAACCGATCAGCATAAAAAACAAAGTCATGTTTCGTTGTTTGAGAGTCACGAATGAGGGTATGCATGCCTCGTATCTGCATATATCAAAAAATCATTTTCTTTTAACCAAGGTACATCAATCTTTTTGAGTAGCTATTTGGAGAATGCAGACACAATATATCACACATACTTAACTAGTTTGGTTAATTGAAGAAAATATAAATGTTATACCTGAAAAGTTGATTGAATGACATATAGGTTTGGGTAGATTTTACAGAGATCATGCTGGCCAAGCTTTGTCCTAATATGTTGCACGATCAAATCAATTGCTACATGGTTATCTCCCCCACGGGGAATGATAATGTCTGCATACTTCTTTGTTGGAAGTATAAAGTCATCGAAAGCAGGCTTCACAAATTTTGAATACTGCATTAAAAATTAATTACATACAAATATCAACTGAAAAGAAGCATCTCAAAAAGAAGAGAAAGTTGAAACATTAGTAAAATGAGAATAGAATAGATCATAAGTTATTGCATCACAGATTTCTTGCATTGAGTAAACTAATCAAATCCAAGCTTTAGAACAACTGCAACAATCTTAAAGCTTGAAACAGTTTGACAAGCTTATGCAGTCATACACCAGTTCTATTGGTTTAGGCCAGAGAAAAGACACAACACGATTCCAAATCTTGAGGCGGTTTTGATGCCCTGGTTCTTTAAAACAAAAATTTATTATGTCAATGTAACTAGTGAAGCAAATGTAGACCTGATCAAGAACAGCACCAATATCTCGGTGCTTCTCAACTGTATCACGCCTTATTCTCCTTGCCAGTCGTACATCAGCATCTGCACTGAAAATTGTTCAATGTGAAGTAACAGCCCAGCTCAGTAACACCAACAAAGCAACATGAACAATATGTTCCCTAATATATACAAGTTATTCACTTAAAGTTTTCTGCAACTATTGATCTTAATAATTTGGAAGAAAAAATCACCATCTGGAACCAACATGGTATATGCTTGTAAAGCTTGTGGCACTCAGATGCAATAAATCAGACAGTAGAGGATTTTGTCAAAGAAACTAAAATGGCAGCATGACTCCTTAAGATGAATCATGGTCCTAAGAAATAGGGCTTAATATACAAGTGAATTTATGACTTGACACATACCAGATTCCCACAAGCCAGAAATACAACACGGTATTTCTACAAAGTTATTGGAGTTATGAAGTTACTCTTTCGGTTTTGCAAGACTCCTATTATTTTAATAAAGGAAAAAGGAATAGTGAATTGAGAAGGTATGTAAGGCATAGTGAATTGGGGGTTAGAAAACTCATTCCAATACTACAATCAACTATATCATTTGTCTACAACCAAATAAACATAGAATTTGGGTAAAACAATCACTTTTCATGACAGATAAATGCAGCATATAAACGAATGTGATCAGCCAAAGAACAGAGATAAAAGTTTAATTAAGTAACCTGTATCAACAAATATTTTCATGTTCATCAACTCTCGGACACGAGGATCATGAAAAATGAGTATTCCTTCCAAAATTATAACATCTGAAGGATTAACCTGCAGAAAATTTTAGGACAGTGAGAATTTTTTCCTATATGTTGAATAACAACAAATATGAGTTGATACTTCATTACTGGTCCTTTGCTATAAAATTCAAAGGGGTTGTGGAAAGATATCGTGTCTACCATTCATAAGGAATTATGAAGAGACATTAAGAGCTTGAACCTTGTACATTTTACTTGAATTCTAGGTACTTAAGAAGGCAAATTATGTGCATATCAAAAATTGGTGTCATTTTGTACCATGTTGAGGATTTTTTGGGAACCCTTGAAGGAAAAAGAAGTGAAACTAAAAAGTCCCGTGTCCAAAATATAAATGTGAGTTCTATGTCACAGTAATAATTTTTTTGTTACATTGTGAAAATTGTAAGATCTTACCCTTCTTGCTGGAAAAACATTATTTTTATAACTCTTGAAATCATAGTTTGGAATATCTACGGCTTGGCCATGCCTCAAGTTCTCCATAGAATCTAATAATTTCTCTGTGTTGAATGCATCTGCAAAAAAGAAGAATATTGCATCAATGAAATTCCAAGCCAACATAATGTGGAACCAGACAGCAAGCACTTAAGCGGTCGCATTTCCTTAAGACCAACTGATGAAGACATGCATTTCGGCTTTCTCTAATAATACTTGAATGCTCTCAGAACATATCAAATACTTTAAAACTCCAAACATGAGCATAAAATAATATAAGAGTCGCAGAATGCATCTCAATCTTCACCAAAGGTGATAACCTAAAATTAATTAAAACCGTCTTTAAATGAAACTACTGGTGATAATCAAGATAATTTGCGATGAAAATGTACCAAAGCAGTGTAAAACTTGAAAATTTCATGAAATTGCTCGATGGTTGTCCAAGCATGATATCAAAAATCCATGATCAAGACAAGACCACCAACACAAAATAAGAATCAGAAAAGACAAACAAATTCCAAATAGTCCCCTCATTACTGAGATGATCATAGAAAACACTTCATAAACTAACAGAGATAAAAAGAGAGATAGTATGAGTTTTTGTCAATTAATAATCATTACAATTCAGCAGATCATGGTTTTATCGATATTTTGGATCTCTGTTATAGAAATATTCTCACCAGGATGGTCAAAGTTGTATTCATGAACTCTTGCAAGTTCCCCTTCAGTGAGATTGTGATAAAAGGAATCCTGACACATTGTTCATGTTAAAAATTTACCCAAGAGAAGACCAACTTTGTTACTAGCACTACAGAGAAAGAGAGCTACAAACAAGGTCAGATCAAAATATTGGACAGTTTTCTTCTGCAAATGATGTAATATACTTCAAAAATTCATGGAAGTCACAAATTTACATTGAAGATTTCTTTCTCAATAACCTTTAAGAAATCTACATTTGGAACTCAGAAAAAAATTACCTGATTAACTAATACTACACGCTGATCATGAAGTTGCTGAATAATCATATCACAGACTGTAGTCTTACCAGATGCTGCTCCCCCAGCAACTCCTGACCGACAAAATAATAGCCAATGTTAGGTAGAATATCACATTATGGCAATGATTTCTTCATAGAAAAAAGAGCTTGGATTCCACCAAGTTTTTCTCAGCATTCTTATCCAAACTTTTACACCAACTACCTTTGATCATTGTAGCATCTAAAAGACAGTGCGAGTAATAGTTCAATGATATTTCCCTTGCTCAAACTTACCGATAACAAAAGGTTGTTTAAGCAAGTTTTCAGTAACCGGTGAGGTTGTAGGCTTCTCAATATTTCTTGACTCCAAACCATCCATATGGAACCCAGAAAAATGGACCCCTGTCGAGGCCTCTATCATATCCTCAACTGATTTAGAACCCATATATGCCAAGACCTACACAAAAAACTTACAAGTAAGAAAACAAAACAGAACCTAAAAACAACATGGGCCCTGGCTAGATTGAATAGAGTCTTGTTCCATTTTCTTTTACCATGCAACAAGAAAGAAAACATTCACAGATCTTCCATTTATCACCAATTCCCATAAAAGTTCTCTCCTTTTCCGATTCTATGCACAACAAGTCATCTTCAATCAATTTAAACAAACAAAGAGATAAAAACAATCACGCACATTGCAATCTCATTACAAAACATTCATGAAGAAGCAGAATCGTCATAGAAACAACAGGAGTAAAGTTCTTTCCTCTCTTTCTCCATCTTTCCGCATTACCAATCATCCTCAAACTGATACAAACATACACAACCAATCATATATTCAAACACAGGCACCGCACGACAAAGCACCGCCTTTTTAGCATGCTGCAAGAACCAAATCTCTGACACAACAAAACAGAGCTATAGTCGACAGCATAGAGTGAAAAACCACTCCAAGAAGGGGAAAAAGAAAAACAGAGTCATTTTGGCTCCCAATAACACATAATCCAATAATGTGAAGCTAGAATCTATTATCTATCTAATCCCTTCAAAACCACCAATTATCACCGCCCATTAAAGCTAAATCTAACACCTTTCAGAAGAATTAAAAACACCCAGATCAAAAAACACCACATTAAATACAAAAACAAATCAATTCCAAATTCAATTCAGCACAGATTATTTGTTTTTCAGATCACTTAATGCAGGAGAAACAAGCCTGAATGCATAAAGAACACAAAACACAACTAAAACAAAAAAAAAAAAGAGATTAATTAGTAATTAAATGATAATTATTGCGTTAAAATTACCTGATTTTAATGGATTAGTAGAGAGAGAGAGAGAGAAGAACAGATGGGTGATACGGACAGGATAGATTTGGAGGGTATTTATACAGTTAAAAGAGTGAAGGAGACCCTGCACCCCACCCAAGTGTTTTTTTTTAATTAAAATAGGATTTGTTTCGAATTTATTTACTGTATAGCCATTCTCTCCCATTTTTATTATTATTATTATTATTTTTTCCTTCAAAGCCGGGGGACAATGATATGCAAACTCACTAATTTCACATTTAAAATAGTTCTTTTTTATTTTTTTTACTTTTTCATATTAATAAAATATTCTTAAATTTAATAAAAAATACATCAAAATTAAAACTTTTATTTTACTTTTAATAATAAAAACAAACATTTAAAAACGAAAAAGAGTGATATTTATGTAATAATGCTTAATTAGTAATAATTAAAATTCCTTTTATAAAATAATTCCACCCACTGAATTCACATTTAAATGTTTTTTCATTAATTTTATATATTTATAAAATATTTTTAAAGCAATATTTACGTATTTATAAAATATAAATAAATAAATAGTAGACGGAAAAAATAATATTTATGTAATAAATAATTATATAATAAAACATGGCTTTGGGGACGTGACAGACACGGGAAGTTGGAACTCGTTTTTCTACTTAAGGTTGTAAATGGCGAGATGTGGTTGGTTAGAGCGGTGAGCGTTAAAGTACGAACGGTTGTTGCAGATTGGAGCCGAACCGGTAAGGGGAAAGCTTACGTAGATGTCTGTCTTCAATTCTGTCTTGTCTGCCAGCCTGCAAGTATCTATCTGTAATGGATTAGATTTTTGGGTTTGCCACGTCAGCATCTATCCTCATTTTTCACCTTTTTTTACTGTTACTTTCCACTTTTAACCACCAACCACCCAGCAAAAAGTAAAACTACATTTACAAACAAGAATAAACTAATATAAAATATATTAAAATTAAAATTTTTATATTAATTTTGGTAAAAATAAAAAGGGAGATAAAGAAAAAAAAATGAAAAGAGTATTTAAACGAATAATCTCGAAAGAAGGTGAAACAAAGAATCAAATATTTCAAAAAATTTTGGATTTAGGTAAAACTTTTAGGTGTTCATAAATGTTTAATTATTACCATCGAAAACCCTTTTCTTTCACAATTTCCATAAAAATATTTTGCATTCATTATCGGTTCCGTGATTTTGGAATTTTGCAATAATTTTTCATTACAAGACAAAAATACTCATTAATAGAATTTATTTTACTGAAAGAGAAAAATTAAAAACCATTTTTTTCATTAATTTTTAAGGTTTATAAAAAAAAAAGAGAAAATATCGGTACCAATAACGATTATATTTAAAAGAAAATTATAATAAATGCATTATTCTTTTTTATATTCCGTACAAATAATTTAAAAAATTAAATATAGGCATATATTTAGAAGCATGCCAAAATTGGCTCAAAATTCTATAACAATTGAGAAAGGAAAGTAAAGGAGCGTAGCACCGCCCCCGGAGTGCACGTGGACAACGTGGAAGATCTGATTGGTCAGTTTGGGTAGTCAGTAGGCCCCACGTTCCAGGGTGGTGTATTTATATATAGTTAATATAAATTGCAACCTTTTTTGAACGGCTATAAATATAATTGCTGAATCTCAATTATGATTCTGACAGCTGTTCTAATGAGATTCAGCAAACCCATTTAAAAATATATTTTAATTTACTTCTTTTTAATAAAAAATATATACTCAATAAAAATATATATTTTTAATTCAATTAAAAAAATATTTTAATTTAATTTAATTCTTTTTAGATTATAATGCGTATATTCAATTTAATCAAATTACTCTAATTTTATTTTTTTAATTTATAATATATTTTATTAAATATATATTTATCATTTAATCAAATGCTCATGTGATTAAAAAACAAGTAATCTTACAAATTAATAGCTATATAAAAAATAAGTAAATGAGAACACCGATACTATTATATATCTTGTATTATTCTTAAATTTCAATTTTTACTATTCTAATAACATAATTTTCCTTTAACTTTTTTTGTTCTAAGTCAAAATTGACTCCAAAAGTTTATGCCCAAATAAAACATAATCAATACTTATTCTGTCTTAATTTCTTTGTTCATCTTTCCTTTTAAGAATATCCCAAAATGAAGGGTTTTTTTTCTTTAAACTTTATACTCTTATATATATATTAATGACATTAAATGTTTATATTATAAAGAAAATTAAATTTTATACAAAATATATCAAAAATTCAAAAAATTCTGTCTTAATTTCCGTAAAAATAAGAAAAAAAAATATTCAAAGACGAACAAAATAGTATTTTACGGAAAAGAATGTTTAAAGAGTATTTTATAATGAAATTGATTACAAAATAAGGATTAGGCTTAAGTAGTTTTCAAATAACAATGACTAATCATCATATTCCACCAAACAATTGTTCATTTAAGGGACAATCCCTAATCTTTGATAGATTTTATCCTAATTCAAAAGACTATACATTTTGGTCAATCCACCAACTATTTGTTTATTTCTCAATTTTCATTTATTTATTTTTATTTATTCATTTATTTAGTTTATTCTCTTCCTAAAAGTCTACTCCATATACCTCATGGGTTCCACCGTCAAGAAACCAATCCCTTTTATATTTGTCTATTTCCTATATTTTTTTATTTATTTATTGTCAATATCGAACATATTTATCTTACATTTTACACTTTAAAAAAGAAAGAGAAAAGAAAATGAGCAGAGGGAATTACAATATTGTATTTTTTTTCCTTTCCTTCTGAATCGAAAAAAAAAAAATTTTTTTAATTACATTATTATTTTATGTATAATTTTTACTCCGAATCTCTTTCTTTCTCTCTATTTTTCATCTTTCGCACCAAATTACACAAAAAAAATGAAAAAACGACTATATTTCCTCTCTCTCGGTTTTTCCTTTCCCCACCTTAATCCGGCTTTTTCTTTATTTTCTTTCCTTCTCACCAAATATTAATGTTTTTTTGAACTCACCTAGGATTAAACTTCAGTATAATTTGATTTCGACGTATTTTTTTTCCTTTCAACATAAGATTTAATTCTGAAATAATTAAAGTTAAAAGGTTCTTTGTATTGAAATTAAATGCTTTACATATGAAAAAAAAGAGATTAATTCCAATAAACTTTATAACATTATTTTAATGAAACAAAAACTATTGGAACAAATTTGAGTGAGTAGTAATTTGCATCAAAAGTGGATGATTAGATTGTAATTTGCCTTAAAATAAAAAAATAATCAAAATTCAAGAAAAATTGCATCATTGTTTGATCAGCTTGACCTTGGGGATTATCCTACCTAAACAATAATTAAGATTTGAGACACCCACAACAAATGGTACTTAGACTATACAAATCAAAATAATTTTTAATTTACTTTAATTATTCTTACAACAAAATATAGAAACCTTTTGGGATAAATTCCAAATATATATATACCAAGCTACCTTATCAAGAACTACACGATTTTATGCGAATTTATATTTTTTTTAATCGAAACTCAAAATATATACTTAGCTATCATCACATGTAATTTTTCTTTAATTTTTTTTTGTATCATTTTATTTTTCCAAATCCCATTTTTGATTTGACTTTGGAAAAGCCAAAACAAAAATTGCTTGTCCAAAAAAACATCACCCATGTGATCATATGGCAGAAAGAAGACTTTTTAAGTACTTGGTTAGTTCATGCAATAATAAGTATGCTTAAAATTCTAATATGGTAGGTGAGTCAAATTCATAACACACATGCATGCATACGTGTGTGTATATACATATGTATGTATGCACGTATTTTACATGCATGCATGCACATAAGACAGTATATATAGTATAGATGTACCTTGTATCCTAAAACTTTCCTCATGAGAAGAACAAATTAAGTGGGTCTCTTTCATATGGTATGTCAATCTTTGTTGTAGGACCTTTTGCCCTGAAATGCAAAGGAAGTGAAGGGACAGGAAGAGCAACCAGGAAGGTGATGACTAAGCTAATCCTATGTGGTGGATGGTTGTGCTGTCTAATTCTGTCTCCCTCTTTTTTATCCAATAATTAAGGATTCCCCATGTCGGCATTGTGTTTAGTATTATACAATTGGCTTGGATAAGCAAAAATCAACTCTTTCACTGCTCTTTAATCAGTTGTCATACTGATATTGAACTCACTTTCACTCTCCCTCTCTGCTCTGATATATGTTGCTGCAGGTTTATCAGTTTAGTATCATCTGATCATAATTTTGCATCTGTCATCTCTTGTTCTTTTGTCTTTGAATTCACTTTCCTTACAGGGTCATACACAAGAATCACAGTCGCAAGGATGTCACCTAGCACCGGCTTCTCATGTTTCATCGGACAGCAAAAGAGGAAGTTTCTACACTTGCTAGAACATGTCGAAGGCCCGTGAAGCATTAACCCCACTTTTTGTTTTCCATTGGACAGAACGACTAGCCCACTTTTGCAAAACCATAGCTATGATTTAGGCCTGCTTTTCAATGCCGAATTGGGCTAGGCTAGTCAGACTGGAATCCCAAAAGTACCAGTAAGACTTGGTTTGGTTTTGTTAAATAGATATCATAATTTTCAGCCCTATCTCGTGTGCCTGTAAAAGTTAAAATAGCTCGTGTACATCCTTCAGGATTCATGTCCATGAAAATCCATGCATGCATGAGGGGTGGAAGCTACATATACTATAGGGTTTGATCGACCAAGAGCAAACGAGGCCCTTCTGGGCTATTATTTCTGCAATATCAAACCCTGCATATGGTTGAATACATGCCGGTATCATTTTCCAAAGCATGCCACCGCTAAGCTTTGATGTAAGCAAAAATTAAGTTGCGACAGAAAATTTTATTGTTTGGTTTGAACAGTGATAAAAACCAAAAGACTCCAATCTCTATCCTGCAGGAACTAATTAAACTGCTTGCCTCAGTACTTAACTCTGCAGTAAATGCATCAGCCAGATTAACTACCAGCATGTCCAAAAACTGTTTTCTCTCTTGATTCCCGTATGAGAGCCTTAAATTTCCTCATGCCCTTGTCAATGAAAATGGAGTTATTTCCTCAACCCTCTAGCCAAACCAATTGCCCTAAAGTTCTTCCATATTGGTTGGCGGTGTTCTTGAAAGTTTCAAGCCATCCTCCTACCTTCAATTTTTGACAGAAAAGTAGGTGAATATATAGTAACCATCAAGGAGATGAACTTTCAAGGTCTAAATAGAAATTAAACATAGAACTCATTCTCAAGGACATCTACCTCTCATGGGGTACTTACACATACTTCATAATTGTACACTTTGCATGCTTTTTGTTTATCTTAGGTTTGACAATAGCAAAGCAATAACCAATCCTCCGGAATTGCTAAGAACCCTAGTGATACCTCTTCTTTTAATCTTATACTAGTAACCCATAAAGAAATGGGTGGCATGCGTGAATGATGGAAAGGTCCCAAAACAATAATGTTTCCTCATGCAAAGAAAATGCAATCTTTTTTAAGTCAAAAAGGAGCCAAAAAAAAAAAAAAGGTGATGAGTTATGTTTATGTATAACACACTCAAAGCAATCAACTTGTGTTGTGTTTATATTTCTTTCTCTACCTAAAGAAATTCATTAAAGTCAAGACATATTGATTTTCTTTTGCTTCCTTTCATATGGCCATATGCCCATCATGCTATAGCTAGCATGTTCTAGAAATGGCAATGTGTCTTTCTCCCACATTACATGGCGCAGAATTCTGAGAATAATTTCTCTTTTTAAAGGGAAGAAAAGAAAGGGATGAAGTGACCCTTTCTTTAACTTCCTTTTTCTTCCTTTTTGTTTTTGTTTTTCTGATTTCTTTTTATTGTAAACAGAAGAAGATTTTGGGTGCAAGTCCTAACTATAAATGCCGGAAAGATATTTCTGCTTTACTTCCCTGGTGATGATGATTGTTCACTTGGAGTAACAATGTCATTTCTTATTTATAAAGAAATCATTTCAAGATCACAAGCAATTGCTTAAGATGATGCCTCATTAAATGCTTTATTTGAATGTGATTCAACGAAAAAATAAGAGTTATTTCCGTTATGAATGACGATTTTTTTACTTAATACATCTAAAGAATGATACAAGAATTTTATGAAGTATTAGGGTACCTAATTTGTTTATATTCCAACATTTAATTAGGACTATTCAGTATCTTGTAGCCAGTTTTTTAAGATTATATATTATTATTTCATGTGGCTTGTCAGGAATTTGCTTGCAAATGGAGAATACTATCATACATAATTGTGAAAATGTTAGAGAAGAATTACAATGGCAAGAGACCAGGTAAATTAACAAGAGATATCCCACATTTTTCATAATTGAAACCTATGAAACCTAGAAGTTCCTAGTACTAGTTTTGTCTTGTGTTCTTGTCTATCCAGGCTTGATCAGAGAACTAGGTAAGCGTCATGCTGTTGAAAGGACAAAGGGATCACTATCATTCCATCTTCTCTCCCATTGCAATCCTTCCAAATTGGTCTGCAACATCGAGTGCTTTTCGAGCATTCCAATGTTCTAGTCAAATGTAAGAGTACTGATTTCAGCATGAAAAATGGTACAGTAAACATAAATCTACTACTGATATCCAACAACTTAGAATTTAATTTATACAAAAAAACACATATTTCACATACAATTACATAAGATATTGATTTCGAGAAGAGAAGTGATGTATGAAAAAGTCATGTTGGGGGCACGGTACAAGTGAAGTGATAATGAAGAAAAAGTACTGATATGTACAGGGACATATATCTGATATACCTGTGCCTGCTCATGATATATTACATTCTTTTTCAACTGTGACAAATTTGACTCTCTTCCATGTTTCTTTAAGCTTCTTTAACTAACCAAACAAAAGCAGGTAAAGTAATTTACTGCTACAGTTGATCTTTGTGTGTGAGTAGGAGAACAGAAAACATACATTTCAGATAACAATTACTCAAAATATTTCTTTCGAGAATAAAACACACGTAATCTTATTTTACACATGAAAAATAAATATTGGATTTGTGTAATATAAATGAGAAAGGACTGATACACAAAGGGAATTCTGATATAGTGGTGCCTGCATTGGTCATGATTATATATATTGCATTCTTTTGATCAACTGTGATGATTTTGACTCTCTTCCATGCTTACAAAAGAAGTTTTCTCTGTCATCTCCTTTAAGCTTCTTTTAACTAACCTAAACAAAGAGCAGGTAAAGTAAATTACAGTGGTTGAGAGAGAGAGAGTGGGAACCTTCTCTTAAGTGTGGTCCATTTAATGGGATACAAAATGTAAAAAAGCCACATGAAAAAGCTTACCTCTGCAATCATTTAAAGCCAAGGGATCCAACCTTAAGACTTTTGCCTCCTTGTTCATTTCAAAATCCCTTGTCCCAACGTACACTTCCATTTTATTGTTTTGCCTTTATTCCATGGAGGAATGTGCTTCACAAAGTGGGGAGATTGGGGCCAGCCAGCCCACCATTACAAAAATGTAAGCTCTATATAATAAACAATTCAAATGTAAAAGTTGGGGTGATTTTAATTTTCTCTGGTGAATCTACTGACATTTCTCACCTACCCCTGATTTATTCTTCACCAAACTCTAGGATTTTGCCATCTTCTTGGCCAAAAAACACAAAGCCAAGGGTCTTAATTTTGAAATGAGCAACATCATGAACAATGTTACTATCAAATAAATGCTCTTGAAAAGAAAAAGAAATTTAAATATATGAGTTTATGATCGATGCATTGTTAATAAAGGGTAATGTTTACTGTTAATCTTAATCCGTTTTATTAAGGGTTAAATGTGGTTTTTGTTACAGTAGTTCTAGAGCATAAAAATGAACCTCAAGAAGAATTCAGGGTCCTTGATCATCAATGAAGTTAACCCTACTTGCATTAGGATTTTAATTAACAAGACCATGCTAGCTGATCATCAGATGGAAATCAATGGCAAACTCTAGTCATCTGCACAAAACATCAAACAAGAAATGCAATCAAGGGTCTAGATACGTGCTTAATCACAATTAGATATGCAAGTGCAGCATTACATGTTTAATCCAGGAAAGAAAGAAAGAAAGAAAGAAAGAAAAGGGGGCATGAACATTAAACAACATCATATACTCCCATGGCTTTTAAAAAAGCAAACCATATAGCCTTCCCAATCCCATCATTTTGGCCAGATCCTGCCGTCCAGTCCAACGATCAAGTGGTCCCACAAGAGACCACACTTGTCACCACTTGATTTCCCTTCAATGCATGCCACGTGGCAGCACTATGTCAGGTCAAACAAAAGTCTCCATCCCACTCAATCCAACCCCCCATTCACCCTTGCATTAACCCCGTTTGCTACTTTCTTGTTGCAGTATAAGTCATAACTTTGACAGTAACAAATAGTGGTTACATATATATATACTTTAATGTAAAGTAGTGAGAAAGGATGGTAATGGTAAGACCGTTTGTGTTGCCGTTAAGGCACTGTGAAGGTGAACTTTGTAGTCTTTAATTCGGGTGCAAACTGCAAAGAGACCAAAGACACCAACGTTTGAATCTTGATCAGACTCTTTTTTTATTTCTCTTTGGCCTGTCTCTTTTGTTCTTTCCACTCTCTCACTCTCACAAATACATAGCAAATATCAGTTATACAGCATTTATGAATGTTCATTCAACACACACGGGAAACCTGCAACTTCACCTTCCTGCTGTTTCTTTGTCAGCTTGGATCTAACTAGGAACCAAACTGATCACCTTCAACTTGTTTTCTCTCCAAGTTTTCCAGGGTGTTTCTGCCAGAACTTGAACAACCTTCTAAGGTTTTGGAGCTGGTTTCTTAAGTTTTGTATGTAAGTGAATGAGCCTTAGTCTGCATTTTTGGTTTTTCTGAAGCATCTTGTTTGCAGAAAAGAAGTGTTTCCTCAGACTGTTATGTTTCTCATTGAAGTTTTTCCTGTACCCCCAGGATTGTTTCTTTCTTCACTGTTTTTCATTGCTATTGCTTCTTTTCTTTTCTTCACTACATTAAATGTTTAGTTTCCTTCCTCTTTATCTTTTTGTATCTACTTTTCCATGTTACTGCTATAATTTTTCTTACCAACTTTTTCTTTTGGATTGAGCTTTCTTTCCCAACTTTATGTTGTTTAATGAGCTAGATGATAATGCAGACTTGACTAACATTATTCTGATGCAATTCGGTGTTTTATTCCATTTCTTCCAGTGATCATCTTTGTCAAGGATTCTTCTGGCCAAAAGGACAGGACTGCTCGTCAGAGAGGAACAAGAGACAGAAAAAATGCCACAGGAAACCAACTCTAATCCAATTTTCACTTCTCCTTCCAAGAATCTGAGAGGGTTAAAGGCTTTAGTGTCCAACAGCATTGAGGCCTCACACACTGAAGATATCTTCAATGACAATGAATTAGCTCAAAGAAAGGCTGAAGAAGCAGGTATATTCTATCTCAACAAGAATCCTTCCAACATCAATAGAAAATCTAAAAGACTCTTAATTTCTTCAGTCAATGCCAAAACCAAAAATTTGTTCAGTTCTTTGTACTCTTAAGTTCCCTGAGAAAGTCATGAGTTGGTCCCATAGTAATTTATACATCCAGTACTGGACCGATGATTTGAGAAATAAGTCCCATATTTTCTTTATCGAGCGTGGAAACTCCAGGACATGAAGTAGTAGGATTTATTCTCATAATATAATAAAGTGAAATATGTCAATTTTTTTTTCGAAAGTTATCTAATAGAAAAAATAAATCTTATATATATATATTATTCTAATTATTCTAATTCTATGTATTTTTTTATTTTTAATAATTAATAAATTATTAATTTATTATTTTCAAAAGGGAGAGAAAGGGTAAAGAATGAAAAGATTATATGCTGCATCATGATTCTGGGCAAAGTGGGGTTGATCCCATGGTTTAGAAAATGATTTAGTACTCCCACCATACAGTGCTGATATGGGTCCACATTAATTGGAGTTAGGCCTAATTCTTGATTACAAGTATTTGATTACAATCACTTTATTCTTGGTGTAGGGTATTGAGACATTCCAACTAATCTGTGGACTGTGTCTCTTTCTCTTCTTTTTCCCTTATTTTTGGGGCTAAAATAGATGATGGGCAGCAGTTGTTTTAACAATACAAGATATTAAAAATGAAATGGCAGATGAGAAGAGCAAAGTTTTGAGAACATTCTTTGGCCAGACATGTCCTTTTGATGCTTGAGGACAATGAGGACCAAAGTATTTCTAGCAAGAAGATTTGTTTTTTCCTTGAGATTCTTGATATGTCTATGGATCGCAAGTTTTTCTTTAAACATATAGGATAACTGGTATATATCAGATTACTCCGAAAGATGTCAGCAATGAGGTAGCAAGTGGAGTAAAACTCTAAAGATCACCTTGTTCTAGTACTTTAAAGGGAGCAGCAGCTCTAAGGATTTTCATTGTAATTCAAAATTGCGAGTAGGATTTTGGATCAAATGGTTTGTGGGGAACTAATGAAGTTTGGAGTAGAAAATGATCAAGAATAAATAACCATCCATTTCTGCCTTTGTGGATGAATTCTATTTGAGTATGGTGGTATATTTATCAACTTTTCATGGACTTCCAATCTGATATTGGGTGAAAGCTTATACCGAAATTGAATGATCATTGACATCGAGTATTCTGCTATTTCTTATAGCTTTCATATCCTAAGGCATTAGCTTCAATTCTGAACTTAAAAAGCTAACTGCATTAATCCTTTATGTCAATCAGCTTCAAGGAGGTACCAAGCAGCAGAATGGCTAAGGCAGATGGACCAAGGTGCATCAGAATCCCTACCCAAAGAACCCTCTGAAGAAGAGTTTTGCCTTGCACTTCGCAATGGGCTCATTCTTTGCAATGTCCTTAACAAAGTTAATCCTGGAGCTGTTCTTAAGGTTCTCAATTGAATGCTGTTGACAGACTTAAAATAGTATTTCTTTCACAGACTTCACTGGACAACATAAAATAAACTTGAGAGCATCTTTACATTATTCAAAACTTTAGATGGAAACGTCAGTTGAGAAATTGTACTGCTTCTGATTATGAATTTTTATTTAATAATACAGGTGGTGGAAAATCCAATAATCCCAGTCCAGTCAACAGAAGGGGCAGCACAGTCTGCAATCCAGTATTTTGAAAACATGAGGAATTTCCTGGTAGCTGTAAAAGACATGCAGCTCCTGACGTTTGAAGCTTCTGATGTTGAAAAGGTTTGACTGTTCTTGAAGGGTGCATTTTATATGCACGAGTCATTATAAATTTCCGAAACTCAGCATTTCATACAACAAAGCATCTGAATCATACTTCTAGCTATCATACTTGGCAACCCAAACAGTTTAAATGTCTTTGAGAGGCATTCATTGATTCAAAATTTCCCCCCCCTATCTGCATCTGTATCTTGATGATTGTATCTCCATCCTGTATACTGTTTTATGAACATGAAAGACTTGAAATGGCAGGGCGGCTCGATGAATAAAGTTGTGGACTGCATTCTCTGTCTGAAAGGATACCATGAGTGGAAGCAAGCAGGAGGAATTGGAGTTTGGAGGTATGGAGGAACTGTGAAGATTACAGCCTTCTCAAAAGGGTCACTGCCCTCGTTGGTTGGAAGTGAAAGTGCTGATGATTCACTGGATGGATCAGAATCATCACAGTATGAACAATTATTGGAGTTTCTCCACCTCTCTAATGAAGTAGCTATTGAAGAGTCCAAAACTGCCAATGCCCTGGCTTTCCTTTTTGATCGCTTTGGGCTTTGGCTTCTACAAGCTTACCTTAGAGAGAGCAACGGGATTGAAGAATTGCCCTTGAATGCAATGGTAGGTAAGATCCATCCCAAATTGTTGTTCAAATACTATGTTTATATAGGAAATAGTTTACTGTCCAAACTGAAAGGAAGCAATGAGTCAGTTTTCGACCTTACATCGTCAAGTATGATTTATTGATGAAACTTTGCAGGTAATCGATACCTTGATCAGTAAGATAGTTAAGGACTTCTCTGCATTGCTTGTTTCTCAGGGAACTCAGGTAATAAGAACTATCAAGTGCCACTGTCCCTAATACTAATGTGTCTGAAAGCATTCTCACTGCACTGAAGTGATCTGATATATTCTTTGCTTTTTCCAGCTTGGACTGTTTCTGAAGAAAATCTTGAAAGCTGACATTAATTCTCTATCAAAATCTGATTTTATAGAAGCCATCTCACTGTATCTTGGTCAAAGGACTAGCCTGGCATCAAATGATTTCTCTAAGTTCTGCATCTGTGGTGGGAAACGTGAGGTTATTCGCCATACTGTTAGTCACTCAGCTGCTCATGCAGAACTTATTGATCTTCAGCAGAGAGAGCTTGAGGTTTGAGAATTTTCCCATGGAACGAATAATGCTACCACCTTTTGACATACCTTAGACGACTGACTTGCTGCTTTCTCATGTTTTATATCATTTTAGGACATTAAATTAGATTTTCAAGAAACAAGACTTCAAGTCAGACAAATTCACTCAAGTTGGGAGGAAGAACTTAAAAGGCTAGGTAAGAATTTATAACATCGTCCTACCAGGGACTTTCTAAGGTCATTTAATGACAAGTTATTGACTAAATTCATGAAACTATATATTCTGCTTTTTATAGAGCATCATATCAAGGGTCTTGAAGTGGCATCCTCTTCTTACCACAAGGTATTAGAAGAAAACCGTATGCTTTACAATCAAGTCCAAGACCTCAAAGGTATGCACCTTTTCTTTTCTTTTGTTATTTATTACCATTGTTTCATGTTAGGAATGGTACGGTGTTGACCCTTTTGATGGCTTTCAACACAGGAACCATAAGAGTCTACTGCAGAGTGAGGCCCTTTCTGCAAGGCCAAACAAATGGACAATCAACCGTAGATTATATAGGAGAAAACGGAAATATCATGATTGTCAATCCTTTAAAGCAGGGCAAGGACGCAAGAAAAGTGTTCTCGTTTAACAAGGTGTTTGGACCAAATGTCTCTCAAGGTACTTCTGAATCCGTAGAGTTTGAGTCGTTATTATCCTTCACTTTCTTGTACTTATGTTCACATCATGATAATATAATGTGCAGAGCAAATATACGTTGACACTCAACCACTGATCAGATCTGTCCTAGATGGCTTCAATGTTTGCATCTTTGCATATGGACAAACTGGCTCAGGAAAGACATACACAATGGTATATTCATCTTCTCTATCTGCGCATACACCTTCATGAAAGCTTCTTTCATTTGGAAATCTAACATTGCAATACCTTTTCTATACCTCATGTTGCTTCCATATCATAGAGTGGCCCTGATTTGACTACTGAACAAACATGGGGTGTGAATTATCGTGCTCTATGTGACCTGTTTCAAATATCCAAGGAGAGAGCAGATGCTGTTAAATATGAAGTTGGGGTGCAGATGATTGAAATATACAATGAACAAGTGAGAGATTTACTTGTCATGGATGGCTCTAATAGAAGATATCCTTTCACATTTACCTTCTAGTTACATACTTGTACTGCAAACTTTATAACTCCTAGCTATTTTCTGTCTGAATTAGTGTTTTAATTTCTATCTTGGGGTCTAGTTCACCTTAACCACCTGTACATTGGATATTCGTAACAATTCTCAGTTGAATGGCCTAAATGTGCCTGATGCAAGTTGGGTTCCAGTTTCGAGTACTCAAGATGTTCTTGACTGGATGAGGATTGGTCATAAGAATCGAGCTGTAGGTGCTACTGCTTTAAATGAAAGAAGTAGCCGGTCTCACAGGTAGGAACATAGCAGTAAACCTTGTGTTTCTTTTGCATGCTACTGAACCAAAAAGCAATTGAAAAATGATCTTTTCTTGGCACATTGTGTCTTCTTCAGTGTTTTGACTATTCATGTGTATGGAAAAGAGTTGGTTTCTGGATCCATCCTCAAAGGTTGCCTGCATTTGGTGGATTTGGCTGGGAGTGAGAGAGTGGATAAATCGGAGGCGGTAGGTGACAGATTGAAGGAAGCTCAACACATCAATAGATCACTGTCTGCACTAGGAGATGTCATCTCTGCACTCGCACAGAAGAGTGCCCATATTCCTTACAGAAACAGCAAGCTTACGCAAGTATTACAGGATTCTTTAGGTATATGCCTACTTTCAGTCATTTGATCATAGTGATATATGTGAGACTTTCTCTGAACTTTATCTTGCTTCTTCTATTGCTCATACATTATTGCTTTTCTATGATAGGAGGGCAAGCTAAAACATTAATGTTTGTACATATAAGCCCTGAAGTCAATGCCATTGGAGAGACAGTGAGCACACTAAAGTTTGCTGAGAGGGTTGCTTCCATTGAACTTGGGGCAGCTCGATCTAACAAGGAAACTGGTGAAATCCGAGAACTTAAAGACGAGGTGAAAATCTCAATTGTTCAAGTGCAATTCTCCTTATTGTATTCTTCTGGCTTATCTTTGCTCCGACAAAACCTTATTCAATTACTATAATCTATAAGAAATCTGTTTCAGATATCAAATCTTAAACTTGCCTTGGAAAAGAAGGAAGCAGAAGTAGAACAACTGAAAGGAGGACATGTTCGAAGTATGGCTGAATCACAAAGAGGAAGAGCGGTTTCACCTTTCCATATTCCAAGATATGGAATGTCTACCAGCATTAAGCCTGAAACATCTCAGAGGCCTGGTGATGATAGTAGAATCTCTGAGGTAACTGAAAACATGATGGGCATTCAAAGCTCTTAAACTGGATTAAACTTCAGGATTTTGCTGAATTATGAATTTCTTACATCTATTTTATGGTTATATTGGATTTTCAGGCCAGAAGCTCTTCTTCAGGTAAGCAGAGGAGGTCAAGATTTCCATCTGCACTCACAGACAAGGAAGTGCTGCCGAAGATGCCTATTTTAGCTGAAGAGAGATTGGCAAGTGCAGTAAAGGCAAGGTCACCATCTCCTCCTGTGAGGAGATCATTATCTACTGATAGAGGAGCCTTAATTAGAAGCAGGACCAAGGCTGACACAGTAGACAACCAACCAGTCTCAAGAGTACCATTTCCGGCTAGAGTTCCTGTTAATAAATCCTTCACTACAACAACTGTGATCCCATCGACAGAAAATAACAACTCCAGAGTTCATATGAGTTCTCAAGAGACAGCCAAACAAGATAATACCTCAGATGCATTCTACAACCAGCTCCAAAAACTCAGCATTAAGAAAGTTCACTCAGAACATGAAGATGAGTTTAGGCAAGCCCTTAATATTAGACAAGGTGGCATTAGGAAAAGCAAGGCTGAGAATAAGGCTAGAATAAAGCACCAACTGCCAGCGAGACTTCAGAAAACTGATGTTGCAGTGACATTGCTTTCTGATATGGATGCTGCTAGTGAGAAAATGGAGGAGCCTCGAAAAAGTGACTTCTCTGATCCAGAAAATGAGCATTCACTAGTCGTGTCTCCTGTGCATAGTGCCTTGAAAATGAAGAAGGTTCGACAGAACTTCTCTAGGAATTTGCAGAATCTTGAACCAAGGTATGCTTAAACGTTTTCTTGTACCAAGCAGCCAAGAGCTGACATAATTCACTTCTAGTTCTGATGAACATTGCATTTCCATTATGTGCAGAGGATTAGTTCAAGCAGTGGAACCCTTGTTGGGTGGGAAAATTGACAGGATTCCAAATGGCGTAATTCGCCAAGCAAAGGAAGGAAGTAACACTTTGATGCCTGAATTTAGAAGGAGCAGATCTTCACCTCGCGGGAAATTTTTGGTTTTGCCTTGAGGATTCTACAGTATATATAGCATACTAAATCCTTGCCTTTGTCAGCAATATTGTTTAAAATTTTGTATAGTGACTATTCAAGTTGGTCTTTTTGGGTTGCATTTTCAAGGGATATATTGTTGTGCAAGATGTCATTTGAGATGAATTATGTGTATACTTAAAAAAACTTATATGATTTGTTTCATCTGATTTTTCTTTTCTTTCCTTCTGGGCAATCTTGCATGACAGAATGTCTCTATTTCACAGAATATCTGCACGTATCAGGTCGAAAATAGGAAACAAGTAGAGATAGAAGAGAAAAGGACTAACGGAGGGAAAGGAAAGAAAAGGGCAATTTATCTTTAGCAGATATGGATAAATGTCAACTACCTCTAAACTCTAAGCTTCCTTCAAACACAACTAATATACCTATGTAGAAATCGTTCAAGCTTGTTATTGGATTTACATACGCTAGTCTGTTTGGATTCTTGCAATCAGACAATTTAACTCAACTCCATATCAAGTAGTTTTCCATCCCCAGACAAGTAATCCCAGTAGTTTATGTTTTCCTTATGCCTCTATGATTGAATTTCCACTCATGTTGCTTGCTTTCGAGGTGTTCCCTTTGGCTGAAAAAGTTGATGCCTGTGAAACATTTATTTCTTGTGTCTGCTTCTGGGTGTTCTAGATTGCTTGTGTTTATTACAGGAAAAGTTTAGATTTGAGAAAGTGGAGTTACTAATTCTATAAATGTCTGGTGTAAAGCATGGGACATTGCAACTAACGGTCAGATCCACCTCCTAATAAAATCACCATTTTGTCTTGCCTCTTTCTTTTATCAGATTCATTTCTCTCCAATTCATCTATGATCATGTTCTTCACCTTAATCTCTGTCTAGCCTATTTTCTAAACTCACTATGGTACCGCTTCATTCTCTTTTCTGTTTTCTCTAACAAAGGTGCAGTACTCTTCAAAGAACCTAACTAGTTTCCAACCTTGCAGTTCCTCTATCTGCTTCTGTGGTTCTCCTTTTTAAGTTTGTTTCCATTTCCTTTCATTAGACATCTAGTCTTTCATAACACATTGAAGCCGCCTGGATAGAAGGAAAAGTTTTGACCCTTGATGAAGGTGAGGCTGGAGAGTTGAATGGCAGACTGTTAGCTTCAGTGGGCAAGATCATAGCAGACAAGCCACCCAGCAAAGGAGGAGCTCAGGGTGTTTCAAAAGAGCCTGGGGGAGAATGCAGAGATTTCACTGTTACTGAATTATCTGAGGACACCTACTTATGCACCTTCAAGGAAGCAAGAGCGGCTGAACAAATTTTGGAGGATGGTCCATGGTCAGTGATGGGCTATGGCATTTGCTTTCACAGATGGCAACCAGGGCTTACCCTGGATCAGCTGGATTTTTCTCAAGTGGTCTATTGGGTCCAGGTGGCCTCTCTTTGGACCAAATGGGCCCCAAAAATTCAAAAACGTTGGAGAGCAGATTGGTAGGATGGTGGAAATTGAGGATCCCACTTCTTTACATGTTACAAGAAGGGGTTTCTTCAGGGCTCGAGATGTTACTAAAGCACTCCCTTCAGGATGTTGGGCTTACAGGACTGGAAAATACTGTATGGGTCCCCCTCAAGTATGAACATTTAGCTTATAGTTGTTCCACATGGAATAATGTTTCACCTATTTTAATTGTTCTGCGTGAAGTAGTGTTTCACTTATAATGGTTATTCTCATTATTCTTTATATAATGTTACGCGATAAAATGATTTTTTAGAGAATAAACATTAATCAAAATCAACTATCTACAGTTTGTATATCACATTGCTAAATTTTCTATGTTTCTGATAAAGTGGTTATGATTTGAACACTAAGGAGACATGGGGTGTGAACTTTTGAGCTTTGTGTGACTTGAACACTAAAGAGACATGGGGTGTGAAGTTTTGAGCTTTATGTGACTTATTCCAAATATCAAAGACAAGAGAAGATGTCATAGAATACAAAGTGCGAGATTTACTAGTTATTGATGGCTCTACTAAAAGATATCCTTTTCCAATGGTGCTTTCTATCTGCAGTTGAGTTAGGCCTTTAGATTTGGATTTTTTTTCTTTTCCTCAGGCATTAAAAAAAATAACTGCTTGTTACATTAGATATATATATAACAACACCGAATGGAATGGCCTTACTGTACCTGATGCAAACTGGATTTCAGTTGCTAGTACTCAAGATGTTCTTGAACTGATAAGAATTGGCCAAAAGAATCAAGCAGTAGGTCCGACTGCATTTAATGAGCGAAGCAGCCGGTCTCATAGGTATATCAGCTTTATCCAGGACAAGTTGTGTAATCATGTTGAATGCTTTGCTGTTAATCATGATTTATGACTACATCCATATTGATTCTTTCCCCAGTGTTTTGACTGTTCATGTTCATGGAAAAGAACTGGTTTCTGGATCCATTTTCAAAGGTTCCCTTCTCTTGGTGGATTTGGCTGGGAGTGAGAGATTGGATACGTCCAAAGTTCAAGGTGACAGGCTGAAGGAAGCTCAATATATCAACAGATCACTCTCTGCACTGGGAGATGTCATCTTAGCTCTTGCCCAGAAGAGTACACATATTCCGTACAGAAACAGCTAGCTTACACAGATATTGCAGAAATCTTTAGGTGTATCATTTTATGTGTAGAAGACAGCTTTCTGCTCCTTTACAAACTGTCTTGTTTCTTTATCATTCTCATTTTGTATTGTGAAATAGGTGGGCATGCTAAGACTTTGATGTTTGTACATGTAAGTCCTGAACTTGAAGCTATTGGAGAGACCATTGGCACATTGAAGTTTGCAGAAAGAGTTGTTCAGTAAACTTGGGGCTGCTTGATCTAACAAAGAAACCGGTGACATCCTAGAATTAAAAGAAGAGGTTCAGTTTCTTGTTTTATGGATGACATTCTTTTTGGCTTGTTTCCAATGCAAGAAATCCTTGTTTAATATTTCTAATATCTATCTTAGATAACAAACCTTAAGCTGGCATTGGAGAAGAAAGAAGCTGAAGTGCAACAATTGAGGGTTGGGAACACAGGAAGCATGACAGGATCACAAAAGGCAAAAGTGCTCAGATTTGGAATCACTTCCAACTTGAAGCCTTGGACATGGCAACGACCTAATGATGATACTAAAAGCCTTGAGGTAACAGAACATACTGTACAAAGATATGGATTTTGTATCACATAATCTGATTTCCATAGAGGTGCTAAACAGCCAAGAACAGCTAAGATGCTATATCTCGCATTTATATTTGATTTACAGGCCAAAAGTGTTCCTTCGACTAAGCAGAGGAGGTCAAAGTTTGCTTCTGCTCTCACAGGCAAGGACATGTCACCAAAGATGCCTACTGTGCCAGAAGAGAGACTGGTACGTACAGGAAAGCCAAAGTCACCTACCCCTCCTGTAAGGAGATATTTATCTGGTGATAAAGGAGCCTCAACTCGAAACAAGGTCAAGGTTGACATAGTTGAGAACCAACCAATCACAAAAGTCATGCTTCCAGCTAAAGCACCCACTAAATATCTTGCCCCAGTACCAGAGATCCCATCAACAGATAACATCTCTGCAGTCCAAACAGACCATAAGATTGATGAAAGTAAATTGAATTCTCTGATGCATTCTACAGCCTCATCCCTAGGGAAAGTCAGTCAGAACATGAAGAAGGGCAGTTTCTTTTATGCAGACTCTTAATATTGAGAAAGGAAGCATTAGGAAAGCAGGAGTCCAAAGATATGCATCTACTGCCAGCTAGGTTCCTGATATCTGATGTACCATACTACCACTGACATTGCTTTGTAATATAATTTTTGGTTAATATCAAATTTTTGGAGCCCCTAGAGTGTTTTCAGAAACACAAAATGAGAAATTATTTGTTGGGTCACCACTCACCAGCTCCTGGTGCCTTGCTGATATAGAAAGCTTGACAGGACTTCTTTAGGAACTGAAAAATCTTGAACCAATGTAATCTTACTTTTTCAGAGCAGTCAGGAACTAAGAACTTTGTTACATTTTGTAAATAAAATTGGTTCCTCCCTGGCTACTCATTAGTAAATGCAGATTCACCAAGCAAAGAAGTGAGGCAACACTTCAACTTTTGAACAAGGGCTTCACCATGTGGAATATCTTGGCCTTAAGAATTCCCAACTACCAAGAGATTCTTTGCCTTTGGTTCTTCAAACTTTTCACTGTGACTGTTCTGGTTGGACTTTGAGTTTCCCCACCTCTTTTGAAGGAGCTGCTGTTATTTCTTTTTTTTTCAGATCCAGTATAAAAGGTCCTCAAATACATCTTGAAAGAACCATGACAGGTATAAAGGAAAATCATCCTTTCTATTCATCAGATCCTGCCAAATGTCTCCACTCGAATTTGGGAAACGAGAGTGAAGTTTATGAGATGAGAGAGAGCTACCTCCATTTATGTCTCTTAAGCCCAATGAGCTTTACCATGTACCAAAAGAATAATTGCTGGCCCACAAACCTACCTTTACTTTGTGGTTTGATTTAATTTTCTGTCACATTTACCTGTAAATGACCTACTTTACTCTATCTTTTTTCCTGCTTAGGAGATTTGGTTTATGTACCAAATATTTCTAAATATGAGGAAAAGAAAAGGAAAATATTTCCATCCATTCAGTTGTCTAACCAAATACCATGCAACTGTTTCTTTCATGAATTTTTTGCAAGCAATCTTGTACACAACTGTTTAAGTATTACCAAATTTAGACTCTAATCTGTATGGCTTTTAACTAAATTGCTCCAAATAGTCTATAAATAGTAATACTAGAGGAAAACAAGAAAGTTTCTGTTCAAGATGATAAACATTGACAACCTCAGCTTAGATGTAAATTTCTCAAAGTAACTTCCCTTGTTACTAACTCCAAAACCACCAGCATGGAACCATTTCCTGAACCAATATATCTGCAAATTTTCAAGCAGACAATTCATGTCACCCAATTTATCATCAATTTTAATATCTGCAAATTTCATACTTGGGTGTTGTTAAATTCAGTGACTGACAGATTTCTCACATTCAATCACCCTCAAGAATTTGATCAGTTTCAAGGGCTTTATCATTCTCAAGATAGTCATTAAGCCCAGGTAACATGTACATTTTACATTCATGTGATATCTGAGGCCAAATATCTCCACCACTTCATACAGAAAAGAAGGTAGATGTGGACGATATCCTGATAAAGCAGGCATTAGGTTTGAAGAGAGTTGATGGGACTCTCCTCAAGAATATGACCAGTAGTGGATTTAACAGCTGCGCAAAGACTGCTTTCCAGGGCTTAATCATTTTATACCAAGCAACCTAACATCGGCAAAATCTAATTGTCAAAACTGGTCAAAGGCCCTTAACGATGTTGAGTAATCTTGAGGTGCTGGCTTACCTAACATTCCAAGGCCACCACCATCAAAGGAGAAACAAAAAGAGAATCAAGGGACAACAGATAATGCTGCACAATACTCAGTCACCTCCATCTACCATGCCCATATTGCAGACTCGAGCCGCAAAGTAACAGCCACATGGTGCAAAAGCCTCGTTAACCATTCCTTTACTATCAATGTGGAAAATCCTTCCGATGATCAAAGTCCTTGCACCTGCAAGATTGATTTAAAAGCATGGCAGTTTTGGGGCAGAAAAGGTCTCAAAAGTTTGGAAGTAGATGGCAAGCGGGTAGATGTCTACTGGGATTTTCGACAGGCAAAGTTCTCCAGTAGCCCTGAGCCTTGTTCAGACTATTATGTGGCAATCGTGTCTGAGGAAGAGGTGGCATTAGTTGTAGGAGATATGAAGACAGATGCTTTTAAGAGAACCAAGAAAAGACCATCCTTGGTAGATGCTATCTTGCTGTGCAAGAAAGAGCATATCTGCGGGAAGAAATTATTTTGCTCCAAAGCCAAACTAAATGAGGGGAAACACGAGCATGACATTATGATTGAGAACTCTCTATCTGGTCCTGATGATCCAGAAATGTGGGTTAGCATAGATGGTACTGCTGTGATTCGGATCATGAACCTGCATTGGCGGTTTAGGGGAAATGAAATTGTCACAGTGAACAATACACCAGTACAAATCTTCTGGGATGTGCATGATTGGTTGTATAATACCTCTGGTTCAAGCCATGGTTTGTTCATCTTCACGCCAGGCGTGCCAGATTCTGCAGCTCATTGTGATTCAGATGGCTGCAACACATATGACTCACCAAGGGACAGCCAGTCAGTGCCAAGATTTTGCTATGTTCTTTATGCTTGGAAAACTGAGTAGGATCTAATTTAACAAAGTCATTTGTTGCGGGTCATTTATCCTTTTTCAAAAAGCTAACTTGATAGGTGTGTTTGCTCGATACGAGATTAAAGCACGTTACCTAATTCCTTTCAAGCGTTCAATACCACAGATTACCTGTTGGAAACTGCTGCAAACATTTGTACTAGTTTGGTGGGTTCTGTGGTAGTTTGATCATTGTACATGACATGGTTAGATGTTTCTCTAGTCTCTTGCCATTCTAACTATATCTCAAATCTAAATGGCGTCTTCCTTGACCACCTTTTTATGTTCCTTGTCAATGATTTCCTTGTTCATCTCTGTGAACTCATAGGAGCGAAATCAACGAACTGCAAATCAAAAACTTGTTCTAATGCATGCAAAATAATAAAGGAGAAACCTTTCTAACTCCAAATGGCGCTTTAAAACAAAACAAACAGTTAGAAAAAGGGACGCGTAAAAACCCAGGCCAAAACGCTGCCGTTGCAGGCACCAACTTCAGCTAAGGATTTCTAAGGTTTTAACTGAACTTCAGCCATGAACTTGAAAATTGAAATTGAAAATGTCCACTTTTGCGGGTAATCTCGGCTTCAAAATCTCATCCAGTCTTCAATTTCGGGTCTACTCAATTCCCTGGTAAGCTTTTCCACTCCAAGTTTGGTTTTTTTTTTCCATGGTCTGTTTGGTTGCCAAGAAAATGGAAGAAAGTGAAACAAGATTGGTACTTTGATTTATTTCTATCTTTCCAGTTTCATATTTGTGAAAGAAATCCAAAACCCAATTTATATATGATGTTAATTAGCCAGCCTAAGATTTAAAAAATGATAAAGCTTTGATTTTTCAGGTTGAATGGGAAAAAGGCAATATATTGTTTGAAAGAGAGGGAGTATAGTTCATCAGTTCCAGTAAGGTATATACCTAAGAAATCTTTGGAAACTAAAGTGCCAGAAAGTTCTCCACATTCAAAGGGTTTGAGAACGAATGAGTCTCATAAAAGTTGTGATTGGAATGCATTTGGAAGCAAGAGTACAAACAATAGGAGCAGTATTGTTGATGAAAAGTCACAAACACGAAGCAGAATGTTTGAGGAAAGCGTCTTGCATGATGATGTTAAACAAGGTATGCTGAATTTGTAAGGATCAAACTTTTATCTTCTAATTGTTATATGCAATGCTTGTGGATTGCTATTGGGAATTGATGGTTTACAAGGATCATGTATACCAGCACAGGGTTAACTTTATTGGTTTCAAACTCAAAGCATTGTGGATGTAATGATTTCTTGAATAGTTTTATGTCCATTTGTAAAAGTTTTACACTGGTAAAGTGGTAATATAGATTAAGGGTATCGATGAACTTTTAGATGGAAATACTTACTACATGTTTCCAAGTTTAGTCTTGCAAGTTTCTTCTGATGTGTGCACAAAAATGACAATGATATGCTTTAAATCATTTATCACACTCACTGAGTTGGAAAAATAACTGCTCTAATTATAGACCATGAAATAATGGCAAAGTCCTTGGAGGCGGTTGAGGATATTCATCAAGGGCAGGATATTTATGGGATGAATGTGCTACAAGTTTCTAAGAGAATGCCAGATGCTGAGAAGTTGGCAATTGAATTACTTGCAGCAAGGTTAGCTTATTACTTTCTCTACCTTTATAACCTTTGTTTTTCATTTCTTGGACATGAAATGTAGCTTAGCCATTTTTTAATCATTTTATTAGTTCTTCACTGAATGCAATCTTCTTTACCCTGCAGAGCATTTACAGCAGGTGAACTAAGAAAGAAATTACTTGGGAAGAGATTCCATCCAGATATTGTTGATGTAGTGATTAACGATTTTCAGAAGAGGTGTGTAAATAATTAGACTGGAAGACGTCATATTGAATATTTCTATGAGCTATTTTTTGAGCCACCATATTTGCAATTATAATCTATTGGGGTATATTTGCTTCTACTGTGGTCCGTATTTTTGCTTTCGATTGCATTGTGAGTTAAGCAATTATTTGACCTTTTTAGTTTGCCGTAGAGGGTTGATCAATGATGGCTTGTATGCTGAAGCCTTTTCTCGATCTAGATGGTCTTCATCAACCTGGGGACCAAGGAGGATCAAGCAAGTAAGTGGTCATCCTTTAAATATAAGTTTTTCCAGTAATTTAAGTATCTTAAGATTGTGCCATCTTCTTAAATAGATGAGGCTTTTTGCTTGCTAATAGTAAATTTCTCATAAATCACCGTTTCAAGTGGCTAAGAAGATGAAAGTTATCTCAAGATCCTATCCTTTTTCAAATTATATATATCATAGTTAATTATCTGAGTATGTAAATAACGGAAAACCTAGTGAAAAAAAGGGCTATGGGTAGACTTGAAATCTTTGAGTATTAAATTTAGTTCTATACTTTAGTGTAGGCTTATTGGAACTTGTCCAAGTTTAAAGAATCGTGTATAATGTCCTTGCTGTTGGTATAGATCATAATATTTGTGTTAATATTGTCTAGCTTCTGGGTTCTAATAACAATTAAATAAAGAAAAGGAAGGGAAATGGGAAAGGAAAAGAAGAAACAAAGAAACAAGGTTTATTTATTTCTAACATTTGTTGTTTTCAAGAAAAAATTTTAAACTCTTCAGTGATGGAGTGCTGTTGTCAAATCAGGCATTGTTCAAGAAGGGAATAAGCGAAGCTGATGCAGAGAAGGCATTAAAACTTGTTTTTGAGGATAAGGTTGGTGACTTAAACGATGATCAAGAATCCACCCTTGGCTTGTCAAAGCTTTCAATGGATCACCTATTAATTCAGGCCTCAAAGCAATGGCTTCGAGGTCGAGATGTTCCTAAAGAGAAACGTAAATCAAGAATAGTTCGGTGGCTTCAGTATCGTGGCTTCAACTGGGGTGTTATTGGTTCTATAGTAAAGAAGTTAGAATCTCAGTATCCTCCCTAAAACACCAAAAGGATCTCACCTATGTTTTGGCAGGAATGAAAGATAATTCTAGGTTTCGATGAGGTTTCATACCCATCATTTGAATTGTCAAATGCAAGTTGGGGAATAAGGATAGGGTTGCGATTGCTTATGGCATGTATTGGCTGCTGCATAAGCTGCTCATCTTAGCACTTTACTGTGCCAAACTTAATGTTGCATAAATCTATGTTAGTGCCCCTACACTCTAGTCAGGTCGAGATGAGGTTGACCTTTGCTAGCACATAACTCCAAGACAAAGCGGCAAGTGGTGGCATTACCTTGACATTGATTGGATCCAACAAAATGTTTCATTGATTGAGGGCCTGCATGTATTTATCTTCTGCAAATATCTGTTTGAAGGAATTTTCTCATTATGTTTGTGTATCAATCTTCTCTCTTGAGGCATCTTTTATGGAAGAAAACTTATCACATGACACTAATTACCACACACACACATACATATCAGCTGATACATGAATTCTCATTGAAAACTTCTTGGTGAAAGCAAGTAGGATGGTAGAACTCAACGTTAGATGGCTGCCATCATGATTTCTTCTATTTGTTGTCTCAGAAATCTTGAGACTGCATCAATATTGAGACAATGGCAGTACTCTCAGCTAGTGGAGCTGCATTATCCTATCCTGTGGATCTTAGTTCTTCCGCAGATGCATCAATATGATTATGAAACAGTTATTTTGTTTTTCTATGTGTATACAAGTATAATGGTTTTGCTACTGCATGTGCATCTGATTAGGACATACAGAGTCTTCCAAACCAAGGTTTAGATTACCTTGGGAAGACTTTTACATTGCTGGAAGGAAAGTCTTTTTCAGACAGCACACGGACATGTGATGTGGGGAACGTGGGACCATGTGACCACAGCTGTTGAGGCAGGTTGAGAGAGAGAGAGAGAGAGAGGTGGAATCTCATTCTTGCAATAAATTCTAATTACATAAATCCAAAGCTAACAATCATTGTTCCAGCTTCAACTACATGCCCTGCAGTCATCCTCTCAATTCAAACTCTTTAACATTTGCCATCTCTAGTCCCAAGATATCCCTCTTATAGTGCCATAAGCACCCTACGTTCCCTCTCTCTTTTTCTCTCTTTTGTTACATTTGCTAATATAATATACTACATTTAAGTGAAATCTAAGTAATCAAATTATTACAATCTACAATACCAAATACTCGAGAAACAACTACTCAGAAAAGGGGGGGGAGGTTGGGGGAAAGAAAGGCCTGTTAACATTTCCCACTCCCATGTTTTGTGCTGATACAGCATCGATTCTTCTGTGGACTATGAACAAATTATGTATCACATAGCTTACTACTTGAAACCTCCTCCTGATGATTGGATTGAATCATCGGAGAAAGCAAACGAGCAGTTAGAAGATCCTTGAGAAACTACTATTCTAGGAGGAGGTGATGAGCGAGGAGGGGCTGATAAGGACCCCTTTGAAATGTCAGCTTCAGACCTTAAGGTCTCAACATGACGGATTTCTTTGAGCATCGCTACAACATCTTTCATTATTGGACGGTCGTCAGGCCGGGTGCTGACACAGAGAAATGATACAGCTAGTGTTTGTAGCATTTCATGCATGGCAGGGTCAGCCCTCCCTCTAAGCTTTGGGTGCAGGATATCAGATGGGTCTCGCTTGCTGGCCAAATGATCCCGAACCCACTGAACCAAGTGTGCACCCCCTGGCAAAGTTGGGTCTAACGGATGCCTGCCGGTTAGCACCTCTAAGAGGACTACACCAAAACTGTAGACATCACTTTTCTCTGTAATACGTTGCATTGTGGCATGTTCTGAGAGTAACCATGGAATATAGAAAAACGAATCAGTGACTAATATGAATGAATTAAGGGAAGAGATTGAATACAACAGGCTTATTAAACCTTGGTTAGGAAAAAGAAAATACCTGGAGCCATGTATCCATAAGAACCTGCTAGGTGTGGTCTTGGATTTAATTTGGAAAGTTTACCATCATCATTGTTATTCACAACTCGAGCTAACCCAAAGTCAGCAAGGTAAGGCTCATAGCCAGTACCTAATAAGACATTCATAGCTTTCACATCCCCATGCAAAATTGCAGGCACACAGTCATGGTGTAAGTATGCAAGGGCATGTGCCACACCCAGCACAACATCATATCTAGCCTCCCAGTCTGGTGCTCCCTTGCCGGCACCGTGGAGGAGTGAACTCAAGCTTCCATTTGGAACGTAATTGTAAAACAGCAGCTTCAAATTCCTGTTTGTACCCCAACCAAGAAGCCGGACAATGTTTCTGTGCCTGATTGAGCCTAGTGTCTGGATTTCAGAAGTGAATGCACCAGACTGTTCTGATGACCACATCTTCTTCACTGCTAATGTTTCACCATTTGGAATCATTACCCTGTATACAACCCCAGAGCTCCCAGTGCCGATCACATTAGCTGAAGTTAAATTGTGGACAACATCATCAATCGAGAAGTCAAGCTTCTGATACAGGGTCACTTCCCAATTATCATCTTCCATGAGGCCATTGCTAGCAAACCGGGCTCGAACTAACATGTATATAGCAAGTAGGACTAGAACTGCACTGGCACTTATCAAGATGGACAGAGCTAGCTTTACTGCTGGTCTATCATGCCTTGCATGTCCAATATCAGCTGAAGTTACAACCCCATTGGAGATGTAGAGACCTTTGTTTGATTCAAGGTCACTCAGGGGGAGCTTTCGGAAAAATGGGGAATTTGGCAGTTCACCAGAGAAGTCATTGAAGGAGACATTGAGGGATACAAGGTTTAGTAGGCTTGCAAGGACATCTAGCTTGCCATTGAATTTGTTGTGGGAGAGGTCAAGTGCTCCTAGCTTGCTAAGCCCAGAGAACTCAGATGGGATTTCACCAGAAAATTGGTTGCAGCTGAGATTGAGAGAGATTTCAAGTGCCGGAAGCTGGCCTAGTTCCTTGGGAATTTCACCAAAGAAACCATTGTCACCGAGGTTTACCAACTGGAGCTTACTGCAGGACAATATCTCAGATGGAATTCTTCCGGAAAGTTGATTCTTTCCCAAATTTAGCTTAGTCAACTCAGTCAAGGACCCAATACTATGAGTCAATGGACCTGTGAGCCTGTTGTCTGAAATGTCCACGTACTGTAGGCTTGAAGGCAGAGTATCTGGCAGAGAACCAGTGAGACCATTTGAATGGAGGTCAAGAAACTCAAGGTTTTGACATCCAGATATTGATGGAGGAATTCCTCCAACAAAACGATTCTTGCTTAAGTCAACGAAATTCAAGCCCTTCAAATTTCCAATCTCTGATGGAATTGTTCCTGCAAGTCTATTGCCATTCAATCGTAACCTGTACAGATTGGTGCAGTTTCCTATATCTGGCGGTATAAAACCAGATAAATCATTGGAAAGTAGCAGTAGCTTGGTGAGGTTTCTCAAACCAAAAATTTCTTTTGGGATTGAACCAAAGAGGCCATTGTAGGATAAATCAAGTGCCTGAAGATCATGGCACTGAGAAAGGCTGTCTGGAATATTACCCGTGAGGTTATTTTGCCAGGCAAAGAATAGAGTCAAGCTCTTTAGGTTGCCAATGAGGACAGGAATCTCACCGGAGATGGCGTTGTTGTCAATTTCCAGATGAGCCAGCTCCGTGCAATTTGAAATTTCAGAAGGAATGGTACCTGATAGCTTATTAACACTCAGTTGAAGCTCTTGAAGCTTCAAAAGGTTTCCGATGCTTCTTGGTATGCTACCTGTCAGAAGATTCTCCGAAAAATCCACCACAGTTAGCTCCGTGCAGCTTCCAAGCTCATCCGGGATAGTACCAACTAAGCTGTTCTGCCACAATAGTAGACTCTGGAGTTTGCTGAGCTGACCAACTTGCCTGGGGATTGGACCAGAGATAGAATTCTGATAGAGGTAAAGATTCTGCAGCTCACTGCAATTTCCAATCTCTTCTGGGATAGGACCTGATAACAAAGATGTATATATGGCTATGGTTTGAATCCTTTTCAGCATTCCAATTGATGAAGGAAGATTTCCAGAAATGCCAGTTTCAGCAAGGCCTAACAAAACCAAGTTGGTGCAGTTTCCTATCTCCCAAGGCAGCTCACCCTTGAGATTTTTATTCCCACCTGCTCGAAAAACTTCTAGCTTTCTCAATTCTCCTATGCTCTTTGGGATTTCACCACTGAGTTGATTGTCATAGAGTGTCAGGTAAACAAGACTGGAAAGATTTCCAATTCCTGATGGAATTTCACCTTCAAGAAAGTTTGTGTTTAGTGACAAACTTTTCAGTTTGCTCAGCCTGCAAATTTCCAGGGGGATTTCACCTGAGAGAGAATTGTCACTGAGATCAACAAAAGTGAGCTCATAATAATCTCCGAATTCTTTAGGAATTGTGCCAGTGAGATTGGTCGATGAAAGTACAAGGGTCCTCAAAGATATTAGAGACTGAAAGTTTGAAGGCAATGAGCCTTGCAAATCAATTGCTTTCAAGCTTATCTCCTCTACTTCGCCATTGGAGTTGCAATGAATACCAAACCATTTGCATGGAGTAGGGTCTAATGAATTCCACAATTTTAGAGCATCTGCGGTGCTGTTCAGGCTGTTCTTCCATGTTAAAAGAGCTTGCCCCTGCTCATCAATCGAGTAACAATGATGGAAAAGAAGAGAGTTTATTGAGAGAAGTAAGGTGAAGGAGAAGATATTGGAAGAAAGCAGGAGATTCCTTAGAGTTGCAGGCATTGCTTAGAGAAGAGAACAGGTGATCTGTTTTGGGATTGTAGAGGGTGGAACCCCATGTTTTGTTTATAGAACAAAAGCAGAAGATCGGGATCCAAGTGCACCTTCTTTTTCTATTATTTTTCTAATACGTGCAGCTGTTAATTAAGAGATGGTGATGCAGATAAGTTTCTGATATTAATTAAGTAAACCTTTTTCCCTTCTTTTTTTTTCATTTCAGTCTTTCTGTTAATCTGTCAATTAAAGTGAAGGGTTATTCTGATATTCTTCCCATCCTTTTCCTTCAATAGACTTGTGTTAAGTTTTTCATTTTTTACTACAAGTAACTGTCAGAAAAGATCCTGATGGCACTGAATGGCATGTCGAGAAAATTCCCCTTCTCAAAGTTAAACTATCTTATTTACACTTTTCTGGTCATATAATTGACATATTCCCATGGCAGTAAAATTTTTCCTCCAACTCGGACTGTTCTCTAACTATCTCCAGGACTGATAATTGAACAGTAAACATCTCAGCTCCGCCGTCTGATTAGTGGAAATTATTTCAGAGACAGTGATAGCTTAGAGATCAAACCAGGCAGGCACAATATCCATGGAATGTTTTAGCTTCAAATCAACAGCATCATGTCTTCTTTAATGAGCCAATCCAAGAAGAAGTGGTCCATCAAAAATCTGTGGTCACAACAGACTAGCTGCCCATGTGTTTGTTACCAGTTGAGTTTCAGTTGCTTTTCAATGATTTAAGAAGCTTTAAGTACACATATTTTTGTTCGAGACAAACCCCACATTGTAGTATCCCAATTTCTTACCTAAGAGTGAGGAGCAAACTCAAGACCTCCAGGCTTTCACCATATCTCAGATTAGTTTAACTTTGTCAAAGCTGTTAATACAGCTAATTTGTGTTAAAATTCTGGAATCTTGCTTACTTTTCGTGCAGAAGCAAAGTGGCATATTCTTAGTAAGTTTAAAAGAAAGCATTTCTAAGATCTAATATTAGTTTGTTTATTAGTGCATTAGAATAGTGAACAGCACATGCAAGTAAAGGAATTATCTAAGAAAATTGAGATTATTTTAAGCTGCAAATCCGGACAAGCTGTCGGGTAGCCTTTTGCTGTAAAGGATTAAGAAAACAAGGAAACTGCACCTTTAGTGGAAGGGACAACGTCACACCAACTTCAGAGTTCTTAATGGGGGGGCGTTTTTCACTGTCCTCAGAATCAGATTGACCTACTCAAAAACAAAAGATATTACCCATTTTAAAACTTTATCATAAGATTTTAAGATCAAGTGTCAGCCCTTGATGACCCATCACAACTTGGAAGTACATAAAATCATCAGGTCACCAATTTTCTTGAGCACAAAGACTGTAATTTCTATATCTGAGAACATAAACTTGACTCTTTCCAATGTATTCAATCAATGATAGAGACCATTCCAGGGTAGAATTTAATGAAGCAGTACTATTATTTGGTCTGCTCCATTGATGAATCCTACTCCTTTAGTTTGACCATAGATTCTTACCACAACTACCAGCTAGCTAGCATACCCCTAAAGCATTTTTTTCACTGGTAAGATGTGTGGTTATCAGCATTGAATAATGGGCTCCATGAGCTTCATCTTGTAAGGAAATGATTATACTAAATTTTTCCATCTTCAGATACCAACTTCTCTCAATTTATAAAAGCAAAATAGTCATCACTAGTGTAACTTCTTTTGCACCAGCAAAGTTGATGGGTACAGTACATGCTAATCCAGGGAGTTAAAAAAAAAAAGGTTTAAAAAGTAAAACAAAGCATGAAAATGTGGAAAAGAGAATATGTATGAAAGAGGAGAAAATAAGAATAAATCTAAAGGAAAACAAAGTGACAAAGAGCATTAAAAGAAGAGACAAAGGCTCCCCCTCTCCCCCCCACCCCCCTCCTTACTCCAATCTCCACCTTTCTGTTGTTTACTTTTCCTTGGTGAAACTCAACTTGGAAAAAGTTTGTTGTCTAGGAAATAAAAGGTTTTGTTTGTAAGATACCATTAGATCTGTGTTTGTTTTAACAGCAAGGGGGACATCATGTTCACTTTTTTTCACCTTTGCAATGTTGTTAGATGCCTTTCTTTTACTTCTGAATCTGTTGCTCCAAAATTCAACATGTAGCACTGTCAAAAGCTTGAAGTAGTAGAACTTCAGGACTCCTTGGCATGAACATGCATCCATATACTTAAACAAAAACAACAACTCAATCAAAAATGGATATCACATTGCTGACCCTTGGACTATACATATAGATCTCCATCACATGAACTTCATCTCCCATGCATATATTATTAAACTTTGAGCAATGGGAATCAAAGTTAGTATAGGCAACAAGGGGGTCACATGATGTGATCTAAGATTGCTGGTTTTTCCTGATCTTGGCGCTTTGCAATAAGATTAGCTGAACCAAAACTAGACTATATAATATTTAAAATGGTGATGAAGGTTATAGCTAGGAGTACTTGTTTTTAAACATTTAAGCTACCATGCCACAACCATTGCTAGTTGGTTGCATGTTTTTAATTAGTTTTTACTTGGTATTGTTGTCTTTTTTTGGTTTTGGCATGAGAGTTGCACATGAGAGACAAGAGAGAGTATGGATGGAGTATATATTTAATTACAGTCCATATGATGAGAGCAATGCATTAATTCTTTAGCATCCTTCTCTTTCATAGTCAATGAATTGCCAAATAAAATAAATATGAAAACCCAATTTTTTTAATGGAAAATCAAGATTGGGTTTTCTATGAAAATTTCATAAAAGTCAAGAATAAGGAAAAAAATGGAAAAATAAAGAAAAAAATGGTTCTTGAATAGATGAAAAATGAAAGCTAAGGAAGTGGAGCTGCATGCTTCAAAGTTATGTAAGATTATAAATGTTTTTGAGATGGAAGAAACTGTTTCACTAGTTATGGAAACAAAGATTAAACAAAGAAATGAAACGGTTTTCCAAGCACAACAGTGTATGCACATGGTGACTTCCTCTTCCTACTTGTAGGTGGAAGTGGACCATGGAAGATCACAAGCTCCATTTTTTTCCCATTTGTACTTGACACACGTGCTATGGGGGGTTGAGCAATTTGGATATATCTAACACCATACAAAATTTTCTCCTTTTTTAGTCCCCTAATCCAACACTCTAATGATGAATCCAAAGTAAGGTTTGTCTTTGCTTAATTACAATCCCCCTTTTGGGATTAGATGATAAATCCAACAATGTCCATCACACTTCAAGAAGGAAGTTTCCATCTAATCAACAACATAATCAAATTACATTATTTGATTTTGAGTATAAGTACCTAACCCTGTACATCCAACTGAATGCTTGATTAATATCCATCCATTGTCATCCCTAATCTCATTGGTTCTATTTTTCTATAAGACTTTTGTGATTTTACATCACCCACTTTGATTGTTTCTTTGATTTTGGCCGAATGCTAGAACAATTTATGGGTGTAGTTTTCAGAGTAATCATGAATCTATGAGAAAACAAAAACCCAAAATGAAGCATAGGTCATGGCCAAATGACTCAAGTTCCACTTGCTTGAAGTCAAATTATATGAAAAATATTCACTATTTTTAATGATTTCTTCCAATTTGCAAGTGTTACCAAAGGCTTCTAGCCGGCTGATTCAATGATTTTGCTACATATTTTTACAAGTTTTACCAAATTTTTAAACTTAATTCTCCTGTTTTTCTTCCTTTTTTTTGTAACTTTTCTCTCTTTCTTTAAGCAATCGTGACTCATCAACTAATGTCATTTTCTTCATATCTTTATTTTCTTTTCTTTTATTAATTATTTTTATGGGTGACTGCCCAATTAATTATACACCATGGTCTAGGCATGAAAGTTCACCAATTTGATCACTTTCTTGGCTTTCCCCTTTGTATTTGATGATCTTCCAACTCTTTCACTTCTTCTACTTTTGTTGTTTGCTTTGGGTTTTTCCTAATGGAGAAGCTGACCCTTTTGCTTTCAATAATTCTAATTATAAAAATAAAGGGTTTTGTCATGCATAAGCTCCATCTTAAAGGTCGAATCATTGTCCCCTTATCACAGTGTTGCCGTCCTGATCTTTCCCTAATTTCAGGATTTGGATTCCCTACAAAATCTTTTCTTTATTTACTTCTTTATGGTATTATTAAGAACCTGATCATGGGTTTAAAAAAGTGATGGAAAGCTCTTGGACTTGAGCTTTCTTAAGCTCCATCTAGTCAAAATTTGTGTGCTTGAAATGCTGATAGCTAAAGCTTTGTTCTTTATTAGAGATAATTAATTGAAGAAATGCTATGCTTTTATGTATAGTAGACCACCTTTACCTCTTGAACAAAAATCTTCCCACCCATTTATTATTCTTCTGGTGTTCTCTCCACAAGTTCATGTTACTATCCAATGACGTTTCATATTAATGCTAGGTATGACATAGGGTTATGAAAGAGACAATAAACGAGACACCAAGTTAATGCAAAAGATGTTTATTCGGTATTTTGATACGGTTGATACTGTATTTTTGCTTGAAACACCCTCTTGGTATGTGACCATGCCTGTTTAATGAAAACTGCAAAGATCGATGATATAAATCATGCTACTGCTTGGACATATCAGTGCTTCACTTTCCATTTGCTTCTTGTTTACCACTATGCTAGTCGGCCAGGATCATCTGGCAAAGAGATTTTGCTGCATACCAGAGACGTGTGAGTTCCATTGTAAACAGATGAGATGGTTTCGGAGTGATGGGAGAGTAGTTCAATCACCCTTTTTTTTTCCCATTCTCCACATTAGAGAAACATACATAATGATTGCTAGATATATCCCATCATATGAATTGATGAAAGATTTCCAGAATATGCTCTTATCACTATTGGGGGGACTGGCATGGAAGCTAGCTAGACATCCCACCTAACCACCCTACCTCCACAAGTCAGTTTCACCTGTGATATTTGAGGGAGTTTGAAAATCCCAAGGTGCTGGCAAACAGATATAGCCAAACCACATTGCTGCCAGATCTCACTGAGACTTATATCCATGTTCAACAAAAGGATGGAAGCTCACATGGCCAGGACATTGGCAATTTACTTCCAAGATCCAACATAAAACACAGTGCACAATCAATCAACTAGAGCCTATGCAGGGTTGAGCCTTTAGTAATGAAGACAGTTAAGCTCATCTTTCACAAAAGAACCAGAACCATGGCGACTTGGGCTTAGCTCAGGGATAATGCTATGAATATGAGTAGAGATCTAAACATATTGCTGACCTCTTATACCAAAATGGAAAAGAAACAAAACAGTGAGAATTCATGCTGTTAATTGATCCAACTTTTATTGTTCAGTCACTATCGGAAAATTTAAAGGTACACTCTTCACAATTTTTTTTAGCCACAGGGTTTTTTTTTTTTTTTTCAGGCAATACAAGGAAAGGTTGAGAAGATGGAAGCAATACAGCAATGTACCTGGGACCATTTACCATCTCTTCACTAATTGACAAGTATACAAGGCAAAAAACAAAGGCCAAGAGACCCGGTTCAGCTCCTAAAACATCTTGTTACTGAAGAGGTAAGAGCAGATGTGAGAAATTTCAGCCCAGCAGATCCACCAGGGAAGTAAGAAATAGCATAGTATGCAAGTGCAAGAACCTTTCACAGAAACAGCAAAAAAAAACTGATATCAAATTGGATGTCCGCAGGCAGTAAGCTAATTAATATCTCAGATGATAATTTGACAAACCTAATAAGTTTAAGGTAAAATAATCAAACAAACATGATAAAGTAATGGACTATTACAGGATTCAAAGAAAGAAAAAGCAAGAAGCGAAAGAACAAGGACGCAATATACCTGTAATACAGAAAATAGCACAGAAAGAACATAGCTGTGAAGCACCATAGAAACATATATGGTACCCACCATACTTCCAATAAATCCCAACGTAAAAGGAAGCCTCTGCAGAAATGGTGTGATAGACAAAAGAAGAAAAGAAGAAAGCAGTACATACAATCAAGTTAGTTGATTGTTACCATTTGTAGCACTCAATTTGTGAACAAATTCAAATCTAAATGTAGCATGAATACCTCTTTTGATGACATGTGGGCAAACTGATTCTTTGGGCCTCTTAGAGCAAAGAATGATCCAATGATAAAGCCACATCCAAGGGTAAAGCAGATTGCAAATTTCTGGGGCATGAGCACCATGACTGGAAGAAACATGGTAAAGGCGATGAAAACAAAAAAGACCCCAGTAGCCAGAAGTAAACCAAAATACATAAGTGCTTTTCCTGAAGGGACACTACTTGTGGCAGATTGTAAATTCCCAGGAAGATCTCTCACCCCTTTTGAAACACTGAACCATCAAGCACCAAACAAAAAATACATTAACAGAAGATATTATGACATGCACCTATCTATTTTGTATTTAATTTTTAAGAGGAGATTATGCCAATATATATTCTTTCCTCCATCAATAGCATTTTTTTTCCCATCGATTGATCCTGCACGGTATTCTGATATTGTAGTAGTGAAATAATTGGGTAATAAAAAGAGAGAGAGATGGAAAGAAGAGCACCAACTGGTAAACTTGAAGTATACAAATAGAACAAATTCTACAAAAACCATGATTCAGTTAGCAAACTCGATCCTAGATGATCATAGTGAGATAATAAGATTGAGGCAATCAATTATAAGTGTGGAAATGGAACATTCAAAACTATGGGTCATTAAATTAGGGCATCATATAACTAGAGTTCTCTCCTGAGCTAAAACATGTATGTCACCCATGGTGACTTAATCCATATAGCAAGAAATTAAATCGCAGCCAGAGAATGAAGCACAGATATTCTTCCTTGGTGATTAGAAATCATAATCCACCAATGCATGTCCAGTTCTCTACCAAGCAACAGGTTGCTAGCATTACATTCGGTTACTAGTGCCAGTGATTGCATTGCAGTAGGGTTACAAGGAGAAATACAATTTCCCGTAGGAGAAAAAGAACCTGAAGAACTGAGGAATCTACTAGTAGCAGCAATTGAGTTATCCTCAGCTAGAAGCTGAATGGAGCACCAAAAAGTTTGAGCTTTTACTCCATTCCATGCAGCAAAGATATTGATGATCAATAGTCAACAAGGCTGCACTTTTGATAGAGACACATTAAGACCAATATTTGATGACACATTAAGACACTGCCAAGAACAATTCTAAACGGCAGAATCCCAATAACAAAGATACTACACTTGATTTCACGATAGAATCAACTTAGTTTGCAAAAATTCCTCTTCCATCGTTAGTCACATTATTTCCGACCCATAAACTGACACCAATGTACTAGTTCTAAAAAAATCTTAAAATTCTACATCTTGCTCAAACCAAAACTCAATTCACATTAGGTTTTCACATGCTTTGATACCCCACTTGGTTCTACAACATTATGGCGAATAAAACCAGAACCCAAGGCTTTTATCATCTGAAAGATCTCTCGATACCAAATTATTTCTTCCTAACCCATATGATCTTAGCCACACCTCTACCCATCTTCAATTCTTCTACTTGAATCTAATCTCTCTTGTCCACTAGGCATCTTAATGCTTGAGTTTGATATAACCACTCATCAAAGCCATCCTCCTTTTATTCTAAAAGCAACTAATGCCATAAAGCCTATGGTTTTGAGTTTTGACACATATACACTCCACAGAACAGAGAAAATTTCTCAGACCAGGGGCTTGCAAATACACACTATGTAAGTTCACTTCCACATATCTGCTATGCAAACAGAATAACAAATGACAATTATGAAATCATATGTATATTGAAGCTCTTCAAACTACAATCCTCAAACTGAATATACATTGCCAAACTAATTAACATTTGCTAGATGCTTGTAAATCAAAATGCATGCTCATTTATCCTACCAGGTTCATCAACACACATAAACTACACCAAGAAATATGCAAAGTCAAACTCACCCAGAATTTAAATGACAACAAGATCCTAAATCCTAAAATCAAATTGCCAACAAATCAACAAATAACCAGTAGTCAACAACCAATTTCACTTACATTCACATGTAATAATGCAAGTTTTATCACCAAATTAACACACTTTAACCGCAAAATCCTAAAGCCCTAACCATAATCCAATTCACAAAGTAAAATACAAAAATACATAAACACAATGCTCATAAAAGAATCAAATCTCATTATCAAATTAACACTAACAAACGTAAAAACACATCAAAGATCGATGCTTTTTCGCATTTCCCAGATCAAAAAGAAGAGTGTGATGATGGCTTACACATTGAAGGTACCAGAGACAGTGTCGTTCGCAGACCTCACAGCAGACTCAAGATCGAACCCAAACCCAGTTGCAATGCTCTCATCTGCTTCTCTTGAAGCTGCATATGAGTTCCAATCTGCTAAAAGAGAAGACCCTTCTTTCATCTGCTCGCCACCCCCACTACTGCCCCCTGAGAACCAAGCTTGCATTTTTCTGCTTGTTTTTGGTTTCTAGGGGGAAAAAAACAAAAGAAACAGCTCTAAAGGTTTCACCTGTTTTGTTGGATTTCCTTTCTAGAGTATTTAAGGCCTAGGAATGGTGAGGCTGCTGTAAGAGAATAACTGACCTGGAAGAGAGAGCTTAGGAAATAAGTAAAGAAGATGTTTTTCTGCTTCTTCTCTGTAGTTTGACGAGGTAACGGTGTCGTTTCAAAAGTTGTTGGGAGTCTATCAAAAAATGGAATAGTATTTATTAGTATTTCAAATCAATGCGTTTCCTCATTATCCCATTAAAAAGGTGAGGAAATGGTGGATTCATTAGTTGTTTTCATGTTTTTTTTATTGAAAAAGTAGAATCATAAACTGAAAATGAATCCTTTTGGTTTTGCAATGACAAGTTTCTACTAAAGAAGTTCTTCAGCAGCCTTGGCTTATGTTGGAAAGTGAGGAACTTCACTTCTTCAGCTTTGCACTACCATTTCTGCCATCAACAAAACAAGCTTCCCTAGCTGCAGTTGATGAGAGACTCTGATAAATGTATGTCTGGCTTGCAGTACATTGACAAATCTCTGGTTTTGATAGTTTTGCCACCATTTTCTTCACTTCTTCTTCTAAAGAAAAACAAACCCGGCTTCACCCGGATTAAATGGGAGGACAATGGAAGTACCCTTCGATCAAATACTTCCACCTGGATTCAAACTTGCATGGCATGGATTCATTTCTTCTTCTGAAGACCAACAACCTGGTTTTGATATCTGCTACACAGTTTCTCCCTGTTTAAAATGTTTCATCTTGCATGAGAGGGCAATGGGAGTACCCATTGATCGAATACTTTACCCGGATACAAACTTGCATGGCATGGATTCACTTCTTATAAAGAACAACAACCTGGTTTTGATATCTGCTAGATGGTTTCTCCATGTTTAAATATTTTTAAATTTGCATGGGAGGACAATGGGAGTACCCTTTGATCAATTACTTTCACCCGGATTCAAGCTTGCATGGCATATGGATTCAAACTCTCACCGTTTAATTTGCATGGCATTTTCTCATAATCTCAGTGATGGAATTACATGTAATCTGTTGAATGTTTTTAAGAGAGCATGTCTGGGGAGTCTCAAAAAAGAGCCAGAAAATTACAAAAACCAATATTCCATGAATTATAATATCTTCAAGAGCTGCACCTCAAAGATCAAAGGTTCTTTTGCATGAGACAAAAGGCTGCGTCGAGGACCAAACTGCAATCAAACAAACAACAAATGTAACAAAAGTAGTTGACTTCATGGGGAAACTGCTTTACTGAAAAACCTGATTCTGAAACAGAATGAATGAATAAGGAGGAAATAACACGCCCGGAAGACAGAAAAGAACTATTTAAGAGAACTTGAGGGTGAAACCTCGTCAGGAATTGGTTTCAGGTTTTCATTTATGTATCCCAAGGAAGGAGGTATTAGTGCTCTTCTCTTTCCTGAAAAAGAAAGTACAAACAAGTGGAAATTGGGGTCAGTAAGTTTGCACTTTCCTTGAAGTGGAAACATAAGATAAATGTACATGGATTATAGCAACCATAGTTGCCTCGAATGATGTTGGCAATTCCATATCAATACCAGCATGCACAAGAATATGGCTTTCATAGTTGCAGGACACAGGGATAATGATCAGGAACCTACAAATAAGTGGAAAACGGAAAAAGAAATCCGCAGAAACAGTTATTGGAGTTGTGAAATGAATAGCCCCAGGATGATACCTCCAACCCTCATGCCTGTCAAGACATCCTTCAAGCCCCTTATAATCTGTCCAACGAGGAAACCAATTTAAGAATACTTGAAGATAAAAATGGTGTGATCCCAGAGTTTTGATGAATATTTAACTTTAAACGGTGCAGAAAGAATGGAGACTTTCTTCCACAAGTGAAATTGAAGAGGTTCTTGGCAATAATGAGTAACCAATCCAGGGAGAAAACCATAATCGCATTATTGACAGATTGGAGATGGCAACAACACAAATCGTGGCGGTTGTGTTTTTTAGATAAATCGAACAGGTAACAAGCAAAAATGAAAGAGGAACATACCTGGTTCTCATCCAAAGGAAGGGTGACAGGAGAGCTTTCTCCACTGAACTGATCCACAGTGCTGTATTGAATGGCAGTGACAGTTTATAAAAGCAATCCACAGAATGGAGGAAAGTCAGACAGGACCATATAGAACCAAAAATATAGTGATTTGAACTATTAAAGTGGTGATAAAAGAAATTTCACATCAGTTAATTGATGGAAATCAAGAGATAAGTTCAAGAATCCAGTGTATAAGAATTACCTGTGAACAAAATATCCATTCGCTCGTCGGCATACATAGTTCAATTGTACAAAGTCTCCATCATGAGCTTCTGGCCCCTCCCCTTCAATGATTTCTACGAAGACAAGCTCAGAAATTAAGGATGGAAGTTATGAGTGGGTGAGAAAAGTTTAGGACCAAGCATGCTAATATCTGTTGACATCTGTTCATCAGACATATTACAGAGTAGAACATGCATGCTAATTTTGTGTTAGAACACTTGTTAGAGCATTGTAGAATAATTCTTGTTTATCTGATATAAATGTCACTGTAATGAAAGATTACTTTAACCCCCACCACATGAAATGAATGAGATAACGACAATGATGAACCTCTGATGGATCAAAATTTCACCTGAGTGATCAAAGTTTACTATGCTATTGCTTGCTTTAGTACCCTTCTCAATAAGGGAGAAAGAAAGAACAGATTGCGGTAGAAAGCTTCAGGAAATGATACCTTGAATTCTCACCCCACTGGAAAGCTTCAATGTCCTGGACACTTCAAATTCAAAAAATAACAATCTTCTTATGAGAACTGATATGAAAATCACCAAATAACTGAATAAAGATATTACAAAGGGCTGGCAAGATAGTAATCTAAGACATAGAACAAATTTACCGAATTACTTCAGGTTCCTTCATCTCTTGCACTGGGGCAGCAAAAACAGGATTAATGCCCAATGATATGGGACCAGTCCCCATAAGCTGCAAAAACACCCTCCTAGGCAAACTTTTGACTGTTATCGAGGCGTATCTGTTATGCAAGTGCTTATCCATAACATCCTTGGGCCGTTTACTGTCACAATACAGTTCAAAGCAAAAGTTAATAAGACCATAATGAAGATGCTATTCAAGGAATAGTTTTGCAGTACAACAGTTAGTCATAACTCAATGCCGGGGTAAACTAGGAAGTTGCAATACCATGTTCTTGTATTAGTGCTGATATGTATTTGGGGGGGATATCTTACAAGAAACATAAAAGGTACTTCTGCAAAGTCTTATGAGTTCTCATCAGAATCCATTGCCATTAGAGCCTAACAACAAAAATCTGGCCCTTGATTTGATTTCAGAATGTGTGATAGAACAAAACAAAGCTTGGGATTTCATCATACTCCATAATTTTACCCCCTCAGGGTAGTCATCATCAAGCAACAGAAAAACACAAAACATGCAACATATAGGCATATCTGGCTGCCCTCCTCTTGACTACAACTCCGACATGAAAAAGACAAAGATTGAAATCAGAAAAAGACAGTGGAAGTTACCTTGCTGGCAAGCTGAAAGCACAAGGAAGTTGAGCTAAGGTTTGAAATGGAAGAGCTTGCATTCTTTAGAAACAAAAGGAGCTTCTTGTCAGATGAAAGTTGTTCTTTTGGATGGCAGTGGATGAGGCAACTGCCATGTTAGTGGTTGGAAGTTAGGAGGGATGGAAAAGCTTTAGTTGATCAGTTCTGAGGGTGCAATTGTCTGTGAACAATCTGATCAACCTTTCAGCACCATAACCAATAATCTTAATTATGCCACATCACAAAATATTTTCTCTTTTTTTTCCTTATTATTTTTTCATTTTATATTTGACCCGGTAAACGTCCACAATTTTGTGGTTCATTTTAATTATTATTATTATTATTATTATTATTATCACTATTTACAATAATTTTTTATTCCAAATTTAAAATAAAATTTATAATCAACAAATTAATCAAATTCCTCTAAAAAAATATTTAAAGTCATTCTCATTATAATTATAAGTAAATAAAATTAATTTATATCAATTTGATTGGTTTTAATATTTATATATAAGATAATTTTAAAATATACTATTAATAATTAATTTTTAAATATTATATTTTAAAAAATATAAATATTATATTTTTAATTTAAAATATATCTTCAACAAAATAAAATCATGAGATCCAATAGAACCATCGCAGAGGCGGAGGGAAGGCGTACGAGCCTCCGTCTTTCAAAATTTTAAAAAATTATATATTTTTTGTTTTATTTTAAAATTTTAAGATTTTTTTTTATTTTTTAAAAGTTTTATAATTTTACTTTATAAATATTAAAATTTTCATTTTCATCATTTTAAATTTAAAATCTTGACTCTATCGATTAATATAAAAAACAAACTAAACCCAAATGGATTTCGATTTAAAATGAAAATATGCTTACCCTACCTTCTACGTAACCTAATAATAAAACCAAAAAAAAAAGTAAAAAAAAAAGAAAAAGGGGAAAATTCCTCTTCCAAAAAAGAGCAAATCCAATTGATCAAGAAAAGTATAAATAAAGCATTAAAAATTATCAAAAATAAACTATACACGTGGCAATACCAGATCCGCGCGTGCGCCTACCTTCCTATTTATCACGTCAGAAATTTTAAAAAAGAAAAGAAGGATCTAGAAAAACAAAATGCCTGCCCTCCATAGTTCGTAAATTAAAAAAATAAAATAAATAAAATAAAAATAAAAAGGAAAGGCGTGTCAATAGAAGGATCTAGAAACCCTAATGAAGGTTTCCTATATAAGGTCTCCTTACGCACAAAGCAGAGCCTCACTCTGTTTTTACCTTCGTCGCCCTCTCTCTCTCTCTGTCTAAAACCCTAGCTTACCCGTCTCTCGCTTTCGCATTTCCTGTTTCTTTGGGTTTGTTTGGGATCAGGGTTAGAGTTTTCCATCTATGGCGGAGACAGAGACGTTTGCTTTCCAGGCTGAGATCAACCAGCTTCTCAGCTTGATCATCAACACTTTCTACAGCAACAAAGAGATCTTTCTCCGTGAGCTTATCAGCAACGCTTCCGATGTAAGCTTCTTTTATTTTATCGTTTGGTTTTCTTTGATTACTTTTGTTTTACATGTCTTGTGAATATAGAGGTTTTGTTTTTTATCTTTTGCGGATCTGATCTTTTATGCCTTGGATGTAAATGGGTTTTGCTTGTGTATTCGTATGATAGAAAAAGTTTTAAGTCTTTTTGGGTTTTTAATATATGTTTTTATGATGTTTATATGTAATGCTCTGTTCTTTATAGGCTATGAATCTCTGTTTCTTGAAGCTTAGTAAAAGAAATGAATTCGTTCTTTTGCATGGTTTATGAGTGTAAACGATTGAATCAGTATGATAGCGTGAGTCTGATTTGTGTAAGAAATCTATATATATGTTGTTGTTTTATGCAAAGAATGGAAATGAATTGGCTTTGGCCTTTTATTCATGTGGAAATACTTTTGGGGATGATTGTTTAAAGTTGTTTTGCTAGCTTTTTAGGGTTAGTAGTAATTGTTTTTCATTTTAAAATTGTGTCATGTAGGCTTTGGACAAGATTAGATTTGAGAGCTTGACAGACAAGAGCAAGCTTGATGCTCAGCCAGAGCTCTTCATCCACATTGTACCAGACAAGACTAACAACACCCTGTCAATCATTGACAGTGGTATTGGTATGACCAAGGCTGGTAAGTGTTTTTGATTGTTTTGTAAATTCTTGTACTTGTGGTCGTTCTGAGTGTGATGTGAAATGGGACTTAAACGTGATTATGTTTCTGTTATTCAGATTTGGTGAACAATCTTGGTACCATTGCAAGGTCTGGGACCAAGGAATTCATGGAGGCATTGGCTGCTGGTGCTGATGTTAGCATGATTGGACAATTTGGTGTTGGTTTCTACTCAGCTTACTTGGTTGCTGAGAAGGTTGTTGTCACCGCTAAGCACAATGATGATGAGCAGTATGTGTGGGAGTCCCAAGCTGGTGGGTCATTCACTGTCACCAGGGATGATGCTGGGGAAAAACTTGGTAGGGGTACTAAGATTACCCTTTTCTTGAAGGAGGACCAGCTTGAGTACCTTGAGGAGCGTCGTCTCAAGGACTTGATCAAGAAGCACTCTGAATTCATTAGCTACCCAATTTCCCTCTGGATTGAGAAGACTACTGAGAAGGAGATTTCTGATGATGAGGATGAGGAGGATAAGAAGGAAGAGGAAGGGAAAGTAGAGGATGTTGATGAAGAGAAGGAGAAGGAAGAGAAGAAAAAGAAGAAGATTAAGGAGGTCTCACATGAGTGGTCTTTGGTGAACAAACAGAAGCCCATTTGGATGAGGAAGCCTGAGGAGATTGGCAAGGAAGAATATGCAGCTTTCTACAAGAGCCTTACAAATGATTGGGAAGAGCATTTGGCTGTCAAGCATTTTTCAGTTGAGGGGCAGCTTGAGTTTAAGGCTATCCTCTTTGTTCCCAAGAGGGCACCTTTTGACCTCTTTGACACAAGGAAGAAGCCCAACAACATCAAGCTCTATGTCAGACGGGTCTTTATCATGGACAACTGTGAGGAGCTGATTCCTGAGTACCTTGGCTTTGTGAAGGGTATTGTTGACTCAGAGGACCTTCCTCTTAACATCTCGAGAGAAATGTTGCAGCAGAACAAGATCTTGAAGGTTATCCGCAAGAACTTAGTGAAGAAGTGCATTGAGCTCTTCTTTGAAATAGCTGAGAACAAGGAAGATTACAACAAGTTCTATGAGTCCTTCTCCAAGAACCTCAAGCTTGGTATCCACGAGGACTCTCAGAACAGAACTAAGATTGCTGAATTGCTCCGATATCACTCCACCAAGAGTGGTGATGAGATGACCAGCTTGAAGGACTATGTGACCAGAATGAAGGAGGGTCAGAGTGACATCTACTACATCACTGGTGAGAGTAAGAAGGCTGTTGAGAACTCCCCATTCCTTGAGAAGCTGAAGAAGAAGGGTTATGAGGTACTCTTTATGGTAGATGCTATTGATGAGTATGCTGTTGGTCAGCTCAAGGAATTTGAGGGCAAAAAGCTTGTGTCTGCCACAAAGGAAGGTCTGAAACTTGATGAGAGTGAGGATGAGAAGAACAAAAAGGAAGCTTTGAAGGAAAAGTTTGAGGGTCTCTGCAAGGTTATCAAGGACGTTTTGGGTGACAAGGTTGAGAAGGTTGTGGTCTCTGACCGTGTGGTTGATTCTCCCTGCTGTTTGGTCACTGGTGAGTATGGTTGGACTGCCAACATGGAGAGAATCATGAAGGCCCAGGCTTTGAGGGATAACAGCATGGCTGGATACATGTCAAGCAAGAAGACCATGGAGATCAACCCCGAGAACCCCATCATGGAAGAGCTGAGAAAGAGAGCTGATGCTGACAAGAATGACAAGTCTGTCAAGGACCTTGTTCTCCTCCTCTTCGAGACTGCCCTCCTAACTTCTGGCTTCAGCCTTGATGACCCCAACACCTTTGGCAACAGAATTCACAGAATGTTGAAACTTGGATTGAGCATTGATGAGGATGCAGGTGAAGCCGATGCTGACATGCCTCCATTGGAGGATGCTGATGCTGAAGCCGAGGGCAGCAAGATGGAGGAAGTTGACTAGGCCTTACATGTTTTAATGTTTGAACTCTTATCTTTATGTAGTAGTCTCATTTTAATTTGAAGGTACCCTTAGCTCTGGTTATCTGAATGGTTTTTACATTTTCTTTGGTGCCTCCTTTGAGAGGCTTTGGTTAATTTTGGCAAACTCTCAAATCCTGCTTGTTTTGGAATATTTATATAGTTCTCTCTTGCCTCCCTATGCTTATTTATAATGCTGTGCGGTCCAGAGCTATGTCCTTTCTAAGTAATGGTTTGGAAATACAGGGCTTGGCCTGTAAATGGGTTAACATTGACACGTAATTACTTAATGGGCCTTAATGGCATAGGCAAGGATAGGGGAATGAATGATATTTGGGCATGTTAAATCTTGGTCAAGCAATCAAATCCAAAGGGCACCCCTTAAGCTAGTATTCATGCCATCTTCTCCGTTGGAACCATTTATACTACTGGAGAATGATTCAGGTGCTGAATATTGTGAAATGATTGCTTATATTTTTTGTTTATGTACTAAATTATACAAATATTTTTATATTAATTTATAGAATTGAAAACCCATTGTTTTCATTGGTCTTTTTGGAACAAAAAATAATTAATTTATTTTTATATTTCAATGTAGCAGAGTATGTAAATTTCATATTCTTGATTATTAATGATATGAGATTATTTCCAAGTTCAACCAATTCAATTTTGTTTTACTAATAGTAAATTCATCTAATCTAAAGGTTTTTAATGCATGTATTTACCAAGTTACATATTATTGAACTCTCTAATTTCAATACCAATAATTTTAAATTAAAGTGCAAAGATATTTAGATAACATTTTTTTCATCTAAAATAATGCGTACATCCCCTTTTTACTTTTATTCGACAATAACGTGAAAAATGCAAGACATAGTTGGTTTAGCGTTTTAATGGCATCTCATCACATGTACTAATCATTTTTCAAAAGAAAAATAAAGTTTGAAAAAGTATTATTCCGATGTGAAAACATTTTTTAAAATTAAGTTATACGATTTTGAAATTAAATTATTGAACAATAATAAGTATATATGTACATTTTTCGAAACTTGATTTTTTTAATTTTAACTCTCTTAAGCTAAGCCAAACTATTTTTTAGTAACTCATCTAAATTCCTTTTTAAGCAAAGCCTAATTAGGGGAGATAAAAAAAGAAAAAAGAAAGGAAAGGAAAGGAAAATCTACTCCGAAACGACGCCGTTTTATAGTTCCTTGTCCTCGTCAAGTTCCTTCTTGTCGAACCTAACGCAGCCTCTCCTTCTCTCCCATCAAAGTATCAACATCACCTGCCACGTACCGTCAAAATTTGATAATTATCTATTTATTTTTCAATTTCAATTTACCATTTTTATATTTCAATTTAATTAATTAATTAAAAATAAATTATAATAATTATTTTTTTTTCATGTATGTATATATAAATTATTGAAATCTCCAGCTCTTCTCCACCTCCATCACCACCTTTTCACCCCCACCTTCACAGAGCTTTCCCTATCCTCCCCTCCGGTTTCACAGATTTTTCCATACTACCTCTAATCACTCTCCCCTTAAAAATAGGTACCATTTTTTTTTGGGTCCTCGAATTCATTATAGTCTGTTTGTTTCCCTGAGAAAGCTGAAAACTTTCGAATCTCTGTAAGCTTAAAGTAAGTAGCTTTGAACAAGACTTCTAAGCTTTGTTAGATCTACGCAAGTCATATTTTGGGAAATTTAGTTTCTTTTTTCTTTTCTGTCAATTTTTATTTTTGTGTGTGGAATTTGATTAGATTGGATCCTGATCAGATTCAGTTTGAGATAAAGTTATGGTTTTTGAGTTCGAATGGGCTTTTTGATGTGTTTGATTTTATGGGTATTCAATTTTGAGCTGTTTTTGTTTATAGTTTTATTGGAATTTCCATGTTTCGTATATGTCTCTCTAAGTACTGCAATGTCTGGGATGGTTAAAGAGACTTGATATGATTGCTCTATCAAAGCTTGGTGATTTTTGGGCAATATGTAATGAAATGGACAATTCTCTGTTGGTAGGGTCACTGTTTTTTTGTCCTCTGTTTTGCATTTCTTAATATGCTGTGTACATGGCATGGTTGTTATTGGAGTGTATTCAATGCATGGAAAATGAAATAATAGTTGTTCTTATTTTTCATGTGTACGTCCATGTACTAAAATAAGAAAGTAACATTTATCATGGAATTCATTTTATGATTGCTAGGAAACAGAAACATCAGGCTGGTACTGATTGAGATCTTGGTTTTTGTTTGTAAAACAGATTGTTTTCTGAGATCTCCAAGTTTACGACTTTCTGAATTCAGACTCTCTGGCATCTAGGCTTCAGTCAGCAGGATCAGGAAATGGTTAAAAGGTTCGACTTGCTTTTTGCCTTGAGACTAATTATGTTTGGAGAAAGAATGATGCGAATGGGATTTCTAAACTCTTTTCTGGTTGCGTAGGTATGGAGTGTTTTGATGTGCGGAGAATATCATGTTGCAGTGCATAGACGGACTGAAGCATTTATTTGCTTCTGTACTGCAATGTTGCGATATTGATTTGTACAAACAATCGAGAGGTCTTGACGATCCTGAACTTCTTGCAAGAGAGACAGTGTGTATGCTATCAAATTTCTTTTCTTTTTCAATAATACTGTTAAGCTTTTACCATACTGCTAGAGTGATAGTGTCAAAGCTTTTGTATGATTCAACACCTTGTTTAGACTGTGCCTGTGTTAATCTAGCTGTGGAGTCATTCTACTGAAATTGTTATTTCACTAACATTGGTGCAGTCAGTGTAAGCGAAATAGAGGCACTTTATGAGCTCTTTAAGAAGATAAGCAGTGCTGTGATAGATGACGGGCTGATAAACAAGGTATTCTTTATTTTAATATTATATGTTATGTTTGTCAAGTTTGTCAGCTTGATCACTCCAATTGAATTGGTTCTTCCCCCCTCGTCTTTTTAGTGTTTGAGTTTTAGTTTATATAACTACTTCGCAGGAGGAGTTTCAATTGGCGCTATTCAAAACAAACAAAAAAGAGAGCTTGTTTGCTGATCGGGTACATTTTATCTAATGTTAATTAATACTGTTTCTATACTTGATAAAGAATGCTTGTCAATATCATCATGCTAATCTTTGTAGTATTTTAGCTCAAGTTATTAGCATCTTGCTCGAGCTGCTGTCAATATATTTCTGATCTCACTGCAGGTATTTGACTTGTTTGATACAAAGCATAATGGAATTCTAGGTTTCGAAGAGTTTGCTCGTGCTCTCTCTGTCTTCCATCCAAATGCACCCACAGATGATAAGATTGAGTGTATGTGTAAAATATTAAGTTTTCTGCATCAAGATCTTTATTTACTTCTTTGGTCATCAATCATAATCATGTTAATTTAGAGATTGAATGTAAATTGACTGGCATGGAAAAGGAATTATGAACTTAAGCATGTAGTGGATGAATATGTCCAAATTATCTTTCCGGATTCCAATCATCTATGTGCTGAGTACTTTGTATTCTCCTAATTCTTTTATGTCCTCTTGCAGTCTCTTTTCAACTATACGATCTCAAGCAGCAAGGTTTCATTGAGAGGCAGGAGGTAAAACTTTGGTTTTTTCAGACTTTGATCTTTTGTATCCTTCTTTCCTTTGTTCATATATATATATATATATATATATATATATTTATTTATATAGGTGAAGCAAATGGTAGTGGCTACACTTGCTGAATCTGGCATGAACCTTTCGGATGATGTTATAGAAAGTATAATTGACAAGGTGCTCACTCAACCTAATTTAATTGAAGTCATATCATATCTCTTGTAATTTCCATTTTCTCTATTCTAGTTTCAATGTTTTAAGTTTTGGAGCATTCCTACAGACCTTCGAGGAAGCTGATACAAAACATGATGGGAGGATTGACAAGGAAGAGTGGAGAAGCCTTGTTTTGCGACATCCATCCCTTCTGAAAAATATGACCCTGCAATACCTCAAGTAAGTTCCAAACATACTCTTTACTATTTAGTGCTATTCATTGCTGGAGGTTATCATAAGAGTAGCTGTGAGCAATGAGTGCTCACGCTTCAACTGTGTCTTGATTGTTTTGTTGAGCAGGGACATCACCACAACATTCCCGAGCTTTGTTTTCCACTCACAAGTTGATGATACCTGAAGTGAACAGTTGCACTCGAGCTCCATAGACTGTTTGATTATGGCTTGTTTCTTTCTAGACAATATTGCCGTCTCAAATATAAATTGCCCAAGAGTGAGTCTCTGTGTTGTTTTGGTTCATTGGTTAAAATTTTTTCGTCATGTGTGTCCATATCAAAATGTCAAACTTTTACTTTCTTCCCAGTGTTATTGGTCGATTGGCTCTTCCAGATGTGCTGATTTATTGTGTGTGTATTGTTCTTTATGGTGTTACAATGTAAAAATTCTCAGTCCATTTGAAAATTTTTCTACCATAACCTCGAATGTGGAATCCTTCTTGTTATGGATGTAAATTTGAATGCAGCAAATAAACAAGTCAGCACCAGTTTCCCAGAGGTTCCACCTTCCATTTCAATTGCAAAATGTGGTTGTTCTGGGCAGGGATTTATGGTTTCATATAAACTGTAAGCCTGGCAAAACCTTGACAGGAAAAAGGTCATGGCAACAAAGAAGCATGCAAAGTTATTTGCATCTCTGTCGAGTTTAGAATCTAAGTTACTGCCAACTTTGGCAGTGAGTGAGTGCGGTTTGTCACGGTTTACATTAACTTGTAAGATATTATCTGTTTTATTATATTGTTTTATCAGTTGTTTTATAAAACGTGTTTATGGTCTGAGTTTTTAAATACCCAGTTTGTGTTTTAGTACATATTCGATATAAGATTCAAGTCTTTCCTCTAAGATCATGATATAGTCCTGACAATTGAGCTGGTGCTGCATCTTAAGAACAATGGAGCTTATGGTTAATGGAGATCATTCATGTCCAAGTGGAATCCCATCTTAAGCATGTGCAATACGCTTTTAAGCAAGTGGTAGCAATAATTTTTTCCATTTGAATTTACACTATAAATACAAATTTGAAGTTATAAATAATTATAATAAGAAATTAATAGATTCCTATCGAATTAAGGTTGAATTTACGTACGAGTTTTCGCTAAATGTGTTAAACATAATAAATATTTAATAAAAAATAATAAGCAAAATGTTAAAATAATTTAAAATTAAATAATAAATTATTTGAAATTGGTTCAATATCACTCCGGTTCGATATCGAGGCAATTATTGCTTGAACCGATTCCATTAACTGGTCCGGTTCGATTTAGGGAAGTCAAAAACCCGCGACGCGTCCTTTAGGAGCCGTATAGCTATAGAATTCAAAATCCGCAAATTCAACTTCTCCAAATCGAAGGAGAAACCCTAGATAAATTTATCCAGAAAAAAGGTGTTGTCGTTCTATCAGGATTCGAAATCAAATCTATGGGAAAGAGAAAGGAGCGTCGTCTAGCTGCTTTGAGCAACGCCGGCCGCCGTGTTAAGCTCGATCTATTTGCGGAACCCTCTGGTAATCTTTCTCTCCTGCTTTTTCCGATGTAAGAGAGATGTGAAAAGCAAAGATGGTTTCTTTTTGATGGTTGAGAAAGATTTTGCTTTTTAGTGTTGTTTCAGTAAATTAGCAATCAGATATTAGTTGAAGAAGTTAGTTTAGAGCTATTAGAAAGTGAATAATTGTAATTTTTATATTGGTTTATGTTTGAAGTGTTAACTTTTTGACTTTATTCTTGAAACCTTTAGAAGATTTGGGTGGCTCCACAGTACATGAAGAAGTCGATGGGGAACCAAAACATGGTTCTGGGTTGCCCAATTCACCATCTTCTTCAGGTGGGTTCTGTCAGTTTTCTTCAAAAGGACTATGTAGAGAAGGCATGAGTGGTCTACATTTTTTTGGTGGAAATATGGAATCTATGCCAGACATATTATGTTGTTTGCCCCCAGAATTTGTTTTCAGATTGTAGGGTGTGGCTGTGGTCTTGGGAACATTCATACAGAACTGATCGGGGCCCTACCAATGTGATATTTTGAATGAGTCCCAATCTGTTATGCTCTATTTCGCTGCATCAAAGCGTTTTGCAGATTTCTTCTGGAAAATTTTATCTCTCGGTTCGTATGTCTCTTGTCTTTATTTACATAATGCCCTCCACTGACATTTTTCTTTGATGTGTAACAGGTGGCTGTCATGAATTGCTCATAGAATGGTCCTAATGCTTTTGTCAAATTTATCATATGGATTTTTGTTCAGCCTTTCATTTTTTTTTTTTTGGAAGATGTTACCTTGGTTTTTAACATGAATGTTTTCTCACTCTCTGTTTTTAGGTTTAGATATAGTGACAATCGTTAAGTATATAAACTTGTTGTTTTAAAGTATTTAACATATTACTGTTGTGTCTTCAGGTCAACAACCACCAAACCCTTTGCTGTTACTTGGCCAGTACAGTGATGATGAATTGGACGATGAGTCAGAGAAAAGACTAGAACATGGCACTTTAGATGGTTCCTTATCTGACCATGACGACCAGGTAATTTTGGATTCCCTCACTGTTGTTTGTGAAATTATGCCTTGGTAGGACCTAGTTGTGAACCTTTTCTCTTTTTAGCCCTCTTCTTTAAACTGAAAGCAAGATGGGCTTGCTACGACTTTAGCTTGGCCGTATTGGCTGCTGCAGTTAGGTCATTATTCTTTCTATTTCTCAATTCCATGATTTGTAAAGTGGAATTCATTCTTTTAACTAAAATGGTGGGAACATTGTGGGTTAGATTAGGAACTTGTTAACTTAGATTGGCTTATAGTTTTCATTAATTTGTTTCATTAATGTATTTGATAGTTGGAAGCTCCTTTTCCTTCACTTTCTCATTGCTTAATTTGATTAGGCTAAGGGACCTCTCAGTGAGACCTGCAAAGACATGGAAGTTGATGCAGGAGGTCGTGATACTCTGAAGGTCAATCAACAGAACACAGAGAGAGATTCTACTCCAAATGCTATCCAGAACTTGGTGGGTGTTGATAATAGAGAAGGAGATATTGATGATGCTAGTGAATCAGTCAAGAAGAATGATTCTACAGAACAAATATCTGTTGCTGGAACTTCTGAAGTACAGGTCATTGGAGATGTGGGTTCAGGCTGGAGGATTGTATTGCATGAAGAGAGTAATCAGTATTACTACTGGAACATTGAAACTGGTGAAACTTCATGGGAGGTGCCTAATATTTTGGCCCCAATAAACCTATCAACTTCTGACCAGATGGCTCCTACTGTTGAAAATATGGAGACTGCTCAAGTGGGTACACAAGATTTCAAATCAACTCTAAGTGCCCAACCAACTGGTGGCAATTTGATTCCTCAAAATAATGAGCCGCAGTTAGATGAGCAGGATGGTGGATGTAAAAGTGAAGCTCTGAAAGATAACAATTGGACCTCTGATGTCAATAGAAGTGAATTTCAAAGTAGCTCAGATGCTGTTGATGCTCATTTGACTGATGGGAGTTTAAGTGGCTCTGGGAACTATGTACAAAATTTTTTAGCTAATGATGAAAATAAATCAGGAATTGATCTCTCTACTCATCTTTTGAAACAGGGGAAGTGTTTGCTAGAGAGAATGAAGTCACTAAAAGTGTAAGGAATATCTAATTGCTTTAATTCTTCCTTTGCTATCCAGTTATATTTTATTACTTATAGCCAATATAGTTTTATTATTACTTTTGTTTAAAAGTAGAAGACTGGAATTTCTTTAATTTTTGTTGTTATTTGTCTTCCTAATAGTAAAAATATTTTCAGGTCTGAAGACGACCTGCAAGGTCAGGGCTGGATGTCTAATTGTATTTTAGAAGTTGAGATTAGACTTTCTGATATCAAGTCATTGCTTTCATATGGATCATCTTTATTACCTTTTTGGGCACACTGTGAAAGGAAGCTAAAACAGCTTGAGGGTATTATTAATGATAAAATTTACCAGCTTGCAAAATCAGCCGTTATGGAAGAGGGTGAAGAAACTCCTGCCTCTTTTGGAGAAAAGCTTAAGTCAGAGGAAAGTACGCACAATGAAGTTGAAGCAGATGGAAATGGTTACAGTCCAATTTCTTCTACACCTGACGTTTCTCATGTTTCTACTGATGTTGACACATTGACAGTAGTCAATAGTGATTCAAAAAATCCAGTTCCCTCCAGCAATGCTGCATGTATGGTAAAGGTTCCTTCTTTTGGATCACCTACTGAACATGTTGAAAGTCAAGCCCAAATAGGTCAACTGGTGAATGAAGATACTCTTTCTGGTGAAGCTAATTCTAAGACTGGAGTGCTCGCTGGAGAGGATGTTGACATGGATGTGGACATGGAAGTTGAAGAGTCAATCCCAGCAAGCACCATGTCCCTCAGAGATGTATCCCCCACCACCCTGGAGCAACCAAATCCAACTGCTGATTACTCAGCTGTTCCTCCACCTCCAGATGAGGAGTGGATTCCTCCACCTCCTCCTGATAATGAACAAGTTCCACCACCTCCTCCTGATAATGAACAGGTTCCTCCACCACCACCTGATGAGCCTCCTGAACATTCATATCCTCCTCCCCCATCTTATGCAGAGTCTGTGCCTCTCACCTATGCAGAACAATACAACCTAACCTATTCTGATTCCAGTTATCAGTATTATGGACATGCAGTTAGTGAAGTCCCAATCGGTAGTTTCTATGGACATTCTGATGGAAGTCAAGTTGCTGCACCCCAAGCCTCAATTTACTATCAAGCAGTTCCGAACACATATTCTGAAAGTGCACCAATTACTGTTAATCCTGTTGAACCTGTGACATTTTATGACCTTCAAGGCGGAGGGGCAACTTGTGTGCCTGTAGCTGTTGGTACAGAATCTACTCAGTTGTACAGTGAAGCTGGCACTATAACATACAATACTCTTGCTTCAAGTCAAGTTCGATCTGATGATGAACTTGCAGTAGCAGGACCTGGTGTGAGAGGCGATGTTCCTACTGTTGGTGATAAGACTGAAGTAGCATCAGCGGGGATCTCTTCTACTTTGGCCACTATTGAAGCTCCTGCAACCATTTCTGTTAAAGAAAGTTTTGCTGCTGCTGCTGCCGCCGCTGCATCTGCCGCAGTTGCAGCTTCATCATCAGGTCCAAAGGTTCAATCTAAAGGTATTATTTTGGGCCAGAAAGTGTTATGTATTAATTTAATATAAAATATGGTGATAAGATGTGGAGAAACTCAAGTAATGATCTAGGCTTGTCATAACAGTCAAATCTTCATATGAACCAAACAATTATTGGTTTTTCTGAGTGATGTACCTGTACTTGAAAACTTTACGAATGACAGTCATGACATTTGTTTACTGGAATTGACCAACATGTGACTCTGTATTGTTTGTCAGCTGCACGAAGTAAAAAACGGACAGTTGCTGCCACATCCTCCTTGAGGTCTAATAAGAAGGTCTCGAGTTTGGTGGATAAGGTAGAAGATTTACCTGTTTCAGAGTTTGGGGATTTATCTCCTTCTTGTTGGTATTTTAATCTAGTTTGTTTCTGAAATTATTAGAATTATTTTTTCTCTCTTATCAGTGGAAAGCTGCCAAAGAGGAACTGCATGAGAATGCAGAAGATGAGCCAGAAAATCCCTATGAGATGTTGGAAAGAAAGCGACAACGGGAAATAGAGGTCTGTAAAATGAACCTTTGTTTTTTGCTTATTTATTCCTTGCCACTGGTTCTGGTGCCTTACTATTCTTTGATTGCAGGAATGGCGTGCCCAGCAAATTGCCAGTGGAGAGGCTAAAGATAATGCAAATTTTCAGCCTTTGGGTGGTGATTGGTATGGATTTTATATTATATATGTTGACTTCTTTCCTCATCTTTTTCTGGCTGCTTTTGTCATCTTTGCTAGTCTCAGCTAGGTGAAAAGGAACATGAAGACTGAATTTCAAATAGATCTTACACTGTTACTACCTTTTTCTCATCCACATCTGCATTGTATAGATCTTTCCAATTGCATAAAATATGCTCTTATACGTAGATCTTTCCAATTGGTGATATGCCTATATCTGTTTTGGCCCTTTTTGGTAATATGCCTTTTCAACATGATAAATATAGGCGTGAGAAAGTAAAGCGGAGGAGATCACAGAAGGCCAAAGGAGCTGCAGAGACTCCCTCAGAGGTGGTTCCTGATGGAAACCAACAACCTGATTTAGATGAACTGTCAAGAGATCTTCCTTCTGGATGGCAGGTATATGTTGCACTGTTTTCCCAGCATTGGTTGCTTATTTCGAGAGGCTCTAAAGTTCTGTTATATGCTCTAATTGAATTTCCTCATTTGCTTGCTGTTTTCTTCCACCAGGCTTATTGGGATGAAACTTCGAAACAGGTCTACTATGGGAATGTCAACACCTCGGAGACAACTTGGATTAGACCAACAAAATAAATTTGAGATGCACCATCAGTTTTTCTTGTTTTCATTCTTTGAGTTGAATCAATGTAGTGTTTCACGTTTTTTTTTTGCCCTCTTCATTCGTACGGAATTTACCCAAATGTATATCTTTCTAGAGGCAGATTAGGAATGGGAATGAATCAGGCATTTTAACCTAATGGTGGAGACCAGTCATTGGTAGTTTGTTTTGAGGGTTTCTTTTCTATCGTCCAGGCTTGTTATTCTTAAGCCTTTTTTGGCCCACATTTGACATTTCGAATCAAACTCAAGGACTCCATGGACAGTCAACTTTCTTTCTATTGGATACCCCTCCACCCGAAGAAATTGAACGTGAAAGCACAGGAGAAAATGAGAGAATGCTGAGAGATGCAAGGGAAGTAAGAGGCCATGAAAGCCTGCGAAAGAAAGGAAAAAGATAGTACAAAGCAAATTTCTCATGCAATTCGATAAAATAGACAGTTCTGATGAACATTTAACCCATTAAAGCTAACTAAATACACCTTGCGACTTTTGATACGTTAATTTCAGGAGATCACAACTGCATCACCGTGCAACAACAGTTTGAGTACTCAAAAAGCTTTGGTACAGGGAGCCGCTTTGGGAGCAGCCTACTGAGCTTATTAGAAATCACTGATGGGTTCAGATTTGGTGGTACCAAGCAAAGCAAGGTTTGATCCGACAGAGCCTCCCCTTCTCATGCCAGAAGCTCTATGGTGTCGGCACCTGAAGGACCCAGCATGCGTGGTCGGAGAACAGAGGCAGTTCCACCTTCCTCCTGCTGGCTTGGTTCCTTCTCCTTGAGGCGAGACATGCATAGATGAATCCCTCTTGATTTCATCCAAGTTGATTTCTGGTACAGAGAACTTACTGTTCTTGCCCTTCAAGTCAATCTTTGGTGGCTTTGCTTCCTCCCTCTCGTCCATGGTTTCCTTTTGGTGTAAACTTCAAAGAATATGCAAAAAACAACTTTATAGTCACATGTCAATGAATCAACAGGATCAAAATCCTGAAAAATGATTGCTTGCTTTTTAATGTTGAGTTTGCACTTGGAATGAGATCATGATCCAAAATTTTGATTCTTCTTAAACACCCATTACCTAAATAATCTTGCAGGTTTTGAATTCAAATCAGGGAAAAAAAAGTGTTATTGTTATGTTCTTGGAATGAGATCATGAATTAACAAGATCATTGTTGACAATAGGAGCTTGCACTTACAATGTTATGACATCCAAAACTTTGATTCCTTCTAACACCCATTACCTCAATGATCATGCAGGTTTTGAATTCAAATCCGAAGAAACAAAAACTTATATTTTTGGATTGGATCATGCAGATCTTGACTTCTAGTTAATGGAAACAGATGTTCTTGTTATGTTCCATTCTGCTAACCAAAAGAAAAACTCTACCTTCATGATGTAAGATATGAAGATGGGATATGGAGGAAAAGAAGAAGAACAAGGGTTTGCTTACCTGATAATTGGGGAACCAAGGGAAGATCACCCCAAAGTTTCTTGAAAAGAAATGGTCCTGGCTTGATCCTGTTAAGAATGTTTTGTCAAGGAAAGTAAGAGCCTGTGAAAATGGAGTATGGGTTTCCGATATGATTCCAAAGATGAATCAGAAAGAGCTCATTTCCAATGAAGAAATAAGAATGTGACAGACAAAAAGAAAAGTTGTTTAAATTGCTAAAAACTTGCATTTTGGTTTCCTGTTGGTTGAGAACATGTGGTTAAACACCTAATCAGTAATTAATTTTCTAACCACTTATTTCTATATTTTGCCTTCCACAATGGAATTTACTGACACATGCCCTGCAAAATATGCCAACAAACTCCCTCAGTAACATCCTAGGAGTTTTACATACTATAAACCAATTTTTTGTGTGTCCAAGATGGGAATCCAATTCATGAGCATAAAATCATTTAATTTTTCATAACATAATTCCAACACAAAGTTTTACTCAAATATAGTTTCCTGCAACAAGCAAATGGCAGGCATGTAGCTTTCCTCAAGCCCTCAGTTTTGCTACCAATCCCTAGAGATTTGCTAGCTAGTCCATGTAAGAGACATCGGGATGCTATGTAAATGAGGTACTTAGACAGACAATTTATTCCCCTACATTCGGATAATCTGAAACACTAAGTAGATTAGAACCACATAGTCTACTATGTTTGTTCTTCTTTTGTTCTCTGCTGAAGTTTCTACTTCTTCCTCTGGTATATCTTCTTCCAGAATGACTTCAACACAGCTTGTATTGCTTTGCTTGGATGAGCCTCAATTGATTTCATTATGTTCTCATGACACTTGTTCTCGTACTCCGTAAATACACCCTGCAAGTAACACCAGAAACAACTGTCAAAGAAATTTTGCAGGTCATGAATGGCGAAGCAGAAGCAGATGGAAATAGGACAAAACCTGAAGATCCAGGGCATTATAGAGCTCTTTCACTTTGTCAACACATGCTTTATCTGCTTTTCCATAATTCTCCTGGAAATGAAACGCGTATAGATGGAGCAAGTCAGAAATGTTACAAAACAAAGAGAATGGTAAGTCAGGGGTTGTGATTCCTGCTTACGAATAACAGTTTCTTTTGGTCCTCATTTACACGTTCCAGAGCTTTTACAACCAACCAAGAGCACTTGAAGTCTTGAATATCAGTTCCATCCTAATAGAGAAGAAGACAATTAATTATTCAAACCGATTGCATTACCAGACAGCCACAGTAGCACAGCCCTGAAACTCACCTTGCCAATGACATTAGGATCACCAAAACAATCTAGATAATCATCCTACAAATTTAAAAGATTTATCAGCTAAAAAGCAGAAAAGAAAGATGTTTGCTTATTTAATAGCTGACAGAAGGTGCTTCCAGACAGGAAATATAGCCTTGCCATTAGTGGTTCACCTGTACTTGAAAAACAGTCCCAATTTCAATAAGGACGTCCTTCACATCAATATGATTGTCAAGATTCTCTCCTGCCATAAGCAATGCACAAGCAACCTGGTTGTATGGAGATATAAGAAGCAATGAAATGTCAAAGCAGATTAAACATATCCTGATATAAAACTGCAATTTTTAGATCATTTGTCCAAAAATATGGAAGAGTTATTGATACAGTGAAATGACAACAGATGTGAAGCTAAATGCCTGTAAAATGAATAACCAAGATGTATGCTAGAAGCAAGCTCGAATGGCCGTTGATAACACTATAAATTGCTTCACTTGAGGAACATGGAAAGTTTACTCACTGGAAGGTGAAATGAGTAATAAGCCGTCTTATATTGAACAATCCTGCGGTAACTGCAATGGGAACAACTCAGTTGATATGTGGAAAATACTGAAAAGAATACTAATTTGCACTGAAGTTACATTAACTTCAACAATTTCAAAGTAGTTCCTTACATTGACAATGAGTAATTTGATAGATCTTTCTTCCCAGGAATTGTGGTGATTAGGTCTATCATTTGCCCCGAGGCTGTTTGAAATTCAACCTAAAACAAAAATACAAGTTCAGTACACCAGTTGGGACCTGATTATATCAAAAGCCAAGTGATCAACTGCCGTCTGCAGCAAGTTCAACAACAAACTCACCTCATTGAACAATTCCAGCAAATCCATGTAATAAGGCTTTCCTTTAAAGTGCTTCATGAGAATTCTGAAGATGTGGTTACGCAGAATTAACCCATCATTGACAGCAATCAATCCAACCTATAATGAAACTTTCAGAAGTCAGAATTTCCATAAACATTGAGAAAGCTAGCCGCTCTGGTCTATCTCAAGTTTCCAAGTCCTTTGACAGGAACAAAAATTTATCCCCAGAAAGTATAAAGGAAGTAACATGCTTTTATTGTAATACTAAGAAGGGAGGATCATTCTTATTATGTCCTACATCCAGAAGCCTGAACCAGCATGGTTGACCTCTGCGCAGCTGAGAGTTATCCGTAATATCATCAAGAACAAGAAAATATGCTTGGAACTGCACAAATAATGATAAAAAGTCAGTTCCTGTACAGCAACAATGAAACAACTGTAGTGATTATTGATGGAAAATGAGGATCAATAAGAAAGTTTAGGTATCCTTCAGCCACACCCATTCAATGCACCAACCAAGGGCACATGCTAGAAAAAACTCATCATCACTCAGCTCTTTTCCATCTTTCAATAACTTGTAGCTGTCAATGACAGACAACCCTCGGTTCAGCTTTCCTGCCAACAAAAGAATCTGTAAGCACCCTATAAAAAAAGATACAAAGCCTTTTTACTCTGCGTTTTGAGGCCTTGAGAATAGTGATTAATCCACACCTCCAGGAACATTGTACTCCACCACCTGCAACAGAAGGAGAAAACAGAACAATCATGATTTACAATTACGCATATGGAGAGAGGGATGATGACAAATCCTGAAACTGAAACTAGTTAAAGCTCATAAGATCACACAATCTAATTGGGATAGATACACTATAAACGCTAGAGTGCATACATACGCACAAAAGTAGGCAAATGAATATTTGGTTGTGTAGGTGTTTTTTTTTGGTTTTGTGCTTGACAAGATCACCTCTGTCTGTTTGGTTGAGGTTTGCTAACCTCTTTTTGTTTGATGGGGGATATATATGCTGCTTTTCTGGGGAAGGCAGGGGTTGGTTTTGTTGCTGCAGATCTGATTTTTGTGTCTGTACAGCTTTTCCTGGAGGCTATTCTCTTCCTTTTGGCTGTAGCTTTGTTCCTTTATGAATGAATTCTACTTTTCAAAAAAAAAATTGCAGGTTCATAATGCATAGCTAGCAGGCTTGGGTAAAGTTTCAAGAATCAGCTGATGAACTTCAAAGTTCAGAGTAGTCATGTTTTTTCCATCTCAAAACCAAATATTCTACTGCCACATCCTTTTTTCCTTTTCACACGAACATCCCAACGTTCCAGGACGAACAAAGAATTCATCAAAAGCCTTACAATTTAGAATCAATTCAGACTTTTATCCAACTCCAAACACAAGTTCAAGCAAAAAGCGCCTAACTTTACCCACAAAGAATGAAACTTTAACCGAGATTGAAACCAACAGCATGAAAACAAAGAAGCACGGAAAGTGCCTGCCTACCCTTGTAACTACGAACAAGAAGAACCCAATACAAAACCATCCACAGCAAACGTAATTCACACGGCAAAAACCTCACTAACCAAAAGGCAGGCGATAACAGAGAGACAGAGAAAATGGAACTTACACGATCAACCCATTGGCGAGAATCATCAGTGAATTCAAAAGCAGGGTCATTAAGAAGCTCTGATTTGAGCACAGAGAAGACCTGCTTAAACCTGTCTTTGATATCAACCATGTCTTCGCTTTTGCCTGCAAGGAGAGACCAGAACTAAACTGAAAGATATGGTCGTTTACTATAACAACAGGGAACAAACAAAGTACTAATAAGATATGGAAAGTGCATGTGGAACAGAAGGTGTTTGAACAGAAAATGGCAGTGTCCGCAAAGAAAAACACTAAACACAAGATTGTCGTTTCCTACAGTTTGGCATTTGCCTACCTCAAACTTTGCAGTGTTCTGCCAAAGAATATGACTTTCTCAGCCGCAAACTGCACTGACTCTGCCATGGTCTTGTTAAGGCTGCTTTATAACAGTAATAAAATGATTTACATGGTAACGCGTATTTGGTTCAATGATTAATATATGATTTTTTACTTAAAAGAATATATTCGAGTACATATTTGATTCAATAATTAGTGTATGATTTTTTACTTAAAAAAAATATATTCAAACACGTATTTAATTTAATAATTAATATATGATTTTTTACTTAATAGAGAAGATTCGGACACGTATATATTAATACATGAAAAATAAATTCAAATTTACTTTCTAAAAGAAAATGATTTAACCACATATTTGATTTGATAATCAATGTATAATTTCTTATTCAGCAAGTAAATAGTGCTTAACCCTATAGTATAGCATGTAATACTTCAATTACCAACATTTTGATAGTCTCTCCCTGGCTAATAGGCCATCCCATCTGCATTTTTCAA